TATTAATTTCAGCTCTTATAACTCCAGCACTGCTTGTCCAAAATATCCGGAGGCACCAGATTAGAAGACATTATTATTGTATGTTATTGCACAGGTAGTCCTTAACTTACAACCATTTGTTTAGTCTTCTCTTAATAGTCTTCTCATCTTTGAGCAACTTTATCTGACCACTGTTGGCTCTACAAACAATCAATCAATTTGAAGGATTCTTTAAAAAAAAAAAACCACTCAAAAATTCTGCCTACCAATTTTCTTTCAAAAGAATAATCTTATTCCCCAAACCTATCCTTCACTTTTCTATTGCACATCCCCAAAACAGCACCCAAAGTTATGTTATCTTTCACATTATTGGTGCTGATGGCTTACACCCTGATTGCAGCTTAATTTATAAGTTACATGCTGGGGAAAAACCCTTTAGCTTCGCATCTTCTTCAGTGGGGCTGAGTTATGTGCAAAGAATCAAATGATGATATTAGAGGGTAGCAGCCATGAAAAAAATCAATGCTAGGGATCATTAGTATAAGTTAAAAATAAAAGTGCTCATGCTGTAATGCATTCTGAAGCCAGAAATACAATGTACAGTTACAGTTGCCACTTTGGGGAAAAAAGAATGGAACAATGCTGGGAAACGTGCAGACTAGGGCATCCAGAATCATCAGAACAGCATAAACATTTCTAATAAAAATCTAGAATCTTTGGGAATTTTATATTTTAAAAAAGCAACTTGGGAGGATATAATTGAGGACTTTAAAATTGTGCATGGCATGGAGAAAGTTGACTGAGATTTTTGCTTCTGCAACTCCAAGAACTGGGGGCTGATAGGAATGAGATTTAGACTAGATCAGGGGTAGGCAACCTTGGATCTTTTATGACTCCTGGATTTCAACTCCCAGAATTCCTGAGCCAGCCATGCTGAGGGGAAAGGGAGAGGTTTCCAAGCTGAGCCATGCTGGCTCAGGAATTCTGGGAGTTGAAGTCCACGAGTCATGAGGGGGCCATAGTTCCCCCATGCTGGCTCAGGAATTCTGGGAGTTGAAGTCCACAAATCATGAGGTTGCCTACCCCTGGACTAAATTAAAAAAAACCCTTCTATACAGCTAGTAGAACCCATTATTACAAGATCTGTTACCGAAATAACATTCAATCATAAATGTAGATTGGGAAAAAGCATATCTCCAAATCTAGGTGAACGATGGTGAGACGGTAGTCAGTTTTCTATTTAAATTTCATGCATGGAGCTTGGTTCAAAGGAAAAAAGAAAGAAAAGAAATGCCCAAATAAATACATAAAGTTCAACTGTGGGCTCCTTGGTGCTATCTGAACTTGGTGGTTTTCTTGCAGATGTTTCATTACCCAACCAGGCACACTGATGATGGTGCCTAGTTGGGTAAAGAAACACCAGAAAAAATAATAACACCCTACCAAGCTCAAAGACCACCAAGGACCCCACAAATAAATAAATATTCAGAATTAAATCTGGCTTGTTTAATATAATTAAGTTTAAAGTAGAATAAAGGGAAGAGTAAGTTCAGGACCGGAGAGGAAAGACTTTGAACTGCTCATGGTCAGGCCATTGGTATCTACTCAACTGGGGAAATTTAATCAAGATAGGAGTGCTCCTCTGAATGTTGTAAGTTCTGATTCGAAAAAGTCATTGTCATGCTAAATAGTGCACGTTGTCAGGCTGTTGGCCTTAACTCGTTGGGGAAAGTTTATGAAATATGGGTGTTCTCCCAGGATCTGATTCCAATGGGTCATTGTCATGATCAAAATTGCTCATGCTTAGCCTACTCCACGGGAGATTGATTCAATATGGGCGTTCTCCAAAGGCCTGAAGCCCTGGTTCCAATGGGTCACGCTAAGCAGGTTGTAATGCTCAGAGCATTTGGCTGCACCCAAATGTGGCAAATCAGACCCCATTTACCTTTGAGTCAGATGTGCCACCAACACAAGGGAGGGATTTCTGCCCAGGGGAACCACCTGTACATGATCTAGTTTCATTTTTGCTTCTCATGTTGTGCCAAGATTTGTAATCTCATGATTAGGTTAGATAACCTTTACTGTGATCACCCTCTGCAATTTTTTCATAAGCAATGTCAATGGGGAAGTCAGATTCACTTCACAGCCGTGTTGCCAACTTATCAACTACAGTGACTCACTTAACAACGGAGTCAAGAAAGGTCATAAAACGGGGCAAAAACTCACTTAACAAATGTCTCGCTTAACAACGGAAATTTTGGGCTCAACGGTGGACGTAAGTTGAAGACTACATATATGCACGATGCATTCTTATTTCACACTGTGGTTGGGAACGATTGCAAAAAAAAAAAAAAATATTAGTTTTCCCATAAATGCAGGCTGCATTTTGTTTCCAGATCAAACAAGCATCAATCCATTGGTTGCGACAGAAATTGACCGACTGGCTTGACATAGGGAGCCCGGAGTGACTGTTGACGCAAAGTCACCCAGCCGGCTTTCAGCTTTCGTGCCTAAGGTGAGGCAAGAATTCCCCATCTCCGGCTTTACAGCTTGGTGCCTTCACCACTAGACCAAACGGGCTTGAGTGACTACAAAGTCAAGAGACAGGATTGTGCTTCCTGTTAACTATTTTGTCCCTGATGCAGCAGCATATAAATGACAGGTCAAGAGTTTGTAAATGGATTTACTACTTTTTAAAAAAATGGAGTGGGGCTGTTTCGCAAGGGGGGGGGGAAACTAATATTGTAGCAATTTTAATCAGTATTGAACCAGGAGGGGGGATAATATGTGTACAGGTAATCCTCGATTTACAGTGGTTCATTTAGTGACTGTTCAAAGTTACGACAGTACTGAAAAAAAGTGACTTTTGACCGTTTTTCACACTTATGGCCATTTGCAGCATCCCCGTGATCAAAATCCAAGCACTTGGCAACCAACTCATATTTACGACGGTCGCAGCATCCTGAGGGTCACCTGATCCCCTTTTGCGGCCTTCTGACAAACAAAGTCAAATGGGAAAGCCAGATTCACTTAACAACCGTGTTACGAACTCGACAACTGCAGTGATTCCCTTAACAATTGCGGCAAGAAAGGTCGTAGAATGGGGCAAAACTCACTTAACAAACGTTTTGTTTAGCAACCTAAATTTCAGGGTCAATTGTGATCGTATGTCAAGGGCTACCTGCATATACGGTACGGTTTTTTCCCCCTTTTTTTGTGCACTTTTTAAAACTCTTGTATACTTTTGTGTCTTTTGTTTTGTTGTTGTTTTCCAAATTCCTTGGCATTTTCTATTTCAACGTTTCTTTGAATCAAATAAATATTGTTCAGTTAAAATCAAGATGTTAACATTGATGTTGGGAAGTTCTCCCGCCCCAACTTCCTCAAAACAAGTAACAGCAAGGAGGGCTATTCAGAACCACCTCTTTGCTCCAAGTGGGAGATCTATGAAGTCTTTGAAATGCTGGGCTGATAAAAGTAGCACTGTAGCTTTAAGGCTCTGAGGTTTAATAGCATTATTTCAGAATTGCAACACAGGTTTTCTGATCCTTCTATGGGAAGAGTTGGAAACATTATTAGAAACAAGAGAAGTGTAACAAAAGAGTCAACATGGTTTATAAACTCACACCTTGTTCTGGGGCAAAACCACCCAGGGCAAGCTGTATTCCAGCAGTGCCACTGTTTTAATCTACAACTGGACGAAAGTAGGATGCAGCTTCACGGCCCTTCACCCATTAAATCTGGCCCTACACCGGAAGGATCTCATTCCGGAAGGATTTTCTTTCTGGCTTTCATTCTACTGGACCAGCTCCCTTGTTTTCCAGCAAGTGGGAGATACACACCGTGCAAGAGAAAACCTCTGGATTAACTAGTTTCAAAAGTTGCTTTGATTCGCTTTTTCATTGAGGGATTGCACACATCTGCCTGCTTCTAGATTGCTGTACAGCAGCTGTGGGAGAGTCCCTTGACAAATGTTGACATCCAAGTACTGCCAGCCAACAATTCCGCTTTTCTCTTGCTTATTCTGCCAAGTCAGCAGAAGTTGCATCTGAACAAACATCTGTAGGAGAAGGCTGCAAAACTTGCTCAAGGAAAGAAGCCCAGCCATCTTTTATAGGCCGTTTTTTCCCCCCAGAAAAGAACTTCTGCTGTTAATATGTAATGTGTGGAGGATTGGGTTTGCACATTGCCTCGAGCTATAATTTGCTTAAGAAGGACACACTGAATAAGCCAGAGCTGGCCAAGCTCTATAATCTTGTCAATCTGGGTTTGTAACTATCTGCCACAGAGGCTGCTTTTCCGTAAAATCATAGTCAAACGTGCCTCAAAGGCTGTGATAGCTTAGTGCAGTGGTGGCGAACCTATGGCACGGGTGCCAGAGGCGGCACTCAGAGGCCTCTCGGTGGGCACGCGTGCTGTTGCCCCAGTCCTAGGCCTTCAGCTGGGTTTTATAAACCCTTTTCGCTTTAGGCATCCGCCACTGTGTGCAAAAAAAAAAAAGGTTCCATCAGTCAATTTCAACTTCTCGCGGAAAAAAAAAGATCTTGCAAAGTTGAAATTGATTGATTGAACTTTTTAGTCCCACCCAGTCTGCTGTTACCACCGCAGCCATGCCCACCCAATGGGCCACACCCACCCAATAGGCCACACCCACCCGGCACCCGACAATGCATAAGTGGGTTTTGGGTTGCAGTTTGGGCACTCGGTCTCTAAAAGGTTCGCCATCACTGGCTTAGTGCAATGTGTGAACAGTCCCTGAGACAAATGAATTCTAGGTATCTTAGGGACCTCCAGAACCTATGGACCCTTTTGCTGGATTTCACCATAACATTCTCCATTAGAAGCCTTGACTAGAAGGAGGTAACTTGCATCCTAGCCACTAGGATTTCAAAGCATGCTCCCTCTCATTCTGCAGAGATGCAAAAAAAACCTGCATCTTTTCCAAAATATGCCCTCAATAGCAAAAATCACCAAGGACAGGCACCTTGCCCAGACTGATACATCCCTCCACCTTGACTTACCCTTTTTGAATTCCTCCAGCATGGCGTCCAGCTTGGTGTCATGGAAGACAAAATGGACAGGATGGTTGTAGAACTTTGTGATGGTCTTGAGGGTGGTGCAGTCATCAGGGTCCACAAAGGCCAAGTCCTTGATGTACAGGATATCCACAATGTTGGACCGTTCTTCCTCAAAGACTGGTATACGGGTGTAGCCACTTTCCATGATTTCGGACATGGTGTTGAAATCTAAGATGCCATCGCTGTTGATCATGAAGCAGTCGTGAAGAGGGGTCATGACATCCTCCACCGTCTTGGTCCGAAGCTCCAGCGCTCCCTGGATCATGTTCAGCTCCTCCCTCATCAGATCGTTGTAAGGTTCGGTGATCTTCAGCATCTCCACCAGCTTCTCCCGGTTGTAGACCGTGCCAATTTCTTGGCCCAAGAGGAAGTCTAGGATCTTGCTGATGGGGAAGGAGATGGGAAGGGTCAAGAGCATGAAGATCTTGGTGAGAACGATGGTGTTGGCCCCCACGGCCAGGCCGTGGCGGGAGCAGAGCGCCTGGGGCACAATCTCCCCAAAGATCACAATGCCCGAGGTGGACGCGATGACCGCCACCAGCCCAGAGCCAATGAGGTCATCCAGCAAGATAGTGAGTGTGGTGTTGACCAAGACGTTGCCCAGCAGGAGCGAGCAGAGCAGATAATTGCCCTTGCGGCGGATGGGTTCGATTTTGCCGGCGTACCGCTTCTCCTTCTCGCTGCCACATTTCTGGACGATGCGCAGCTCCATGGGGTCCAGGGCCATCAGACCCAGGTTGAGCCCACTGAACATGCCCGAGAAGGCCAGCAGGGTCAGGATGAGGATGATCTGCAGCCAGAGGGGCAGCAGGTGCGGCTTCTCCTCCACTACGCGCAGGAAGGCATCCTTGCCCTCCAGGCGCAGCCAGGGCTGGCCGGGATCGCTCCGGGTGCACAGGACGTAGAGCTTGGAGCGCTCGGCCTTCCGCAGCAGCCGCACCTTCACGCCGATCACCGCCGAGGTGGCGCGGATCTCGCCGGCCTGGGGATGCACCACCATGTCCTGCGTCTTCTCCGGGCAGGTGGCGTTGGTGCCGCGGGTCCAGGTGCCGTTGCCGCCGGGCAGGCCCACCTCGGCGAAGTAGACCGCCTGGTAGACGCGGGCGGTCAAGCCCAGCCCGTAGAGGCGCAGCAGGATCCGGGCGCCCTCCTGCACCTGCAGCACGCCCGCCTCCTCCAACTCCAGCTCGGACAGCGGCCGGTCGCTGTGCTCCAGCCGCATGCCCAGCACCACGGGGCCGCCGCGGTCGTGGGCGGCGCCAGCCCGGCCGGGGCTGAGCAGGAGCAGCAGGAGCAGCGGCAGCCCCAACCTTGCCCGGAGCGGTCCCGGGGCTCCGTCCCCGTCCCCGGCCTCCTCCCCGGAGCCGTGCAAGGTCCCGACCCGGCGCAGCGCCATGTTCGACTCGCCTGGTTCGCGGCGGCTAGTCCGGAGCCGCTCGGCTCGCTAACTTTTGCTCGCCGAGGGGGAGGGGCTTCCGCACGTCACGGGCTCGGCTCATTTGCATACGGCACGCCCCCTTCCCCTCCCGCCTCGGGGGCGCCCCTTAAGGAGGCGCCGGGAAGGGGGGGGCTGGGCTTTTAAGGAGGCGCCACGCCTTAGCCGCGCGGAGAGCCGGTCTCCGGCCTTAGTCGGGGAGCTGTGCCTAAAGGGGTGGGAAGGAGGGGGACAGGGCGCTTTGCACGCGGGCCGGGACTCGAGCTAGGACGGGGACGGGTCCGGGTCTCCCCCCCTCCCCAGCCTTGGAGAAAGCTCGCCCGCCCCCCCCCCCGGCAGAGATGTCGGGGTGCCAATGCGAGCCCGGGGCGCCAATGCAAACCCGGAGCGCGTTGCACGGCGCCTAGCGCTGCGGAGAGGAACTTTGGGTGGGCGAGCAATTACTCACATCTGGGCTGGAGACTTGGCAAAGGTCGCCTTCTTACGCCCGTGCATCGTGATCTGGATGGAGGGATGGGTTTCACTTCCCCCCCACCCCCACCCCCACAATAGACTAGACCACCGTTTGACCAGGATGGAATAAGGTCTTCTGCCTTGAGCAGGAGGTCAGACTAGAAGACCTCTGGGCTCCCTCCCAGCCCGAGGATTCTCTTTTTCTATCTGCCTGGGTTTCCTCGGGCTGCAGCTGAGCAACGCAGCCCCGTTTGCTCCTCTTTCCCCAGGCAAGGAAAATGCCTCAAAGGAGCGGTAACCTCGCCCAGCGCCTCCCACTTGGCGCTGCTTTGCCAATCCGGTCATTAGCCTAAGCCGCAGTGTGATTTGCCCGCTTTTTAATTTAGCCTGACACGTGAACCCGGCTAATTTGAGGCTTTAGTCGAGAGCTACGGTCCTGTTCGGTTTGGAGAGTTTGGCGTTGCCGCAAGGTTGCTTAAAGAAAGCAAAAGTTAACAGCTGCTGCCGCCGGTAGATGGAATTCAACAGGTCGGCTTGGAGACGGAGGGAACTGAAGTTGCTGGTGTTACTGCCATTGTTCTTCATTGAGTTGACCTCTTGCCCTTTTTCCTTTAATGGACTGAAATCGGTTTATTTAGTGAAAGTATTTTTGGTGTGTTGACTTACTGCCTGACGCTTGTTGTTTTTCAAGGCATTATTGTGAAATGTGTCCGGTGAGATTATTAGGCAATGAGGTCAATGATCCACCAGCTGTATTCTTATTCGATCCTGGCCATCCCAAACACAGCAACCTTTGCCCCAAACAGCCAAAACTCCCCAGGAAAACGAATACAAAAATACAACTGCCTCTCTTCGCCTGAAAAACTAAACAGGATTAGGCTCTGGTTAAGGCGCTGAAAAGAGATCAGCCAGGGAATTACCAAACCCTTACCTCTTTTTGCCTTTGTCCTGCTATAGATTGTATTTTTGGCCGATCAAAAAGCGAGCCGGATCAGGGGTGGTTCGTGATGGGGTGAGATGCACCAGATACAACACACACACACACACATACACACACACACACAGCCTGTATTAACACTGCGTGATTCCTAGAGCCTGGGACTTGAAGTCCACAAGTCATAAAAGGGCCACATTTGAAGACCCCAGGGTTAAGGGAACTAGGTATGTCTAGTCTTAATGAAGAGAAAGATCTTCCAATATTTGAGCGGCTGTCACAAAGAAGGGGGGGACGACCTATTCTCCAAAGCCCCTGAAGGCAAGACAAGAAGTAACAGGTTGAGAAGATCATTAAAAGAGAGATCCGATGTTAAGAAATTTCATGACAGTGAGAACCATCAACTAGTGGAAGGGCTTGCCTCCAGAAGTTGTGGGTGCTCCATCACTGGAGGCTTTTAAGAAGAGACTGGACAGCCATTCAGAATAGGGTCTCCTACTTGAGCAAGGAGTTGGACTAGAACAGCAGTCCCCAACCTTTTTTGCACCCGGGACCAGTTTCGTGGAAGACACTTTTTCCATGGGGGGGGGGGGAGAGAGAGAGAAGCACACAACCTAGATCTCTTGCATGCACAATTTACAGTAGGGTTCACGCTCCTGTGGCAATTTAATGCCTGATGCTCTAAAGTGGAGCTGAGGCAGTGATGCTAGTGCTGGGGAGCAGCTGCAAATACAGAGGAAACTTCGCTCACTCGCCCACCTCCAGCTGTGCAGCCTGGGAGGAGAAGGGCTGGGGACCCCTAGACCTCCAGGGTCCCTTCCAATTCTTTTATTCGATGTATCCCAAGCCCTGGTGGCGCAGTGGTTAGAATGCAGTACTGCAGGCTACTTCTGTTGACTCCTGGCTGCGAGCAGTTTGGCTTAACAGAATAATAGAGTTGAAAGGGACCTTGGAGATCATCAGGTCCAACCCCCTGCTGAGGCAGGAAACCCTATATCATTTCAGACAAATGGCTGTCCAGTCTCTTCTTAAACACTTCCAGTGTTGGAGCATTCACCGCTTCTGGAGGCAGGCTGTTCCACTGGTTAATTGTTCTAACTGTCAGGAGGTTTCTCTTTAGTTCTAGGTTACTTCTCTCCTTGATTAGTTTCCATCCGTTGCTTCTTGTCCTGTCCTGAAACTCTCTTTGTGAGATGGCAAAGCTCTGCTCAACAAAACTAAATCCACCATTTTCTTGTATGAACTGAATTACTCAAGACATTTCCATGGATCTTTGCAGAAAGATTCATTCGCTGTATTGAAAACCAGGGCCAAATACTCCTAAGTAATCTGTGTTACTTATTCTAGCTACAGTAGATCTAGTAGATCTCAGGCCCACTTCCGTTACAACATCACAACCTTGAATCTCACCAGCTCAAGGTTGACTCAGCCTTCCATCCTTGTGAGGTCGGTAAAATGAAGGCTCAGATTGTTTGGGAGCAAGATGCTGACTCTGTAAATCACGTAGAGAGGGCTGTAAAGCATTATGAAGTGGTATGTAAGTCTAAGTGCTATTGGTATTGCTGACCCTGCTTAGCTCACACAAGGTCCACCCAATGCTGCCATCTGCTGAGGCTTTTCGGCTAAAAAGCTCTTCTCCATAGCCTACTACATGAAGTCATTCCAGTCCCCGGGGTACTGTGTGAAGTTCTCCCCAGCTGCCGTAGGATATTCTTAGTTTCTGCAAGGTCATTTCAATTATTGGTCATCCATGTGATTTTGGCCACTTCAGAAAAGTGACAACTTGGTCATGCTGTACCTCCATCAATGTTGTGGGCATCTGCATATTGCAAACAAGGTGCCTGACAGCAATTATCCAATTAGTAGGTTTCCCCTCTCCCTCTATGACTCATCTGTCATTCCGTGCGAGGTCTCTGGAAAGCCAGCAGCTGATGGTGTATTTATAACGCCCTTTATGAATGAAGAGATAAAGCAATGGGCGCGGGTGGGTGGAAGGCATCCATGACACCAAGGAGATCAGATCCAAAGGTGAACAAAGTGATATGAGTAAAGGGGATTTCCAGAGTTTGTCTTGGAGCTGGATGGCTTCATTCCCCAAATGTACAATCACCATTCTTGGAGCAACTGGAACCTTGCCCTATCATTAGCGTCCTCTGCATTTTCTTTTTGATGTTTTTCCAAAATGAATGTTGTCTTGCAAAAGTTAATTACCGTAGCTTTTTTTAAAAAATAAATTGATTATTTCCATTTCAATAGAAGCAGATGTTGAGACTCTGGAAAAAAAGCGTAGAAAAGAGCAACAAAGATGATTAGGGGAATGGAGACTAAGATATATGAAGAACAGTTGCAGGAATTGGATACGTCTGGTCTAGTGACTGATAGCAGTGTTCCCATATCTGAGGGGCTCCTACAAAGACAAGGGGGTCAACTTATTTTCCAAAGCACCAGAAGGCGAGACAAGAAACAATGGCTAGAAACTAACCAAGGAGAGAAGCAACCTAGAACTAAGGAGAAATTTCCTAACAGTGAGAGCAATCAGCCAATGAATAGCTTGCCTTCAGAAGTTGTGGGTGCTCCATCCCTTTCGAAAAGAGACTGGACAGCCACTTGTCTGAATGGTATAGACTTTCATGTTTGTGCAGGGAGTTAGACTAGATGACCTCCAGGGCCCCTTCCAAGTCTGCTATTCTATGTTCTAAGAGAGAAATCTTAAGCCGGGGAGAACAAATCATGCTGACGACAAATCTGAATGACTTGTGCCAAAGGGAGCTACCCTCTCACTGTTTCTTTTGTGTGTGTGTGTGTGTGTGTGTGTGTGTGTGTGTTGCTGGAGTCAATACATTTCATTTGGATTTTCCAGAGACTTTTACCCAACCATTGTAAAGAGCCCTGATAATCTTAGCAAGCATGGAACGGAGCAGAAATACTATTATGAATCAGTGATGTCTTTTTGGTCTCATTCCCACATCCTAAGTGCATCATCAGGGAGGTTAAAGGATTGTGGGAACATCATAAAGAGGCCAAAACAGGTTTTGACGTGCACAAGGCTAGTTCCACCAGTTAATGATGTTATATATAGCCCAGTCAATTGCCCCATTTTAATCTATTTGTTGTTAAGTTACTGGCCTAGAAACCAGGAAAGGTTGAGTTCTAGATCTAATTTAGGCCTGAAAGCCGGCTGGGTGACTTAGGGCTGGCCACTCTCTCAGCCCAGCCCACTTCAGAGGGTGGAGATTCTGGAGAAAATAGGAGGCAGGATTATTAGAACATAGAATTATAGGACTGGAAGGGACCTTGGAGGTCTTCTAGTCCACCACCCTGTTCAAGGCAAGAGACTTTATGCCTTATATATCTTATACCTTATAGATGTGTTTGCCATGTTGAATGGACCACACACATACACATACACATACACACACACACACACACACACACATGTATGTATGTTTTCTGAAGTTTTCGCGGGTGTTTGTATGTAGGTTTTTGGTTATTCGGGTAACCCGAATAACCAAAGACCTACATATATATGTAGAACACACCTCCACCCAATCAGAACACAGCCAAGCTCCCACCCAATCAGTTCATACCCCCACTGGCAGTTAAAAGGAAGAAACAGCTAAGACCACACATTGCTCCTCGAAGCACGAAGCTGAAAACACCAGCCTGAAGATGACGAATGGGACTTCGTCGAAACGTCGCCAAGACACTTCCAATTTTATGCGGGAGAAAACCCGAACAACCAAAGACCTACATATATATATATAAAAAAATTGTCTTATCACTAAGCCATGGACAAGTGATCAGTTCTTTTATTAAGTCAATCCACTTCCTTGAGTTAACTTAATCCCTTTAACCAGAAGGTCAATCTATCAGCTGAGTTAATAGAACATCAAGTCCACAAACTAGCCAACTCTAATTTAGCCTAAAGCAGGGGTAGGCAACCTTGGCTCTTGTATGACTCGTGGACTTCAACGAGAGGGTGTTCTGGTTTTGACCACTCTAGCAGCTTAGCTTCCTGGCTGGGATGAAACTGACTTAAACAAAGCGGCCACACCCTATTGGGAATTTGGGTAAAGTATGGGAGGGAGTCATCCCTGGAAAGCTTCTGTGTGAGAGGTGATTACATCCATTTTGTGGTGCTTTAAATATCAATAGAGTTACTGATTTGCATCTGATTTCCCCAGCAGGCAGACTAATACTTTGTTCTCCGTTCTGGTTGATGTTGTAATAGTAGTTATGCTAATAGACAGGTGCAGGGCCTCCTTGGGGGCAGCACCATAATTTTGAAATGCTCTTGCAAGAGAAGAACAGCTGACTCCCATGCAGTTTTATTGAAAGTGGCAAGTGAAGACATGCCAATTTATAAAAACACTTATAAAAGGCTAGGGAACATGCTGCCTTTGAGATTCCATTTTAAAAAATGACATTTATTGAAATGTCGACATTTTAGAATGCTTGGCTTTATTTCTTATTACCAAGAGTTTGTGTTCTTTCGTTCAGTGCTTTTTGGGGGAAAGATGAGGAAGGAAGAGGATAGCTGTCAGATTCTGGACAAATCGGCTGAGATTTCAAGGTCGCATCACGACGCATCAAACCCAAAACAACCCTCGGGGGCAGCTGGGGCAACATGCCCCATGCCCGCCCAACCAGAATGACAAATGGACAAAGGCTACCTGCTTGTGGCCAGGAGGGGCTAAGGAAGAAAGGTCAAATCATCTGATTCATGACCATCAATATGGGGACGCTGACTGGTCGAGGCCGCGAGGTGACCAAATCGCTTGAGCGGTTGGCATTGCCTGCATTCAAGAAACAAAGTGGAAAGGTGTGACGGTCCGCAGTATCGGTGAAGGATACAAGCTTCTGTACTACGGCACAACACCAGGGCGCAATGGAGTAGCTATGGCCCTCTGCAAACGGCTCCGAAACAGCATCATTAAAGTAAACTCATTACAATGAATACAATCATTAACCAAAGTTGCTGCTTCTAATTCCATTTGAGGATTAGTTCTAGTACTGAACGTACCAGGATTCAGGTGAGAACACAGCTGTCTTAGACTGTATTGCAACAAAAACAACATACTTCGTGATTCCTTCAAACAACCTCAGCTGTATTAAATGGTTTATTCCAGAGGTCCCCAACCTTTTGGGCACCAGGGACCCGTTCCGTGGAGAAAGTTTTTTCCACAGACTGAAGAGTGTGTGGTTTTGTGTGCTGCCTGCATCCCACAGATGAGGCTTTGCTTGTTTGTGTGGACCGGTTGCTGACATGCCACGGACCATGGGTTGGCGACCCCTGGTTTATTCCATTGCAGATATATATACAAATTGAGGAAAGAGAGAGTTACATAGAGAGAAAGAAACGTCAATGAACAGAATGAAACATGGTAAGCTAAGCAGTCTGTGCTTAACCAAGGTTAACTGAATAAATCACAGTTGGCTGGATTTACCTTGTTCTGTAAGCTGTGATTTAAAACCACCCAGAGAGAGTTCACACAACTCTCTAAATATAAACATAAGAATCATTATTGGGGGTCAGCATGTTCTGTGAATACAGAATAATAGAATAGCAAACTTGGAAGGGACCTTGGAGGTCTTCTAGTCCAGCCCTCTGCTCAAGCAGGAGATCCTGTACCATTTCAGACAGGTGGTGCGTCCCCTCTCTTCTTAAAAGCCTCCAGCGATCAAATGCTGACAACTTCCGAAGGCAAGCCGTTGATTGTTCTCGCTGTTAGGAAATTTCTCCTTAGTTTTAGGTTCAATCAGAGACCCTTCCGTTTGACAGGCTTGAATGCAACTTTTTCACAACAAGAAGAGTTAATGCACAATTTGCATCATATGGCAGAACTAGACACTACAGGTAATCCTTGAGTTGCAACCATAATTGAGACCAGAATTTTGATTGCTAAATAAGATGGTTGTTCAATGAGTTGCATCCAACCTTATGACTTTTTTTTAAAACTATGGTTGTTACATGAATCACTGCAGTTAAATGAATCATGTAGTCATTAAGCCGGGTCTTCAAACGTGGCAACTTTAAGACTTGTGGACTTCAACTGGCAGAATTTTGGGAGTTGAAGTACACAAGTCTTAAAGTTACCAAGTTTGAAGATCCCTGCGTTAAGTATATCTGACTTCCCCAATGGACTGTGCTGACCAGAAATAGCTGGGAAGATCGCAAATCACATAATTCCAGGATGCTGGAACTGTGCTGGCACAGTGGTTAGAAGACAGTGCTCTGAAAATGAGAGAATCGCAGTTGGAAGGGATCTTGGAGGGCATCTATTCCAACCCCCTGCTCAAGCAGGAGACCCTATATTAGAAAATCCAGGTTTACTTTTCAGGGTGACATTATTTAAGCTTCATTGTTTCACATGCTCATTTCTTTGCACAACTATGGAATTCAGGGTAATCTTTTTATTCCTGCTCAGGCTATCCTCCACAAAACTCAATTATCTCTTTATCAGCTTCTCATGAGTTAACATTTAATCTACCAGCAGCCCGTCTTCATGTTCCTATCTAGGCTCATTGATTGTAACAGAGTAGCTCAGCCATACATATTCCACCACATTTAAAGCAGCTCCTAGCTCAATATCTAAGCCCAGTTTTTTAAGGACCTGCTTTGAATTGCAAACTATGGGGACTTGTTTCTATTTGTCAGCAACAAGAGTTTTCTGTGCTACTTTTGCTAAATTGTGAGACTTCTAGATTTGGGCTGCCAAATCCCAAAGAATACAAAAGACTCTTAAATCTCCGCGAGCTCCTTCATAGGCGTCATTAGGGTGGTTGAAGTGAAGTTTACTACTTGGAGTCATCCTCACTTAGTTCAATGGGGCTTCAGGGATTTGACTTGCAAAACGGATAAGGATTAAAAAAAAACAACTCAGTTTTTGCAAGTCGGAGTTGGTAACATTGCCTTAATCTCCAGTTATTTCATAGGCTAGATTGGAAATAACTTCAATTTTAGCTGCCTTTCAACCCAGTCATTAGCTGTTGAAGACACGGTGCTTAGAGCAGGGGTCCTCAACCTTGGTCACTTTAAGACTTGTGGACTCCCAGAATTCTGGGAGTTGATGTCCACAAGTCATAAAAGAGCCAAGTTTGAAGACGCCCCCCCCCCCCCGGTTTAGAGAGCAACGCCGAGGCTGAAGCAGGGCGTTTTCCCTTTAAAACCGGACGGAACTTTTGCACTACGTTTCCCAGAATCCTTCGCGGCGCGCTACGTCGAAATAAAGCGTTCGGCCAATCAGCGAGGGAGAAGGGCATCCTCAGCCCACGGCGAGAGTAAGATGGCGGCGGCGGCGGCTTGGGGATCCGGCAGCGGGGATGCCAAACTCCGCCGGCGGCTGCTCCTCTTATGGCTGCCGCTGCTGCTGCTTTGGGAAGCCGGGGCGGAGCAGATGGAGGAGTACCTGAAGCGGGAGCATTCGCTCACTATGCCTTATCAGGGTACTGCCTCTCCTTGCCCCCCTTCGCGATTATATTATATTGCACGGTGGAAATCCGTCCGGTGCAGCCCCTGTTCAAGACGGGATGTTTCTCGCCTTGGAGAGGCTCCACCTGTTGCATCTCTGCCTGTTAGGGCACCGGGCTTCCCCTAGAGTTGCTTTCCTAGATGCGGGGGTGGTGGAGGGAAACTGTTGGGGCTGCCTCGGTTGAGCGTTCCCCGTTTTGCAAAATGCAGCGTGCAAAGAAGCCGCGTGCATCATCTGGGTTACAAAGTTGGGCGTCGGCACAGAGTTTATACAGGGCTGGGGCCAAGAGGTCCATTGCTGGGTGCAAGGAGACAACGCAATAGGGGGAAATTTCCTTGCCAATGTTGCTTGCTAGCAAAGTGGGAAAGGGGTTACATTTCCACCTGGGGGGGGGGAGGCCAAGTGAATGCTGTTCATCCAGGTGGAGTTTTTGAAATAGGCCCTTTGGGCCCAAACCCTGACCAAGAGGCTGGAGCTGTGAAAGGCAGCGTGATGGGAGTGGAACTGCTGGGATTTTGGTGCAGGCTTGGGTGGGTGCAGAGGGGATGTGTCCTGTTGCAATTGAGTGGCATTTCTAAAGTCCTTCTGCACAGGGGGTATCTTTCTCCATGTCCATCCAAGTCAAGCGGTTGGCTTCTATTGAAACTTGGCATCATAGCTTTAGCCTCTGATTTCAGGCTTGGTTAGGGTGTTTTGCAACACACAGCTAAGTATTGTGTGAATTGTGGAGGGCCAGAATGCTCCAGAACTCTAGTGTGGTTATTCACCTGGCTTTGGAAAGAGAGACTTTTAATGAAACCAAGGAAATAGAAAGCTGGCATTCTACCACAAACGCAGGGAACCAGCTTTGCAACATGGTCTTTGTTTGCAGCTTGACCTTTGGCTTCATAAACTTTCCCCAAGAGGTTGAATGTTGCCTTCTGGACAGGGTTTCATAACTGACCACGTTCCTCCATAATGACCGTTCAGAGGCAGCTCAAGCTCTGACGTGAGAGGTTGGGAACCAGTTTTGATCTAGCGAGCAACCTGTCCTTAACATTCTTTGTTTTTCAGGTGTGGGATCTGGCAGCTCCTCACTCTGGGAACTTATGGGCAATGCAATGGTGATGACCCAGTTTGTTCGTCTCACCCCAGATATCCAAAGCAAGCAGGGTGCTGTGTGGAACAGAGTGGTAAGGCTTAATTGCCTGAGGGTGGGCTCTGGGAATTCATTAGGGCTGGAATAATTAGCAGGTGCCTTCTCTGTTGATGTTATCCTGTCTGTAGCAAAAGGAGGGAAGGGTGAAGCAATAGCGAACGTCCTGGGGGAATGAAGTCTTGCAAAAGGGCCTGATGTGCCAAGGTGTTTTACTTTGCCCAGTTGGAAGGTGTAGGCTGATATTGGATTTTGCATATTGCATTAAGCTGGAATTTGTTTGGCCATGGTTTAGGAAATAAACAAGAGTTGGTTTCACAAACCATCCTTTGGGTCAGCAAATGTTGCTCACGCTTGGCTGAATGTGCTTTCGGCGGACTCTTTTTTTATCTTTTAGGATAGTGTTTCTCAACTTTGTGACCTGTGGACTTCAACTCCCAGAATTCCCCCTGCCACTCTTGCAGAGTTGCTGATGTTGAGAAGTACAAGTAGTCCTTTGACTTACAATTGAACCCAAAAGTTGGTGATCCCTGTCATAAGTCACTTTTTTTCAGTGCTGTTGTAACTTTGAAGGGCCACTAAATGGATGGTTGTATGTCAAGGACTACCTGTACTGTTTTAAGATTGTGTTGATTTCCTTCTGTTTTCTTTTAGGAAGTTTGGGCACCAAGCAAAGGGTCTGATTACTGTGTACTTCAGTCATTGTAGGACAAGGGCTGTTAGTCCATGGTAGCACAACATCACAAAGAGTTGATAGTGCCTTTTCTGCTTAGACATTATATTAAAAGGTATATGTCTCACAAGTAATCTATATTTGCACAACCAAACTGTCTTGCCTTCTCTTCCCCATCATCCCACACCTCGCCCCAATTCAGGGGTCTTGCCCCATTCCGTGCCTTTGAGGAATGAGCTGCAGCTCAAGAAACTTTGTGCCGTTAATAAAATTGTAGTTGGAAGAGGTGCTATCAAACTCATGATTTCATGGAACACAACTATCCATATATGTTTGTTTGTTTCCCGATAGGTACTTTGGGGTCTACTGCAAACGGTTGCATTTGCATTTTGCACATTTCAAAAATAGCCTTTATCTTGAACAAAGATGAATTTTATTATGGTAGCTGCAACTAATAAGGACGTTTTCTAAGAGCACTGAAGCAACAAAGTTCTGTTTTTTAAAACAATCATAAATTCCCATGGTTTGAGAATTTAGCATAGGATATTTTGTATCCAAAGGGAGTGGGTTGGATAACAATGTTACAGCCTTTTCTATTTCATGGTTTGCATTTTTGTTGAAGTGGCTGAGCAAATTATGAAACTAACTTCAACTGGAGACATTCTTGTCTCTAAAAATTCAAACTGAGAATTTGAAAATCCTGATTCTGTGCGGCTAGTTTGATGGACTAGAATAATAGAAGAGAATAATAACTTAGCGTTTTAACACCCAGTGATGGCTTTGTCAAGAAACCATGATTAAACACTGGCTTAGTGAGATGTATACCATGATTGTCTCAGAGCCTACTTGAGCCACATCGATGGTAGCTTTATTTCTCTTTTCTGTAGAAAGCTTGATAAAACTTGAATTGTGAGCAGAGCTGGTGCAAATGCTTCTAGTTTGACTGCTGCTGAGATTTCAGCCGTCAAATCTCAAGAATATTTTAAAATTTTACTGCAGACAGGAATAGAGTATAATGTGGTTGCAAAAATACAAGCTTTTTAAAGTGGGATCTAATATCCTGATCATCAGTTTCTGTGATTCTGCAGCATTTGCACTTGAGAGCATTTGCTCATCTTTATCAAGTTGTTTGCTTTCTGGCTGTGCTGTTCCCTGTAGTTTAATCATGCAAGTTGGGATTAATTACTCTCTTTCCAGCCCTAAATATAGCTCAGTTGGAAGGGGAATACATAAGATTATTGGCACAAGGAATTGGAAAAGTGCCCCTCTCTGCTGCTCGGTGTATGAGAAGGTTGTCCTTTGCAACCGCTAATGTGCAAAAACAGTTGTCACCTTCAGCTCTTAATATTTGCAAGCACTTAAAAATAAACGAAGCATCCAGTAAATATTTTGACTCTAGCTGGAAGATTCTCTTCTGGGTGTGAAGACACAGAATTGGGGGAGGAGATGCATAAATGAAATAAAAGCACCAACCTTTTCTCTCAAAGGTGCTTTTTCAAAAGGCACCTGGAGAAGTTGAAATGGATTGATTGATTGAACTTTTTTTTTTGCGCACAGCGGTGGAGGCCTAATGCGAAAAGGTTTTATAAAACCCATCTGAAGGCCTAGGACTGGGGTGAAGACACACGTGCCCACAGAGGGCTCTGCATGCCACCTGTGGCACGTGTGCCATAGGTTCGCCACCACGGCCTTAGCACATAAACCACAGCATACAAACTATGGTGTTTGGGATTCCATATTGGAAGAAGGCCAAACCAAATACTGACCCATCTGGTTTGGTTGAATATGTAAAGTCGGTTCTGAACTTGATTGCACCCGGGAAACCAAGCTATGATGTGTGTCTCTTTGTTTAGCATGTGACAGCAATCCAGAACTTTTTTTTCATAGTTTATAGCTTTTTCTTTGTCTTGGTTTTGTGATATAAGCTGTTGTGTATTCTGAGCATTATACCCACAAAAACGTTTTAGCAGAATTTATCCTGCTTTGAAAGGATCCATTTTCTTAGGAACTTACGCATCTCGCCTGCAAAGAAAGTGTTAAATACATTTTTCCCTTAATCACAAAGATGTTGCTTGCATAAGTTGCGGGTGCTCCAACAATGGAGATTTTTTAAGAGATCGGACAGCCATTTTTCTGAAATGGTATAGGGTCTCCTACTTGAGCAGGGGGCTGGACTAGAAGACCTCCAAGGTCCCTTCCAATTCTGTTGTTCTGTTAAGCCTTTAATGGTTCTCTCCTTTCTGAATTGCATCTTTTTTGCTTTCAACAGCCTTGTTACTTGAGAGACTGGGAGATGCAGGTGCATTTCAGAATCCACGGGCAAGGGAAAAAAAACCTCAACGGTGATGGCTTTGCCATCTGGTACACAAAGGATCGAATGCAGCCAGGTAAGGACTTTTCCAAATCCATGCCAAGCCTTGATCTCTGGTGCTGCAGTCTCTTTGCAGCGAGCCAGCCCATTGGCTGGCAGATTTAGAAAGAGGTCCTTTCCTTGGCTACAAGTATCTTTTATACCCATTGATGCTTTTCCTTGTTTTCTTCAGTAGAACCAATGACAAAAACTTCATAGGGTGTTGTGTATGTTATGTATAAGGATGTTTCCCAATTGCGTCCTCAAGTTGGCCTGCATTGTCCTTCTGGCCCAAGTCTTCTTTTGAATTAAACTAGAAACCTTGTGTTCTTGCACCAATACGTGTTCAAAAATGAAGGCCGTTGTTAGATATTGTTTAAACAACAACAACAACAACCCAGAAAGTCTAAGCAAAGTTTGTCGCAAAATTGCATTTTCCAAAAGACAACTGGACTTTCTAGGTTTTTTTTTCCCCTTTGAAAACATTTCTCCTCTCATCCAAAAAGCTTCTTCGGTTCTAACATGACTGGTGGGGACTGGAGAAGCTTCTTGGATGCGAAGCAAAATGTTTCCAAAGGAAAAAAGAAGTCCAGTTGCCTTTTTCTGAAAAAAGCACCTTTGTGGCAACTTATGACCTGCATGATTGAGTGTCTCCATAGATAGATACTAAGCCAGGGATGGCGAACCTTTTAGAGACCAATTGCCCAAACTGCAACCCAAAGCCCGTTTATTTATTGGCGGGTGCCAGGTGGGCGTGGCCCACTGGTTGGGCGTGGCTGTGGCAGTCATGGCAGATTGGGTGGGTGTGGCCAAGGTGGTTGTGATCACTTCAATGTTGCTCGTGGGGAGGGACGCCTGTGGGGGTAGGCAGGGTTGGGGGAGTTCCAGGGGGTCTCTGGCAGGTGGGGCAGTAGGCAGTAGGCTTGTTCTGCTGGGTAAGGCAAGGCAGGGTGGGGCAGCAGCTGCCTGATACCATCAGCCCCCACACACAGATGCCAGTGAGCGCATGGGGGCCAATGCTATCCGTCAGCAGCCACAGCCTGCCAGCCCCTCGACCGGTGCACTCTGGGGCTCCACAGCCCGCCGCCAGCAGTTCAAAGAAGCCGCCTCTGAGCTGGATGGCTGGCCGGTGGGTCGTGCCCGGGAAAAGGAAAGCATGCGAGGCCAGGAGGAACGGGGAGGGAGGGAAACCAGCCGTGTCGGGATGCATCCGGCCATGTGCGAGTTAGCAGGCAGCTGGTTGAAGAAGGGCAGTTGCCGTCTCCGGGGCATGGCGCGCGTGCCCACACAGAGGGCTCCGAGTGCCGCCTCTGGCATGCGTGCCATAGGTTCGCCACCACTGCACTAAGCGAAGTTTTCTTTCATTTTCTAAACCTTTTTTCTTGTGAAGGCCAGGTCCTCCAGAATTTAACTGGGCGTGTGCAGAAGAGAATCTAAGCTTTTCCACCATAAAAAAAGGGGGAAATTTTGAGGGGTCCTTGGGGCTCTCTGAGCTTCTTTCCTTGCAGACTTTCTTGCACTGATGATGTTACCTAGTTTGGTAACGAGAGGTCTGCAAGAAAACAAGCAAGCGCAGAGAGCACCCAAAGCCGCTCCCCTCGTTTGAACCCTGAGCTACAAATATCCTCCTTTAAGGGAAAATTCTTTTGGCTTTTCTAAAAGCATGAATTGATCTCTGGAGAAACAGCTGCTGGACTCCATTTTTTTGTCTGTTCCAGGGCCGGTCTTTGGCAGCAAGGAAAACTTCATAGGGCTGGGCGTGTTTGTAGACACCTACCCCAATGAGGAGAAGCAGCAGGAGGTAAGGGCCACCCTGGAATGGCTGTGCAGGCAACAAAGAAGGCTGGGGAGGGGGCATTGGCCTCATCCTGGTCGGCCATTGGAGCTGGGCTAAGAAGACCGTTGGCTGCTGCGATGTGTCTTAAGTTCCAAATCTGTCAGGAATACTGCTGAACTCATGTTTCTGTAGTTTCATCTGGATATTGCCTATCTATTCATCTTTATAGGTAAAAATCAATCATTCCTTCACATCAACTTCTAGCGTGGATTAGGACCGTGTGTGTCCTCTGGTGGTCCCCTGTTTATATCAGACAAAGACATTCCAAACTGGCACATAGCCAGGATATCCTGTGATGAACTTAGTAGTCCCTCCTACTGACCTGTTCACATGGGATTTACTGAATAGCTAAACTACATTACCCATAAGCTATCTCTTAAGGAGACAGCACTTAATCTTATAAATGCCAAACATTCTAACATACTGACCCATCTAACTGGCTGATCCAGAACACCCTTGCTATACGATGTTAGAGAATGCAAAGTTACAAGCCAGAATTTTTCTGCTTGCTTCGGTCTGTATTCCTGTATTAAGGCAGGAATCTCTCCTCCAGCCCCTCCGATTCCAGGATCCCTTAGCTTTCCAGCCTGGTATATTTTCCCACCTTTTCCCTAACCTAAACAATCAGTTATAGAGGAGAAGAAGCAGCCCGGGGATTGCATGAAGGGAGATTAAGTCAGCTTGAGACAATCTGTTGGGTGACTCTCTCTTGCTTCTGTCCTCTCCTCTTCCCTCCGACTTTGCAATAACCCTTCTGGATTCTCAGGCCCAGAAGAAGAGGTATACTTCAGGAAACCAGGTATTTCATACGGTCCCTTTCTAGATCCTTTATTCCAACTTTGTAGTGTAGTCTTTGCCCATTCCATCTCTCTCTCTTCTTGCTGCTTGATTCAGCTATCACCTCTGGCCGGTAATGGAACAGCACAGCTTGGGGCAGAGATTGTTGGCACCTTAGTCTTTTTCTTGTGATTATAAGAGCCGGGGTGGCGCAGTGGTTAGAATGCAGTATTGCAAGCTGACTCTGCCTCACTGCCAGGAGTTCGATCCTGGCCGGTTCAAGGTTGACTCAGCCTTCCATCCAGATAGCTGGGGGCAATAAGCTGACTCTGTAAATCGCTTAGAGAGGGCTGTAAAGCACCGTGAAGCGGTATATGTCTACGTGCTATTGCTATTGTCAACAAGGCATCTTTTTTTGGGCGGCTTTTCCTTGCTTTTTGGAGAGGTATCTAGTTCCAGTCCCCCCCCCCCAATTCAGATTCCTCATGTGGCTGGAGCCGGTAGAAGCAGAGGGGCGAGGGGGGATGTCTAGGGCAGCTTTTCTCAACCTCAGCAACTTTGAGATGAGTGGACTTCAAGTCCCAGAACCCTCCTGGCATCCTGGCAGAAAGTTCTGGGAGCTGAGGTCCACCAAGTTGCCAAGTTGGAAAAGCGCTGACCTAGGGTGTACCTGGTCGGCTTGGTTAAAGCAAAGGGGTATTGCAGGCCTCTTTCCTTTGTCTCTTTGGTTGTGAGAACCTCAATACCCAGAATTCCTTAACCAACATGGCCTATGCTGGATCCTTCACACACCTGGTGGTTGCCTACTTTTGAGGGTCTTTGTTTGTGCTGCTTCCTTCTGAGTCAACAGTGCTAGTTGCTCAAAGCTGCAGGAGCCTGGGAAATGCTGTGGTGTGTCCACAGGGGGATAGGGACTCATTTCCTCCGAGGAAATGCATTTTCCACCCAGAGAAAGTGGTGGGAGAACTTGCATGGGGTCCAACGAAGAGAGGTGTGTGGCTTAGTTCAAAACCTCCATGCAATGTGGACCTGGTTGCCACCAGGTGCAATGATACATGACTGGCTGAGATAACACGGCTGTGTGAAACACACGCTTACACAGAACCATCCCTAGGCCAATGGTTCCTAACCTTTCTGGCTTTGCGGACCGGCGAGGTGGGAGAGGTACTAGTTCTGTGTGAATTCCATTTGCGTGAGCGCATTGCTTGTTTTCTCTTGCTTTCCTTCTGCCCAAATCCAGGCTGACATCACTTGCTTCTCAGTTGTCTTGAACTGCCTTGCTTCCCAACACACCTCCTCCTGCTCTTGGCCTCTCCAGCTCGGCTCCATTGCATCCCTCCTCGCATGCTCCTTTCCACTCTGCCGAATGTGAACCAGTGTGAAAAGATCTGTTCGGATGAAAAGCCGGTCTCTTCCTTCTGTTCCTTCTCCAGCGTGTCTTCCCGTACGTCTCAGCCATGGTCACCAACGGGTCCCTTGTCTACGACCATGAGAGGGATGGGAGGCCGACTGAACTCGGTGGCTGCACAGCCATAGTCCGGAACCTGGAGCACGACACTTTCCTGGTGATCCGATACGTGAAGAGGAGACTTACGGTGAGTATCTACAGTCTGCAACTGTTAAGAGCCCTGGTGGCGCAGTGGTTAGAATGTGGTATTGCAGGCTCACTGTGCCGACTGTCAGCAGTTCGATTCTTATCGGCTCAGGGTTGACTCGGCCTTCCATCCTTCCGAGGTCAGTAAAATGAGGACCCAAATGGTTGGGGACAATATGCTGACTTTGTAAATAATTTAGAAAGGGCTGTAAAGCACTATGAAGCGGTTATATAAATCTAAGTGCTACTGCTAACTGTCTTGTCTGTCTGTTTGTAGGAATTGGATTAACTTTTATTAAATAACCTGAAATGAGTTATAATCAGGTTCCCATAATCTCATAATGTTTTGGTAGTAGTCTTGCTTCCTTGGAACGCAATCACATTTCCGATGCTGTTTGTCAGACATCTGGAGGTGTTCTTCTTGGCGTAGCTTTTTTCAGACACATCTTTTCTCTCCCGCCCCATCCAGTTCTCCTCTCTTCGTTATCCCCTCTGTCTGAAATTTTAACTGGAAAGAGGTGGCCCCTTGTTGTGGTGCTCTGAGTGACAGTTCTAACACCCAATCATCACGTCCTTCCCAAGGATTCTCCAGGTAAGCTTTGGAAAGGATGCATCTAGAATGAGTCTTCTCTCGTTTGACTTGAGGTCTTGCTTGATATTGACGGAAAGCACGAATGGAGAGATTGCCTCGACATTCCTGGAGTCCACTTACCCCGCGGATACTTCTTCGGAATCTCTTCCGTCACAGGAGACTTGTCAGGTATTGCTCATAAGCCCAGCATAGCTGGAAGAGTTTTTTTCCCTACAGTTTTTACTTCTGGAGAAGATCCTGCAGAGCTTAAAAACTTGGAACAAGAGAAGGGAACCCGTAGGCAGCTTCCTCAATAGAATGACTTCCAGATGTGTTGGACTTTAGCTTCCACTACGAGTAAACTTGATGTCATGGTTCTGACAGATGAAACTCTTCAAAGAATTTTGAGGCATTGTTTACCTTAAAGAATCTTTATTCGAGCAGCATAGCATTGGCATGTACATAAGCGAAGCCAAAATCTGGATTCCCCTCTCCTTAGCACATAGTATCAATCACAATTACCTTCTCTAATTAACAGTCATAAATCACATTCTCCAATTAGTTTGAAATGCAGGCTTTCCCTCCTTTACTCCAACCTGGCCTTCTTATCATCTCTTATTTCAAAAGCCCTTGAGTTCACAGCTATTACAATATTGTTATGTCTAACTAATTCCCATCACACTTGACTTTTTTTAATGTCAAAAGTAGGAGCAAAATTCAGTAGCCAGCTAACTGGGAAAGAGATTCAGTGAATGGCTGTAAGTTGGGTCTTCAAACTAGGTCCTTTTATGACTTGTGGACTTCAACTCCCAGAATTCCTCAGCCAGGCACGCTGAGGGGAAAGGGAGTGGTTTCCAAGCTGAGCCATGCTGGCTCAGGACTTCTGGGAGTTGAAGTCCACGAGTCATAAAAGAGCCGAGGTTGCCTAAGCCTGGCCTAGTTTGAAGACCCCTGCTCTAAATGGGCTTCCTCCTCATTATCCCCCTTCCTCTTCGAACTCAGACAATCACGACATAATTTCTCTGAAGACCTACCAGCTGACGGTTGAACGGACACTAGAAGAAGAGAAGCGTGACAAAGAAGTCTTCCTTCCGGTGGTGGAGAACATGAAGCTTCCTGGAAGTGAGTATGATGTTCAGTTTTACCCAATGAAATGAATCGGGGCAAACACAAGGAGGTCTGGGTTTTTGGTTTTTTTTTTTACACAATGCATAATTAAGTTTCAGGATGTATTACCGTGAGATGTAGAACTGCAGGTTTCAAAGAAAGGTTAGACCGATTAATGGTAGACCTAGGGATCAATGTCTACTAGCCTTTAGTAGCCATGGGGCTACCTGCAAAGGCCATCTGTTAGGAACCAATGGCTTCCACGGGCAGTTGGTGGGCCACTGTAAGAAAAGTTCTGATAGGCCAGGAGTCCAATCCAACAAGATACTGCTTCGGTTCTTACAACAGCTGTGGCTTAAGGATTGGCGCTGCAGGCAGAATATAGTTGTCCCTGGGATGGCGAGGCCCTTGAATTGAAGGAAGTGGATACTGCATTTTGCTTATGGCAGCATCCTGTTGGGTCTCTTCAGTGGAGGGTCTATTTCAGGAGACCCACTGGAGGCTATTCCAACAAGGATTTGCCATGGAGTTTTCAGCAGTTGGTCTCCTTAAGGCAGGGGTCTTCAAACTTGGCCGCTTTAAGACTTGTGGACTGGCTGAGGAATTCTGGGAGTTGAAGTCCACAAGTCTTAAAGCGGCCAAGTTTGGAGACCCCTGACTTAGGGTGTCAGTGAAGTAAGTGCTGTGGAAAACCCTAATGTGCATTGGATGTATGGGTCTTTCTAGCTCAGCACACCCAAGTGGAGTAGGAAGCAGTCCAGATATCAACAAAGAGCTAGAGCTTGTTCTTATAACTAGTCTGACCTCTGCACCTGTCCTTTGCAGTGGAGACGCCGATGGAACCCCTGAGTGGCCTTGCTCTCTTCCTGATAGTCTTCTTTTCGCTGGTGGCCATCGTCTTCGCCATCGTCATTGGCGTTATCGTTTACAACAAATGGCAAGAACAGAGCCGGAAGCATTTCTACTGACCCACAGGCTTCCTCTTCGATTCCTCCGGTCCTCCTTGCTTTCTGGATAGCCATCGGATTTCATCAGCAAGAGGCGATCATGGAAACGGGCAGCTCAGCGTGGGAAGCCCCCCCCCCAGTAGGTCTCTCTGGCTCCTAAACCTAACAGAAGGCTGGCATCTGGACTGGTGGGCTCCTGGTGGTGGTGAGACACCGTCATCTCTGCTCTTTCTTTTGCCTTCCTTGAACTAAGGTCTCAGCGCCGGCTTTTGGTGGGATGTGACAGGCTTTGTCAGCACACAATGGAGCCTCTGTTGACTTGTTTGGGGGGATATTTAATCAGAGATTTGGAGCTGCCCTCCTTGGCTCCTCTAGTGGGGTTTATTAGAAGATGGGAGCTGTCAAGCTAGCAGTGAAAAGGAAATTGGGATATGGTAATCAGCAGTAATGAACTGAATGTTTCTTTGGGATGCCTTAAGTAGCATATTACTGCCTGGAGGACAATGGCAGAACCCTTGTAGCATAAAGAAAACCAAGGCTCTTATCTTGTTCAGCCCAGCAACACAATCCTTTTCTTCTGTTCTTTATAGATCAGGAAAAGCATCGTAGTGAAACCACTGTCCTGCTGAATCAGCCAATATGAATCTCTTTGCTCCTTAAGCACAACTCTCTCCTCATCCTTTTCTTCCTTCTTCTGCTTCTCCATTTTTGCCTTCTCCTTCCCTCTCTCCACTTCTTCCTTCTCTTTTCCCTTCTCCATTTCCTCCTCCTGCTCCTCCTCCTCCTGTATCTGTTGCTTCTACCTCTCCATTTGTTCCTTCTCCATTTCTTCTCTTTCTCCATTCCTTCTCCTTTCTCCCCATTTCCCTCTCCCATCTGTCCTCGTGACATTTTATGGCTGCCTCAGTGATCCTTGCTGCTGTTCTGTGCTTTCCCTGGGTGAACTGAGGTGGCCCTTGCCAAAGAGATGATATTGTGGTTTTTGCTGGGCTTCCAAGGGATTCTTGAATGTTTTGAGTTAAGCTTTGGAAAACTGAAGCTTGTTTGGCAGCTGGTGGAGTTCAGAGCAGGGAGTGTTGTTAAACTACTTCAAAAGATGGTTTCATCCATTGGCCATCTTTGCATCATTCAGGAATGAGCCCCTCACCAAGAGTAATCGTAGAGCCTGTAAGTTGGGCACTAACCTAACCTCTAAAATCTCCCCTAATGGCAGGCCTGGCCTCAGCAGGGGGCTGGCAGATCTCAAGGGTGTCTCGAGGGGACAGTTAGCATGCAAGCAGAGGTGGCCCAACTTGAGGCTTTTCTAATAGTAAACACTTGTGAACTACTTTACTAAGAAAAAAAGTGCTGCTAACTGCTGCTGTTAGATTTTCTGATGCCAGCTTTTCTTGTTATTGAGGAGAATCTGACCTCACTTCATCTTCCTGGCTGCTGGATCCACCACGTCTCTTTAGTTAATATCCTATCCTATCCTATCCTATCCTACCCTTCTCCATCCGTCCCTCCCAATTTTATAAGAGAGGAGTGGATTGACCTACAGGTAATCCTTGAGTTATGACAACAATTGAGATCCTGGTTGCTGTCACTAAACAATGCAGTTGTAGAGAGTTTACTGATGGCAATCCAGGCTGTCCCGGTTCTCATCATAACCCCAAGACATGAAGGTCGTTAAGTGGGAAATGGAGGAAGTACCAGGTGGGGAGCGTGGGAGTACTGCATGTGAGTTGGGATGCCGCGTTGTGGCATGAACTTGGGGAGGTGGGAAAAGAGGGTGTGGGATACACATGTGCAAGTGCGAGAAGGCTCAGGTAAGGAGGATGTTGGTAGGTACAAGCAAGCAAAGGGTGAAGGGATGGCTCGGGGGTCAGCAAAGAAAGGCTGGGCAGGAAACTTAATCAATCTTTTACTTCCCTCTGGCTTCCCCATTGACTCTGTTTGTGGGAAGCTGGCAGAGAAGGCCAGCAACAGTGATCATGTTACTTCAAGATGCTGCAACCGGTCCTTAAGATCACCTGGTTGCCAAGCACCCTAATTTTGGTGAAGTGACCATGGAGGCACTGCAATGGCCAGGATTTTGAGGATCCGTCGTAAGTCCCTTTGTTCAGTGCCCCCATAACAGTTGCTGAATGAATGGGTGTAAACTCAAGGGCCACCTGTATCTCCATCAGCATAACTGGAGACCAGGAGTCTCCAGGCTTGGCCATTAAGACTTCAACTTCCATGCTGGCTGGGGATTTCTGGAAGTTGAAGACCACGAGTCTTAAAGTTGCCATGTTTGGAGAGACCCTCGTTGCAGATAATCCCAGGTGGGAAATTCATGGCTTCTGGAAATATGGTGGTGATTTTGTATAAAGAAACCAACAGTTGCCTTCTAGAGTGAGAAAGTTGGGTCAGTTCTGAGATCACAGCCCTCGTTTTGGGTGATGACCTTCCACTGGTTTCTTTCTTCCCCCTCTTTTTATCTGTCCATTGTGTATCTCTTTAGCGGTGCTAAATAATCCGATCTGGCTTCTGTGTTGAAAATATAACTTTGGGGAAAGGGGAGATTTGTTGTTGTTGTTAATTGCGAAGTCATGTCCGACCCATCGCGACCCCATGGACAACGTTCCTCCAGGTCTTCCTGTCCTCTACCATCTTCTGGAGTCCATTTAAGCTCATGCCTACTGCTTCAGTGACTCCATCCAGCCACCTCATTATCTGTCATCCCCTTCTTCTATTGCCCTCAATCTTTCCCAGCATCAGGCTCTTCTGCAGTGAGTCCTTCCTTCTCATTAGGTGGCCAAAGTATTTGAGTTTCAACTTCAGGATCTGGCCTTCTAAAGAGCAATCAGGGTTGATCTCTTCTAGGACTTGACTGGTTTGAACGCCTTGCAGTCCAAGGACTCGCAGGAGTCTTCTCCAGCACCATAGTTCAAAGGCCTTCCTCAAAGTTATGGCCACTTTCGGCCATATGTGACCAGATCTGCGAGTATTGCTCGCCCCTCTTGATTGCCAATTTATGTTCATGTAGGCGGGTCTTCAGCCTTTTTGATGTTTCCCCTACATAATTACTGTGGCAACCCATGCAATCAATTTTATAAACCACCGCAGACCTTTCTGCGGTGGGAAGGGGATCTTTGGGGTGCATGATCTTTGATCGCAGAGTCTGGTCAGGTTTATGTGCCACTCTTATGCCATGGGGGGCCAGCAGTCTGGCTGTGGCTTCGGACACGTTATGAATATACGGTAGGGAAATGTGTGTTAATTGTCCTTGGGGGGGGGGGGGGAGTTTCTTGGTGATCATACCTGTGTATCCTACTGTGACGTTTTATGAATCGTAGCGGATATCCATTGAGTTGGCAAATCCGGTACAAATGTCTCCTCTCTTCCTCCTTTGCTTCCACCGTGCTGCAATGCAAATGCACACGCTTGAACAGCGTTTTAATACAGCCAACTTTATGGGATGCTGGGTGGTTGCTGTTATAGTGGAGGATTCGGTCCGTGTGAGTGGGCTTGCGATAGACCTTCGTATGTACTAAGCCCTCTGGTGTTCGTTGGACAAGTACATCTAAGAAGGCTATCGAGCCCCGGCTCTCCTCCTCCACCGTAAACCTAATATCCGGATAAACCGAATTGAGTATTCCCATAAAGTTGGCTTTTTGGCATCATTTGACGACGACAAATGTGTCGTCAATGTACCGAGCCCAAAACTTGGGTTGGTACTGGGACATAGCCTCACGTTCCAGTTGCTGGAGAACTGCCTCTGCTATCATGCTGGAAATAGGAGAGCCCATGGGCGTGCCCTTTATTTGCTCATATGTGACACCTTGGAAAGTAAAGTATGTGACCAAGCACATCTCTATGAGTTTCACTAGGTCCTCTACTCTCAGGGAGTCCCGATGTGGGGAATCCTCTTGTCTCTTTAACTGACTCCTCAGAACAGTGACAGCCAGGTCACGAGGGATGGAGGTGAACAGTGAGGTGACGTCAAATGAGACCATCACCTCGTCCTCCTCCACCCTAAGTGCCTTGATTCTTTCAAGGAACTCCTCTGAGGATTTAACTACTGTGGGTGCACCATTCACTAAATAGGAGATACGTCCACTAAGCCACTTCGCCAGTCCAAAGACTGGTGTGCCCTTGAAAGAAACAATGGGGCGAAGTGGAGTACCTTCCTTAGGAACCTTTGGCAACCCATAGAACCTAGGAAGTGCTGAGTCACTGGGACGTACTTTCTTCAAAGTGTCATCATCTATTCTTTTGGCACGCTTAAGGTTATTTAATAGTTTGTTAATCTTATTCTTCATTGTTGTCATGGGGTCTCTCTTAACGACCTTATAGGCCGTTCTGTCATCGAGCAACTCCAGTGCCTTGGTCACATAGGCTGCTTTGCAATGATTTATTCCTATTGCCAAATGTTGCTCGTAAGCCTAGTTTCATGAGAACGCAAGTCCTTTGCTTGATTATCACTACTGTTTTGTTAAAAATATTCCAACATGTTGCGAATATTGTACAGGTAACCCTTGACTTACAGCCACAATCGGGCCCAAAATTTCCGACACCAAACCAGACAGTTAAATGAATTTTGCCCCATTTTATGACTTTCTCGCCTCAATTGTTAAGTGAATCGCTGCAGGTTTTAGGTGACACAATTAAGGGAATCTGGCTTCCCCATTGACTTGGTTTGTCAGAAGGTCGCAAAACGGGATCCTGTGTCCCCCACAGGGCCACTGTAGCCGTCATAAGTACATGCCAGTTGCTAAGCATCCAAAATTTGATCATGCGACCCTGGGAATGCTGCAACGGTCATAAGTATGAAAAACTCATTTTTCAGGGACTGTAACTGTGTACAGTCACTAAACGAATGGCTGTGAGTTGAAGACTGCCTGTGTTAACTTTGATTTAATTTAAAAGCAATTAACATTAGAAGACAATCTCTGTGATTTCACTGCTGAAGTTCAGCAGCAACTTTTACAGGAAATCCACATTTCAGGAGTTTCCCCGAATCTCAAGTCCTTCCTCCCGGAGATAAAAGTCCATTTCAAAAACCATTCTCAGGTTTTTGTTCTTTTAAATTCCACTTGCAAAGGAGGGTAATTGATGCCGTTGTGCAAACGGCATCAACAAGAAGTCATTAATAATTTGCATCGTTTGCTCCCTGGCAGTTGGATGTGCATGATGATGTCCAGTCATCTAATGGACACCTTTGATGACTGGATGAAAAAAATATAGGCACATTAACTGTCTGATCAGATTTTCCTCAATGATATCTGCCTAGATATGTAGAGACAATCTCCTTTAATTCTTTGATGATGCAGTTGAAATTCTCAGTGTCTGGAAGTTAAGGGGTTTGACCTTGTATACGTTTTGGAGCTCCTAAAGTTTGTTTACTATTTATGATGTTAGCTTTGGTAGACTAATATCCTTCCTTTCCTTCAGGTGCTCAAGGCAGCATGCATGATGCTCTTCCGTCTGTTTTCTCTCCTAATAAGAGCTTTGTGAGGTCAGAAGCTTAATGGCCAAGTCTCTCCCTTTCCCCTCAGCGTGGCTGGCTCAGGAATTCTGGGAGTTGAAGTCCACAAGTCATGAAGGGGCCATAGTTCCCCCATGCTGGCTCAGGAATTCTGAGAGTTGAAGTCCACACATCTTCAAGTGGCCAAGGTTGAGAAACACTGCACTAGACCAGGGGTAGGCAGCTTTGGACGACACACTGGAAATGAACCTTAGACATTCTACAGACAAAATATGTCCTTGGGCTCCTGACCACAACCAACCTAGAACTTGGGTTTCAATAAATGTCCTTAAAGGAGAAATGGCATTTGTTTCTATAGAAACAGCCCTGGAATCAACAGGGAAAGCATGAGCAGAAGCTCATTGTGAAATCACTCAGTTCCTTCAATAGGACCATGGCCACATTGGTAGCAGAATTTCCAGAACATTTTGCCTCTTCTTAAAAAAAAAGACACCTTTTTATTTTTGGCCAAACTGACTGAAATCTTATGCGTGTCTGCCTATTTTTTGTCTTCATATATGTTTCTGCCTTGAAATAAACACAACTGTGAAATGTCTCTTCACTGCTGCATGAGCAGATGTGCAAAATTTCTGAGACTCTGAATGATTCATTTTGACCTTTTGTTCCACCAGGGAATGGCCCTGACATAGAATAAAATATTAGGAGAATTATTAAGGTCGGTTACATGTCTTTAAGAGTTGGTTTCATGAAGACGTCGATGTGATGTTTTTCCTTAAAAACATCAGGAGGGGAAGTAGATTAAGATTCTTCAGTGATCCAGATAGACAGATACACAGATGTATAACAGCCTGCCAGTTACACAAATCATGCTGAAAATAGGAATTTTCATCAATTTATTCTGCTTGGCTTGAAGTATTTAATTAACCTCAGCAACTTTTAAGACGGACTTCAACTCCCACCATTGGTCAGATACCAATAAAGGAGAATATTTTTAACTCAGGGTTGAAATGAACTTCACTAGCAGTGATGGTGTTACCTAGTTTGGATAATGACACGTCTGCAAGAAAACAAGCTGAGAGAGACTAAGGGCCCCTCATTTGCCAGATAGCATCACAAAGTGGGGGCCGCTGAAAAACTGGGTACTAACAGATGCCCTCCCATCATCACTGTGGACAGTAGTGTGAAACTGGAGAGGCATTCCACGCCTATTTCAATTGTAAATCATCTTAAGTCCTGGGACCCCCAAGTTTAGGGGGGGAAGGGTATTTCCTATATATTCCATTGCCTGCTGTCCCTATTGTGACTGAAATACCTGACTGAGCTACTGGGGGCAGAATTCTCTATAAATCAGATGACTCTGTATTGCCTTATCTATAATAAGAGCTTGCAGTTCCTCACTAAGCAACTGTTTAAAGTTACAACAGAACCCCCCCAAAAGCTTATGAACTGGCTCTCCTTTTTTAAAGGTACCTCATAATATTACAAAGAACCACCCATCATGTTTGACATGAGTTTACTCTTATTATCCAACAGCTGGAAAGTTTGGCGGTCCATCATGTTTCATCATACTGCAAAAAAGAATACATTTTGATTTCAGCTTTTGAAAGGCTAAACTATCCTACAAATTGCCAATTTCACTGACAAAAAAAGTTGCATGCAACCACTACTAGATGGTTTATTTTTCTGCTGATATCGAATTGTATTAAGCACGTTCCAAAACTGGCGGAGTTTGAAACGTGAAGATTTGATTAAGGAAGCAGAGCAAGGATTTGCTTCTGTGTTAATTTTTAAAATTGACTGATTTGTTCTAAAAATCTGTCTCCTGACAATTTTCTCCTAAAGGGCGGGGGGGGGGGCAAGAAATGTCACTGTTTATGGCAGGGCTGGGGAACCACGGTCGTTTTATGACTCGTAGACTTCGACTTTCAGAATTCCTGAGCCAGCATGGGGAATCCTGGGAGTTGAAGACCACAAGTCATAAGAGGGCCATGGTTCCCTACCCCTGGTTTAAGGCATCAAGGACACTTGCTTTTTGAATTAACAAGCACATGCTGGGGTTGACTTTAAATAAGTTACAATTGGGTACCTAAGTAAAGATGGTTGCTTCTCTATACTTCTACTGTAAAACAAAATTAAGAATGGAGAAGGATTGTCAGAGATCTCTATGTACAAAAACAAAGAGGGACACTGTGTAGCATGAGACTTCTAAGGGGAAATGGAGTGCCACTATCCTAAAGTTGAAAGTAAATAAGAATCGCCATCGTTTAGTACAGCCTTAAGCCTTGCAAATTCCTCTCAGCTAATTCTAGCCACGTGGGCTTATTATGAAAACTTCTAAACTCACAGCAGCAAGAACCTAGGGCTGTGCACTGTGCACACATCAGCAACTACCATGGCATCAGCTGAAATACAGAAGTGGAGCACGACACGTAGAAAATGGCATGAATCTCATAAATAAATGTACAGTCTTCCTGTAAGGAGGAGAACTTTAAACAATGAGGTATATCCTGAAGAATTACGGTTTGCTTTCGTTCTGTCAAACCCCACCCTAGTTCCATGGAAAAATAAATACACCATCACAGCCTCTCTGGTTGCCATGGATCTGACCTCAAGCAGGACGTCACATAAACCAGGCTCGCCCTTCTTCTCCTCTCGGGATTAAGTCCGACCAAATGACAGCTTTTCAGTAAATGGTGCACCAGTTGCTCCCGTCGCTTGGCATGAGTCCCCCAGTAATTAAAAGAATCAGGTCCACAAACCACCAGATGCCTAGTCCTCCAAGAGTCAGCAGCTTTCCCACAGCTGTACCTGTATGGCCTAGGCAGAAGCGGTCCACCCCAAAACAGCCCAAGAAAAAGGAGTAGAGGAGAGTGGTAATGAAGTAGTGTCCAGTGTACCTGGAATACAAAAGTCGCAAAGAGAGGAACTGAATCCTCGTGAAGGAAAAATATTCAAAGGAAGTTTTAGGTACTGTGCGCAGCACCCCCTCATGACTATAACATGACATTGCGTAGAATATACACTGCAATGATTACAGGTAGTCCCTGACTTAAGAACTGTAATGAAACCTATTGCACGTCATAAGTCTTAACAGTCATAAAATAGGTCACCCATGTGACCGAGCCAGTTTTTCAGTCGTTTTTTCAGTGGCTGCTAAGTAAACCCATTATTTGCTATGGGGCGTGTTTTGCTGAAAAGTGGAAATAAACACCGTTTTTTAGCAAAAAAAAAAAAGTCATAAATCACGTCCATGTGGCTGCAGGATGCTGCAAACGGCTGTAAATGTGAACCAGTTGCTGAGCACCCAAAATGAAGTCGCGTAATCACATAGGGGAGAAGCACCAGTCAGAACTTGGGAATTGGGTTGTAAGTACCTTTTAGGGGCTCCATCGTAACTCTGACTGGACCCCTAAGTGATCGATCATATGTTGTGGGCGCCCTATACCATCCGAGTGTGTAATTATTTAGGACTTCTCCTTGACAAAGCTGTATAAAATCAGCAGCTGGAGTTAGAATGGAATTACTGAATGACTCTCTTCTGTGTCATATTGAACATTTCATTGGATTAAATGGATACTTTATTTGGCCAAATGTGATTATAGACACACAGAGAAGTTCACATTTACAGCCGTTTGCAGCATCTTGCAGTCACATGGCCTTGATTTATGACAAACTTTTTTGCCAAAAAATGGTGTTTATTTCCACTTTTCAGCAAAGCATGCCCTATAGCAAACAATGGGTTTGCTTAGCAGCCACTGCAAAAAAGACTGAAAAATTGGCTTGGTCTCATGGGTGACCCATTTTATGACCGTCTCCGGTGCAGAAGCTGTCAAGGTACATGCAAAGCAACAGAATAATGATAATCATAATCATAATACCAATAAAAGTGGGGAATTTGAAAGATAAGGATAAATAATGCTACAGCCATACTATGTGGGGAACACACATACAAATACCTACAGCCACACTACATTGGTAAATACATATATGTAATACTACAGCTATACTACATGAATAAATGCAGATTAGACAGCACCATGAGAATTACATGTTCAGGTTTTGCTGTTGAGCAGAGAAGCTCAGAAAACGGAAACAAAAAAATTAGACCTAACGTGTGCTGCTCTTGGTTTCTGCATTGTCACCTGAAACTGCAAAAATGTACCAAGAAAAGGCACTCACTTTATGCACGGCTTGTTCCCACGCAGAAAAGTCCGCTGTCCTGCGCACTCAATGCCATCCAATGCCCTGCAGAGGACTTGAGTGTGGCTGACATCACTATATGCTTGGCCACCAAACTGTTGCAAGGAGAGAAAATGGCAGAACAAATGGAAGATTTATCGGCTGACATGCCTTGGTTTAACTTTAGGCCTTCCTTTGCAAATATAAAGTATCCCTGGGAACTCAAATGCTCTTTATCCAAGGAAAAGACAACAGGATCTTTTGCCCACCTTGAGACAGCCGTAACCTAATTCGTCCCGTGCGCTTATATTTCCGTTATGGTCCACAGGAGCCTCACAATCTATGAATTCTTCAGGTCTGCATATGAATGAAAAACTTGAGTTCAGATTTGAGAAACCACTCTGGAAAGTTGCATTTCTGATACAATTAGTTGGTGAATGACAACCACAACTGAGGGCAAAATTTTCTATGGCTAAGCGAGACAGTGTGTTGCGCCCCCTTTTACAATCGGTCATGCCAGAGTTAGTAAGTGAATCATTGCAGTTAAGTAAGTGACATGGTTATTAAGTGAATTTTGGCGTCTCCATTGACTTTACTTGCCAGCAGGTCACAAAAAGGATTCACATGAATCCGGGACAATGCAACCGGCATAAGTACATGCCAGTTGCCAAGTGTCCGAATTTTTATCATGTGACCACAGGGATACTGCAACAGTGATTAAATGTGAAAACTGGTTATAAGTCACTTTTTTCAGTGCCGTTGTAACTTTGAACAGTGCCTAAACAAACAGTTGTATGTTGAGGACTACCTGAACTGCATTTAATTCAAACTCAGAGCACAGTGGCAAACACTCTGTGAAGAATGGTTACCGATTATAATAAAGTAGTAATATACATACATATATACATATACATATAAAAAGAAATGTCGTAAAATGGGCCAACATTCACTTAACAAACGTTTCACTTAAGAACAGGAATTTTGGCCTCCACTGAGGTCATAAGTCGAGGATTACTTGAACTCCATGCCAGGAAGGTTTTTTTTGGGAGGGGGGCGTACGTGTTAGCCATGTTTAATCTAAGGCTGGCTGGAAATGCACCCGAGATGAAATACGGGACCCTGCCCCGAACAGGGAGGCCAGTCTAGATGGCCTCCAGGAGCCCCTGATTCTCTGGGAGAGCTTCCTGGGGGAAGAGGCGCGTCGCCCACCCAGAAGTGCTGAGAGTTCCTCTCTGCAAAGCCTGGGGCCAGCCAGCCTTACGCACCCCCCCCCACATTCTGCAGGACCAATTTTTTTTTTAAAAAAAAACGCTTTTCCTCCCCCAAGTTAAACAGCCCGTTCCTTCGCTCCTCCCCTCGAGGCCGAGGCCCCGCCCACCCGTCCTCACAGGCGGTCGCAGAGAATCAGCGGCGCGTACGGGCCTTGGTATTCCCAGACTGAGGCGGTGTCTGCGTGAGGCGGCGGCTGTTGCCCCTCTGCCTCGTCCGCGGCGCCTGCGGGGCTCTCGGTGGCGTTGTGCTGGTGGGTCCGGGAGACCCCCTGCAGCAGGAGCAGGTTGCCCAGCAGCAGCGCCGCCTGGCCACACAGCAGCGCGTAACAAATCGGTCCCCCGGCCGCCATAGCGGAGACGGCGCCCTCCCGACTTCCGGCGAGGCCGCTTCGGAAGTACTTCACGCTGGCGCCCTTCCGCCAATCGCGAAGCAGTTCCTCTGAAAGGGCGGGCGGTGGCCGCGGCTCTGTCCAATCAAAAGGCGAGGCTTGTCCTCAGCCAAGTCATTAAAAGGGCCCAGTTTGAAAACCCTTGATCAAGAGTCTCTTTCAGCCATCGCCCCGCCTACTTTCTCGAACGCAGCCCCGATTGGCCACAAGGCTGCTCGCGGCATCCAATAAGGAAAAGCGGTAAAAGCAGAATGGAGCTTCTCAGCCTGGCCGACAGGTGGCAGCAGCCGTTGCCACTTGCTGGAGAAGAAACAAGGTCGTGATTTATTCAAATTATGGACTTTGCAGAACACGTGGAAACAGTGCCTGGTGTGATGGGCTATGTTGTGCAAATAAACCCTCACGTTTGGGTTACGCCCAGAAAATTATGTTAAAAGCTAGTGTTTTTCAAACTTGGTGACTTTACGATATGGGGACTTCAATTCCCAGCATTCCCCATGCTGGCAAGGAATTCTGGGACTAAAGCAGTGGTGGGATTCAGCCAGTTTGCACCAGTTCGAGAGAACTGGTAGCCAATTTTTTTGTTGCCCAGACCCAGAATGGACTTCCGGAAGCAGCATCCACACAGAGAACCGGTTGTTCACATATTTGAATCCCACCACTGGACTAAAGTCCACCCATCTTAAAAATGGTCAAGTTTGAAAAACATGGAGTTAGCTAAAACTAAAAAAGGATGTATTATAGCTGGTGCAGCATTCATAATTGGACAAGGTTCCTTCTTGGCAGTGAGAAGTTGATCAGCATGTATCAAGAATCAGCTGGGAGACCTCAAGGCTTAATGGTAGGTACCAGCTATTTTATTGATGAACGATAAAGAAATGAAATTTTGGGTACCCAAAGAGGCATTGTTGAAAGTGATTTGAAAGGTTCTGGAGAAATCTTGTGATTGATTAGCTAGGCTGCTGCAAGCAGCTAAATGGAGGGCTGTTCTCGAAGGAAACATGAATATGGTAGTGGGTCCAAAATCAGCAGTGTGGCTCCTGTTCCTTTGTGGACTAGGTTTATGTTGTTTCTAGACCAAATGCAAGGTGCTTGCAACTGTTTATAAACTTTTGTAGGGCTTGGGCCTCCTGCTTGAGGAAGTTATTCCTTCTGCTAAGTAGCTGGTCAAGGACTAGGAAATGCATCCTTTGGCTTTGCAGATGACTGTTTGGAATCCAGTAGCGTCAGGGCCTTTTTGGTGGCGACATTAATACTGGAATACTCTTTCCCAGCCTATTCAATCAGTATTATTGTCCAGGAGCAAATCTGTAGTTCCTTTCCCTGGCGCAAGAGCCAATCAATGAGGCAGGATCGAGGAAATTGGAAATGCATCACTTTATTTCTGAACAGAAATACAGTATTAACCTTGTGAACTCTAAAACTTCCTCCTTCCGTTATGTATTCAAGATGGACAGCGATTCATAGTTATATGTTACTTATATGTAACTAGCCATAGTAACTTAAACCCCTCCATCTAATTGCAAAGCTTCTCCAGCCCTGGAAGCTCAGTCAAGACTTGCCCTCCGGCTGGGAAAGAGCCCCCACCCTATTTGGGGGGCTATCAAAGAGAGGAGGGGGACAATCCATTTTCCAAAGCACCTGAAGGTGGAACCAGGAACAATGGATGGAAACGGATCAAGGAGAGATTCAATCTAGAACTAAGGAGAAATGTCCTAATGGTGAGAGCAATTAACCAGTGGAACGGCTTGCCTCCAGAAGTTGTGGGTGCTCCATCCCTGCAGGCTTTTAAGAAGGGACTGGGCAGCCACTTGTCTAAGACGATATATAGGGTCTCCTGCTTGAGCAGGGGGTTGGACTAGAAGACCTTCAAGGTCCCTTCCAACTCTTGATATGCTAAGCCAGCCCTCTAAGCTGCTGGGTGGTGGTGGTGATGGGGGGGGGGGAGCAGTGTAGTTAAAAAAAAAAGTGATAAGGTTGGATGCAACTCATTGAACAACCATCTTATTTAGCAATCAAAATTCTGGTCTCAATTATGGTTGTAACTCACGGATTACCTGTAGTGTCTAGTTCTGCCACATGATGCAAATTGTGCATTAACTCTTCTTGTTGTGAAAAAGTTGCATTCAAGCCTGTCAAACGGAAGGGTCTCTGATTGAACCTAAAACTAAGGAGAAATTTCCTAACAGCCAGAACAATCAACGGCTTGCCTTCAGAAGTTGTCAGCATTTGATCGCTGGAGGCTTTTAAGAAGAGAGGGGACGCACCACCTATCTGAAATGGTACAGGATCTCCTGCTTGAGCAGAGGGCTGGACTAGAAGACCTCCAAGGTCCCTTCCGACTCTGATATGCTAAGCCAGCTCTCTAAGCCGCCGGGGGTGGTGGTGGGGGTGATGATGGGGGGGGGGGAAGCGGTGTCACCGACTCCTCCCCGGGGGAGGTCCCGGGACGGGGAGGCCCGCCTCGCAGCCTCCATAGCCGGAGCTCCGGTCCGTCGGCGGGGATGCGGACAGCTGCGGGCGCCCGCGGCTTGCGGCTGCTGCTGCGGCTGCTGCTGCTTTGCCCGGCGCTGAGCTTCCCGGCCGAGCAGCCCGGTGAGTCCCCGCGCCGATTCCTGGAGCCGGACAAGCCCGCGGGGGCGACCCGTCTCCCGGCTGGCCGAGCCCGGCGCTGCCCCCTTCGGGCAGGTGGGAAGGGATAGCCTGGCCGAGCCGAGCCGGGAGGGGGCGGTGGGCTTCCCCGCAGGGCGCCCCGAGGGGCGGACGAAGCAAGACGCGGGAAGGGGGAGAGCCGAGGGGAGCCCCCGGGTGGCGCCCCGGCCCCGCCTGGGCGGAGGATGCTCTGCCCGGGGATGCCGAGCAGAGGTGGGGTGGGGGACGGGGGAAAGGCCGGCCGGCCGCGAACGCCTCGCCTCGGCCCGAAGAGCCCCCAACTGGGCTGGGAAGCTCGGCGGAGGCCGCCCCGCTCTCTTCCAGCCCGGCTTTTATTTGGAGGGGGGAGCTGGGGCTGGTACCCCCGCCTCGGAACCGCTTCCCCGGCTGCATTTTGGCCCGCGAGAAGGAGGGTTCGGAGGAGCCCCGTTTGGTCTGGCGCCGCGATTGAGCGGATCTGGGCGCGGAGGCTTGGCTTTCGGGCTGCACTCCCCCCCCCCAGGAGTGTGATTGAGAGGCGGGGTGGGGGGGGGGGTTGAGCAAGATTGCAGCTGCTCCATTTGCAGGGAATGGATTTACGGGGGCATCTATATATAAAACCGATCAATCCAATCTTTTGAGTAAGTGAAGGGCGTTGGAAAAGGTTTGTGTATCAAGAACACACACACACACACACACACACACACACACACACACACACACGCACCCGCCATGACTGAAAGGGAGAGTCAAAGTCTGCACCTTGTAATAATGTGCTGGCTGGAGAATTGTGGGGGTTGAAGTCCATCCATCTTCAAGCATTCACCGCTTCTGGGGGCAAGGAGTTCCACTGGTTAATTGTTCTAACTGTCAGGAAGTTTCTCCTTAGTTACAGGTTGCTTCTCTCCTTGGTTAGTTTCCATCTGTTGCTTCTTGTCCTGCCTTCAGGCACTTTGGGGAATAGCTTGACTCCCTCTTCTCTGGGGCAGCCCCTGAGATATTGGAACACTGCTATCCTGTCCCCCCTCATCGTTCTCTTCATTGAAGTAGACATACCCAATTCCAGCAACCATTCCTCTTTTTTTGTTTGTGTGTGTACACGGCGGCAGAGGCCTAAAGTGAAAAGGTTTTATAAAACCCAGCTGAAGGCCTAGGACTGGGGCGACAGCGTGCATCCCCACAGAAAGGGCTCTGAGTGCCGCCTCTGGCACCCCCGTGCCATAGGTTTGCCACCACTGCCCTAGAGGGTTAAACTGCATGCATGCTTAAATGGATTATAAACCACATTTGACACAAAGTATGGCTTAGTGTGTAGTACACACAAATATTTGTAGTACATGTTAATATTTGAGGGCTTCCTATAAAGACGAGGGGGGTCAACTTATTTTCCAAAGCAGCAAAAGGCAAGACAAAAAAACAATGGATGGAAACTATTCAAGGAGAGAAGCAACCAGTGAAACAATTTGCCTTCAGAAGTTGTGGGTGCTCCATCACTGGAGGTTTTTAAGAAGAGACTGGACAGCCACTTGTCTGAAATGATATAGTATAGGGTCTCCTGTCCGAGAAGACCACCAAGGTCCCTTCTCACACTATTATTATTGTTACAGTATTCATGGTTATGTTGTAAAATTGGACTATATTTCCATATTGAAGTGGTATGCTAAGTAAGAGGCATCTGGAGGATATTTCTGCACATTTTTGTGAAGAGGGATTGTGCTAAATTTCCACGATAATCTGTCCTCACACAAAAGGCACACTGTACTCTCTCAAGGAGACTTGATTTATGCTGCCTCTCAACAGAGATAACATGTCCATTTTTAGAGGTAATGAATCCCGAATTCCCAGATTTCTCGAAAAACAAAAAGTTGGCCGTTCAAAGTAGTTCTAACATCACGTTTTTAAAATTTTTTTCTTGAAGTAATATTTTCTTTTTTCTTGAAGATCTTTCCTATTTTGCAGCTCGTTTTCTACCAGTGTGAGGGCCACAATTAGCGAGCAATCAGTTTGTTTTTTATTTTGTGGCGTGTTGCAAAAAAAGTGAAACGGGGACAGCTGTATAGCCTTTACAAAACAAAACAAAACACTGTATTGATATATTACTAAAACTCTCCAATCTGTGCTATAATTGAGTGAAATAGTGCATCATAAATAATTTTTTGAACCAACGTATCTCAAATGGTCTAACTTACATAATGTGTCCAGAATCTGGCTCAGCTTGGAAACTTTCCCTTTCCCCTCAGCATGGCTGGCTCAGGAATTCTGGGAGTTGGAGTCCATGAGTCATAAAAAGAGCCAAGGTTGCTCGCCCCTGGACTAGAGGACCACCAAGATCTCGTTTAACCCTATTATTCTATCTTTTATTTATCTCGCAAGCTCTGATCTTCCAGCGATTTAAAAGCCAGAGCATTCGCTTTAAAAGCTAACATGTCTTCTTCTGTTACAGGTTTTCAGCCACTTTCGCATCTGTCTGCCTACGAAATTACGGTCCCCAAGAGGATAGAACGAGAACGGCGAGAAGCCCAGGCACAAAATATGGTATTTAAGCATGAGGGAACTACTATAACTAAATTAAGGAATTAATGGGAGCGTTGTGCATGGGGAAAAAAAAAACTGACTTTGGGTCCAGTTGTTCTGGGGTGCAATGCCCTATATTGTCGTTTTGAGGATAGAAGTTGAAACAGTTTATGCCCAGGATGTGAGGGGTCTTCCACATAAAAATGTATAAAATACTCCCCCCAAGAATATATATCAGAGACACAAAAGATATCAAATATTTATTAAATATTGCTGCTTGACTCCCACTGTTCTTTTGTTTGGGACTGGGTCACCAAGTATGATTGAAACACCCGCTAATATTGCTTTCTCCCTCCATGTTTTCAGGACGGGTTGTCGTTCAGTATTGTAATTGAAAGAAAATCGTATATAATTCATCTACAAAGGAACAAGTAAGTGATTCCTTTCTGGCTGAATGTCCATGGAGATTCTCAGTCATCCAGGTCATAGTTGCCTCAAAGCTGCTCCTTCTTCCTTAAAATTTTGCCCTATGGACGAACTGATACAGAAAGCTAGGAAGAAGGACAAATCTTGATTTACACTGAAAATCCCACATATGTCAACTCAGTTGAGTTCAGCTGAGTTACTCCATTGATTTTAGTTGGAATTGCTGCCTAGTACGCATTTACAGCTTTGTAGTAATAAGGATACGATCAGTGCTGCAGAGAAAAGCCCAATATTATCATTGTTGCTCTTTGTTAGAGCCCTTGATCATAATACTCTTTAAGTTTTATATATTGGTCACTGATTTTGAATACTGAGGAAGATTGGCATCATGTTTACATTCTGAGTGTTTTGGTACACTTCATGTATTTCCTAGTGGGTGAGATATGGGCAACCATATGTCACCTTGCAAGGCTATCTCTAAAGCAGGGGCCTTCAAACTTGGCAACTTTAAGACTTGTGGACTTCAACTCCCAGAATTCCTCAACCAGCATGCCTGGCTGAGGAATTCTGGGAGTTGAAGTCCATAAGTCATAAAAGGGCCAAGTTTGAAGACCCTTAGTCTATGTTATGTTCTATGATTGACAATACAAGAGCTATGCAGGGTCATCACCCCATCATCCCTCCAAACATGACAGTGTAACCTGATTGGATTTCCCTGTCCGTCACTTTGACTTATCCTCCAAAATCTTGCCAGAGTTCGTTGGTTTGATTGCTGAGATAGTGATGCTGACTTACCTTTGGCCATGAAAGCAGGTTTCTTAGGCAGATGCTTAGCTTCATGGCTTGTGCTGTCATAGCACAATCGTGTTTGGCTAGGTCGGGGGTAGGCAACCTTGGCTCTTTTATGACTCGTGGACTTCAACTCCCAGAATTCCTGAGCCAGCATGAGGGAAACTTTGGCCCCTTCATGACTGGTGGACTTCAACTCGCAGAATTCCTGAGCCAGCATGGCTCAGCTTGGAAACCTCTCCCTTTCCCCTCAGCAAGACTGGCTCAGGAATTCTGGGAGTTGAAGTCCACGAGTCATAAAAAAGCCAAGGTTGCCTACCCCTGGGCTAGGTTTTCTAAAGGTCTACCACCAACATTGTAGGTGGGTATTGGAAACTCAGGGACCGGTCCTGTGGAGAGAGATTTTTTTCCGTGGACTGGAGGGGCCGTGGTTTTGTGTGCTGCCTCCATCCCGCAGATAGGGCTTCACTTATTTGCATGCCGCGGACTGTTGTCAGAGCTGGGGACCCCTGATATAAGACATTAAAATAGAAATATTACTTTCAATATTTTTAAATATAAATATTTTAAAGGAATCTATTGATAGGCCATCCAAGTGCAGCTTTTCTCACCTCGTTCCTGAGCTTTGCTTCCTCCCCCCCCCCAATCCTTTTCCCATGGTGCTCTTTATGTAAAAAGTTAAAGATGGTCAAAAAAGCCAAAGGTTTAGTTGCTGAGGTTTGCTCACTTGCTATCCTTTAAATCAGGTTTCTTTTACTTTGATTTTTTTAAAAAGCATTTTCTGTTTGGCATTCATGTGTTTCTCCCCCCCCCCCCCAACTTTCATCCTTTTAGAGATCTGGTGTCCCAAGACTTCACAATTTACACCTACAATAAAAGTGGAGATCTGCAATCAGAAACTCCAGATCTTCAGGTATGTTTTATTTTTCTCTGAGGGTTGATAAGAAGAAGAAAAAAAACATTTTGAAGGACTTGCTCTGGCTGAGGAAGGAAGGTGGTCTGCAAGCCTTGGTGATGAGGTCAGAGGAAGGTTGGGGGGCTTCTTTGTAGCCCCCCCATTCGGTCTATGGGGAGAGGCGTTGAGTGTGTGCGCATATGTGTGCAAAGAGAGAGGTTTTTTTCCTTCTACTACTACTTCTCTTTCAGTTGGTGAAGAGAGACTTAAGAAATGCCTTAATAGAGAGTATAAAAGAAATACAGGGGGAAGATTTTGACACTCTTGCATTTATTTAAGGGTGCACTGGAATATCGCAGCGTCAAAACAGGTCACAAAATTGGACAAGTCTTAACAAGCGTCTTGCTTAGTCATTCAGAAATTCTGGTGCGAATTGTGGATCATAAGTTGACTTGCCTGTACAGCCAAAACCTTGGTAGGCCAGGACAAAGAAGAAGGGGGAAAAATGGGAGAAAACCTCCGTGTTGATTTAACGAATTCGAGTTTCAGATTAGTTCAATGAATTGAATCCAGGGATTATGATTTTTGGTTCCTTATTTGTAATAAATTCCCCTTCTGATCACCCTAGCAACAACACTGCCAATTCCTGGCGCTGTTCCAGGAACCTCACCCAAGACTTGTGTAGGAGCAAATTCCACAAGTATAATTCACCTGTTGGCAAATGATTAAATGGACGGAGTTAAATGTGTTGATGTCTCAGGAGCTAGCCGGCAACATGGTTTTTTGGTTTTTCTCTAACTTTTTGTCCTTCGGTGCTACACAGCAGGCTGTGGGACACCTGGTGGGTGGAGACTGTGACTCAATCATGTTCAGGCTTTTATTTATTTATTTTTAAATATATTTTATTGCTTTTTTTTACAGTAACAATCTTTAGTGCTTCGTGCACAGTGTGTTGTCTGGGTTCATATGTTTTAAACAATGATAATTAATTTTCACAATCACTATGTTGGTTGATAATATATTTCTTCATCCTCTCTTCTACTAGTAATATTCTCCTTTTGTCTACGTTAAACCAATATAATTCTTAATATTTTCAGTATGTACCAAGTTGAATATAAACCTTTTTTTAGCACTTACGCATATAATAATAACATCAACACATAACATGTTTTTTAATCAGATTGTGTTTCCATTGCATTTATAAAAGTCATCTTATTAAGTTAACATGTACTACAAATATTTGTGTGTACTACACGCTAAGCCGTACTTTGTGTCAAATATAGTTTATAATCCGTTTAAGCATGCATGCAGTTTAACCCTTTAGTCTAGGGATTACAATGCCTTGTGTAGTTCAGGAGCAGAAGCAACACAATGCTCTGAATAATCTTCGATCAGCTCCATTTGGAACTTGGAAAAAAGTGGGCAGAAATAAGTGAAATAAATCAGTAGACATAAGCCAACATCAATTCACAGATTAGTTTTCAAGATTCTTATTGAAGCCTACTTTCCCCTCAGGGCTCTTATCAGTCATACTAATTTTTCTCAAAATTCATTACCTTTAAATATCTAAACTTTTCATTTAAATGGACCCTCTCAAAGTTTTAACATTCCCTATATTTTAAAAGGATTATACTACTTATATATCTTATTCCTCTTACTATAGGGCCCCTTTGCAAGCTTTATCTATCTAAAAAAGAAAGAAAGAAAAAAGAATACATGTTTAGGCTTTTAACAGGGCCAGGCTGACCAGCTGGCTAGGAAAGTCATAATTTTCCTGCAAAAAACATCTCTGCAGTCTGCAAAGCACGTCTGGAGCTTAGCATGGATGTGAACCCAGCAAGTGATACCATTTCAGACAAATGGCTGTCCAATCTCTTTAAAAAAAAACCTTCAGAGATGGAGCACCCTCAATGTCTGGAGGCAAATCATTCCACTGATTAATTGTTCTCGGTATCAGGAAATGTCTCCTTAGTTCTAAAGTTGCTTCTCTCCTCGATTAGTTTCCATCCCTTGCTTCTTGCCCTGCCTTCAGGTGCTTTGGAGCACGGCTGGCTCAGGAATTCTGGGAGTTGAAGTCCCCAAGTCATGCAAGGGCCATAGTTCCCCCACCCCTGCCTTAACAGCTTCTGAATGTTCCTTCGGGGCCAATCGCCAAGGGCTCTTTATATCAGGGTTAAACTGCTAATGTGGCCTTCTGCTCAGATTTTTTTTTTTTAATTCTTCCTCCATTTAGAATCACTGCCACTACCAGGGATATGTGGAAGGAATCTCAGATTCTACAGTCGCCCTCAGCACCTGCTTCGGGCTCAGGTAACTTTTGACAAGCATCGCTCCAGAAGTCTTCCTTCTTCTTCCCTTTCCTCCTCTCTCCTCCTTTCCCCTCCCCTCCCCTTTTATCTCCTTTCCTTCTCTCCCCTCCCCTCCTCCCGTTTGCTCCTCTCCTCTCCTCTCCTCCTCCTATCTCCTCTCCTCCTCCTATCTCCTCTCCTCTCCTCCCCTATCTCCTCTCCTCTTCTCTCCTCCCCCTATCTTCTCTCCTCTCCTCTCCTCTCCCTCTCCTCTCCTGTTTCTGTCTTCTCTTCTCCTCTGCTCTCCTCCTCCTATCTTTTCTCCTCTCCTCCTCCTATCTCCTCTCCCCTCCCCTCCCCTTCCCTTCCCTCCCCTCCTCTCTCCTCAGGTATGAAAAAAACTCTTACTCGGATCCAGTGATAGCTCAGAGCGTGAGTTTAGTTCTCGTACCCTTATAACAAAAACCTGTTGGTGAAGATTTTATGTATGCCTGTGGGTGTGCGTACATAGGACGAAAAAGTGTTCCCTGGCTGTCCTGGTATAGTCCCAAATGCCTCTTATTTCTGTACATTTGAGTCCTAATTTCTGTGTTTTTTAACCACTAAGTATGATGTTCCGTAGCTTCTTTGAGAGTCATCCCTATCCTTTGGAGAATTAGGTTGATGTCTAAGATGCTGTCATTGCCAGGGGCCTGGTGCAGATCCAGGACACCGCCTACGGCATTGAGCCCATCAACTCAACTTCTCGCCACGTTGTTTACCGGATGGAAAATGTGAAGAAACTGCCCAGGAGCTGCGGCGTCTCTCATCTCGATGGAAAGTGGGAAACTGCAGATGCTCAGCCCCACTCAGACGTTTCTCTAATGGAGAGAGTAGGTGGCCTTCAGAAAGCTTTCGTTGTTTACAATGTGCTATTTGCAGCAATGGCTGCCGTTTTTTAAAAATTCCCCTTTGTTAAATTTAAGAGAAAAAGAAAAATACATTAGACCTTCTTGTATAAGAAGATAATACCTTGAAAGCAGCTTGCACAGTATGCACATTAGGCATGAAAGCCATCTGGGTGATTTTGGACTACAGCTGTCAAGCTCTCTAAGCTTGCTTGCTTTCTTGCAGACTTTTCACCAAGGACCCTACAGTTCTCCTCCCCCTCCTCCTCCTCCTCCTCCTCCTCCTCCTCCTCCTCCTCACAAACCCCACTCCCTTCTAGCACTGAAGATGTTACCTAGTTGGATCATGTAACATCTGCCAAGAAACCAACCAAGTTCAGAGAGCAACAAGGACCCTTCATTTCAACCCTGAGATACAGATATTCTCCTTTATTGGTATAGATGTCAAGTGCCGGTGAAATTAGGAGATTCATGTAGGTCAAATGAGTATAAAGATTTATTGCTTATGCTTAAGCTCTCTACAAGAATCTGACTCACTAACGGTCCAGGGTTTAAACATCATATTAGAAATTCTTATCTGACATAGCAGTGTTAAAGCAGTAAATAAGGTAGTATGACATCGCTCTGTTTTGAAGTTAAGCATCAGGACAGAAATGTTAGTTTATTATGAACCCCTGTGGTTTCTTTCTTTCTTTCTTCTTTTTGGTAGAGGAAAAGAAGCGTTCTTCAACAGACGAGATACGTGGAGCTTTTCATCGTTGTAGACAAAGAAAGGGTATGATACTTTCTATCCGTCCATCCATCCATCCATCCATCCATCCATCCATCCATCTATCCATCCTTATATCTACATCTATATATATCTATATCTCTCTATCTGTCTATATCTGTCAGTCTGTCTGTCTCCCTGCCTGCCTGTCTCTCTTCCTACCTACCTATTTACATCTATCTATCTATCTATCTATCTATCTATCTATCTATCTATCTATCTATCATCTATCCATCCATCCATCCATATATCTACATCTACATCTATATCTATATATATCTACCTGTCTATATCTACTTATCTGTCTGTCTGTCTGTCTTCCTACCTACCTACTTACATCTATCTATCTATCTATCTATCTATCTATCTATCTATCTATCTATCTATCTATCTCCATCCATCCATCCATCTATCCATCCATCAATCCAGTTTTTATACGGTTTTCATCGTCATAAATTAGGTTGCATTGAGCCTCTGGGTCCCCAAGGCAGTTGCTGGCTAACCTAAAAGCATTTGGTTTGCAATACTGCTAAAGTATTAATGCATTTGAGAGATCCCTGGGCTGACATGATGATGTGCCTCATCCTCTTCCCCCCCTCCCTCCCCCCTTTTTTCCCCTCACAGTATTATTTGCTAGGCCAGAACAAAACTGCAGTCAGAGAAGAGATGGTGCAGCTGGCAAACCTCCTGGATAATGTAAGTGGAAGAATTTTCTGGCAAATGCACAGAATGTCAAATCTGTTGAATGCTGTTCCCAAGACAAATGCATTTTGTACTGAAAATAATGCTGATGATAAGAGAGGCAATCCTTAACTTATGATCATCATAACTGGGACTGGAGCATCTGTTGTTGAGAATTGCAGTTACTAAGTGAGTTACAATTGATTTTTTTGCTGTCGTCGTTCAGTGAATCCTATGTTTGCTTAGTGACTCCAGCTTCCTCCATTTGCTTGTTGGAAGCCCCCTGCGAAGGTTGCAGATGGTGATCATGGACCCCCGAATTCTGCAACCATCATAATTACATTCACAAGTGCCCAAATTTTGATCATATGACTGTGGGGATGCTGCAGTGGCCAGAAGTGTGAGAATTGATTGCACGTCCCTTTTTTTCAGACGGTCGTAACTTTGAACAGTTGCTAAAAGAATGGTTGTAAGTCAAGGATTACCTGTAAAATAATAGACCAACATAAGTGAAGCCCATAAACTCTGATGCTTTGATTTTCACTTTGATAACGTGCCTCCCATCCCACAGTGCTGCTTGGTTTCAGGACAAAGCAAAAATATTCTTTTTTTTCCAATAGGGAAATTAAATTGATTGTCTCCCTGGCTTTTCTCTGTGCTGCAATGTTTATTTTCTGCAGTTCTTCTGCAGCGTTCATTTTTAATGTGTCCCGCTCTAATAGTGTCTAGTTTAATGAAGAGAAGGATGAAGGGGGACATGATAGCAGTGTTCCAATATCTCAGGGGCTGCCCCAAAAAAGAGGGAGTCAAGCTATTCTCCAAAGCGCCTGAAGGCAGGACGAGAAGCAACGGATGGAAATTAATCAAGGAGAGAAGCAACCTAGAACTAAGGAGAAATTTCCTGACAGAACAATTAACCAGTGGAACAACCTGCCTCCAGAAGTGGTGAATGCTCCAACACTGGAAGTTTTTAAGAAGAGACTGGACAGCCATTAAACTAGACATACCCAATTCCAGCAACCGTTCCTTATATGTTTTATCCTCCAGTCTCTTAATCATCTTTGTTGCTCTTCTCTGCATTCACATTTCATTCCCTCCCTCCACTTGCATCCTTTCTCTAATGATTCTAGTCCACCATTTCTTTGATATTAGTGTAACTCTTGTCCCGCAACAAGTTGTCCTGTGGCGGGTGGATTGTCATAGACCAGTGGTGGCGAACCTATGGCATGGGTGCCAGAGGCGGCACTCAGAGCCCTCTCTGTGGGCACATGGGCCGTCGCCCCAGTCCTAGGCCTTCAGCTGAGTTTTATAAAACCTTTTCGCTTTAGGCCTCTGCCTCCGTGTGCAAAAAAAAAAAAAGGTTCAATCAGTGAATTTCAACTTCTCGTGGGGAAAAAAAGATCTTGCAAAGTTGGAATTGATTGATTGAACTTTTTAGTCCCACCCAGTCTGCTGTTACCACCGCAGCCACGCCCACCCAATGGGCCATGCCCACCCAATGGGCCACGCCCACCCAATGGGCCACGCCCACCCGGCACCCGACGATGCATAAGTGGGTTTTGAGTTGCAGTTTGGGCACTTGGTCTCTAAAAGGTTCGCCATCACTGTCATAGACCCACCTCCATTAGGTCCTCCGTTCCACCCTGATCTGTGCTACTTGCAGATGTACCTTATGCTGAACATCCGCATTGTGTTGGTTGGCCTGGAGATCTGGACCTCTGAGAATAAGATCTCGATCGAAGGAAGTGCCGGAGATGTCCTTGCCAAATTCGTGCAGTGGAGAGAGCAGAACCTGGTTCCCCGGCGGCGGCATGACAGCGCCCAGCTTGTTCTGTAAGATCCGGGCACCCCCCTCTTCTGGGGAAGGAGACCACACCCTCTGTCTGCATAAAAGCCCCACAGGTAGTCCACGGCTTACCACCACAGTTGGGACCAGAATTTCCATTGTTGTGAGCCGTGGCCAATTTTAGGGCCATTTTTTTAGGTTTTTTGGGACAGGGTTGTTAAATAAATTACTGCAGTGAATTCAGTTGTTAAGCGAAACTGGCTTCCCCTCGTCGTCCTAAATAGTTGCCAGTGGCCAGGGGTCCACTTTTTGCTTCTGTGTCCCCGGAGAGGCTGCCACCGTTGTAAGTGGGAGGACCGGTTGTAAGTCCCTTTTTTGTTCCCAGTGCTGTTATAACTTGGAACGGTCCCGAACCAAATGGTTTAAGTTGAGGACTACCTGTACCGTAGGCCGATTCCCTTTGCAACATCCTGTCGCCCTCTCTCACCCAGACCTTGACAACGTTTAAGACGGGTGGGCTTCAATTCCCACCCCTCTTAATTCCCCAGCCAGCCATGCTTAAGGTCTTAAAGTTGCCAAGGTCGGACGTCCCTGCTTCAATCCCTTTCTTCTTCTTCTCTCTGTGTCCATTCAGTGTGAATGGAGTGGGGACATTTCCCCCCATTTTGGAGATAGACTTTGTGGCTTTGAAGACTTTCAATCTAAAAATGCTGAGATTCACTTGGGAAGAAAATCTCTTGGCTGGCACCGAGAATGTTTTCGCCGTCCTTCCCCCCCCCCCCCACTAACATCTTAGGTGGCAAACCAAATTCTCATTCTTCCTTTGGTTTGCGTCCATTGTTGCTCATGAACTTGGCCACAACATGGCATGAACCACGATGATGATAGGAACTGTCACTGTGAAACAGCCAACTGTATTGTGAACTCTGGAGCATCATAAGTAACTCCCGATTACATTTTCCAAAGCCCTTCTGACACCTAGCGGAAGATCAAGCAGATTCCTGGGAATTGAAGTCCACGGGTCAAACAGGTTCCGTATGAACCTAGCAGACAATTTTGTCTCCCAAAAGGTAGGGGAGGGAAGTAGAGCAGGGGTCCTCAACCTTGGCAACTTTAAGACTTGTGGACTTCAACTGCCAGGATGTGATCTGCTTTTTGGCTGGTAAGAAAATAACTAACAATGATGTAATAACTACCATTTGCCAGCAGTACTGCATGTGGTTACGAACAGATGGTAGTTTACCGTCAGACAAAATTAATTCTTACTGCTTAATCATCATTAACGAACATGGATTGTTTCCCTCTCCATTACAGGAGGAAGGATTTTGGTGGCACAGCTGGGATGGCTTATGTGGGGACTGTGTGCTCCAAAAGTCACGCTGGAGGCATTAATGTGGTAAGCTGCCATTAACTGCACCTCATTTAAGTAAAAAAAAAAAAAAAAATTACATCTTTTACGACGGTGACAGAAAGCGCAGTAGAGGTTGTCTTCGGCTTACGACCACAATTGAGTCCAAAATTTATGTTGCTAAGTGAGATACTTGTTAAGTGAGTTTCTCCCCATTTTACGACCTTTCTTGCCACAGTTGTTAAGTGAATCACTCAACTCAAAGCCTTCCCTTTTTCTAGACTGGCTGCCCATGGTGCAGCAGCTAGGAACAGCTTGAACCCCAGGCCGTCTTGCCTAGTACTGTTGGCATAAGAGTCTCCCGACAAAGAAATCCATGCCATCTTCTTTGTGATATTTTGTAGTTTGGACCCAACAGCGTGCAGGCATTTGCATCCATTGTCGCTCATGAACTTGGCCACAATCTGGGCATGAACCACGACGACGATAGGAACTGTCGCTGTGAAACAGGCAACTGTATTATGAACTCTGGAGCGTCGTAAGTAACTCCCGATTCCATTTTCCAAAGGCCTTTTGACACCTAGCGGAAGATCAGACAGATTCCTGGGAATTGAAGTCCACGGGTCAAACAGATTCCGTATGAACCTAGCAGACAATTTTGTCTCCCAAAAGATAGAGGAAGGAAGTAGAGCAGGGGTCCTCAATCTTGGCAACTTTAAGACTTGCGGACTTCAACTCCCAGGATGTGATCTGCTTTTTGGTGAGGAAGAAAATAACTAACAATGATGTAATAACTGCTCTTTGCCAGCGGTACTGTGTGTGGTTATAAATGGATGGTGGTTTACCTTCAGACAAAATCCAGAACGCCATTCTGTTTACCGACATGCTTAATTGAAAAGCTTTTCAAATGTTCCCCCTCTTCATAGCGGTGCCAGGAATTTCAGCACCTGCAGTGAGGAAGACTTTGAAAAGCTAACCCTGAACAAGGGCGGAAGCTGCCTTCTCAACTTCCCCAGGCCTGGTGAAACCTACAGCATCCCGTACTGTGGCAACAAGCTTGTGGATGCAGGAGAAGAATGTGACTGTGGGTCAGTGGAGGTAAATCATAAAGACATCTTGGCTGCCAGGGCCAGTTTGAGCTTCCAACCCAATTGGAAAAGTGAATGAAATTTCAAGAAGGTCTGAGGAAGAGTGGAAACTGCCCATGTGATAATTGATATGTGCTTTCAAACCCAGTTTGCCGTGAAGAAATGTCTAATGGTTGAGTTATGAGGAATACAGTGACCACGTTCCCAAACAGTGTCGTGTGAGGCCAGGATAAAAGTGAAAAGTCATTGGCACATGGACACTCATGCCTAAGAATGCCCAGATCTACTTGTCTGCACGTAGAAGACAGACTTTCATCTTTTGGTTAGGCCAGGGGTAGGCAACCGTGGCTCTTTTATGACTCGTGGACTTCAACTCCCAGAATTCCTGAGCCAGCCATGCTGAGGGGAAAGGGAGAAGTTTCCAAGCTGAGCCATGCTAGCTCAGGAATTCTGGGAGTTGAAGTCCATAAATCATGAGGGGGCCATAGTTCCCCTATGCTGGCTCAGGAATTCTGGGAGTTGAAGTCCACGAATCATAAAAGAGCCAAGGTTGCCTACCCCTGGGTTACCTTCTGTATGTGTTGGTCTTTTTCAGGAGTGTAAATCTGATCCCTGTTGTGAGGCAGGAACTTGCAGGCTGCGCTCAGGGTCCAGCTGCGGCTACGGAGATTGCTGTAAAGATTGTCAGGTAAGAACTTCCAAACCCCTGAAAGACACAGCAGGTGGGGCAGAGGTGAACGAGTGCTTTGCGGTGGGACAAGCATATCGTCAGAGCAAGGCTGTCCTTTTGCTTAAAAATAAGGCCTCTTGAGTTCAAAGTGGCTCCAGGCCGCTTTTTGCTAAACAGGAATATCCTAGGCCAAGGTAAGTCCAAAAACTTTTCACAGTGGCCCAAAATCAAGCACGGATCCCTAAATAACGGCCTTGCTTAGCCATGGAAATTCCAGTCCCAGTTGTGGTCCTACCTGCAAAGAACTACCTGCAAAGAACCACACGTTGGTTTAAGCATGTTTTTCAAGAAGATTTAAACCAAGATTGTTTGCTGCATTTTCCCCTTTGAAAAAGCAAATTTGATTTCCTAGCAACTCTGTAGTTTTGAGATAATGCCAGTAGGGGGTAGACCAGTGGTGGCGAACCTATGGCACGGATGCCAGAGGCGGCACTCAGAGCCCTCTCTGTGGGCACGTGCACCGTCGCCCCAGTCCTAGGCCTTCAGCTGGGTTTTATAAACCCTTTTCGCTTTAGGCCTCTGCCACCATGTGCAGAAAAAAAAAAGGTTCAATCAATTTCAACTTCTCGCGGGAAAAAAAAATCTTGCAAAGTTGGAATTGATTGATTTAACTTTTTAGTCCCACCCAGTCTGCCGTTACCACCGCAGCCATGCCCACCCAATGGGTCACACCCACCCAATGGGCCATGCCCACCCGGCACCTGACGATGCATAAGTGGATTTTGGGTTGCAGTTTGGGCACTCGGTGTCTAAAAGGTTCGACATCACTGGGGTAGACTCTAGCAATTTATGACTGACCTTGGGGGGGGACCCTAAACAGAGCCAGAATGCTTGAATGGGAGACAATCAGTGGAGGCAGTCCTTGATTTACGACTACACTTGAACCCAAAATTTCCATTGCTAAGCAACACAGTTCTTATATCCCATTTTGCCCCCCATTATATGACCTTCCTTCCCCCGTTGTTAAGTGAATCACTGCAGTTGTTCAGTTAATGCAGTGTTTCCCAAACTTGACAATTTTAAGGCATGAGGACTTCAACTCCCAGAATTCCACAGCAAGCAACGCTGGCTGTGGAATTCTGGGAGTTGAAGTCCACAAGCCTTAAAATTGTTAAGTTTGGGAAACACTGAGTTAGTGGCACGGTTGTTAAGTGGACCTGGCCTCCCCTTTAACTCTGTTTGTCAGAAGGTTGCAAAAGCAGATCACGTCACTCCGGAACACTGCGACCGTCATCAACATGTCTTCTCTCTCCAGTATCTTTCCAAGGGCACTGTGTGCCGTGAGAGCGCCAGCGAGTGCGACCTTCCAGAGTACTGCAATGGGTCTTCAGCCTTCTGCCCTCAGGATGTCACGATCCAGAACGGACACCCTTGCCACCAAGACAAGGCCTACTGCTACGATGGAGTTTGCCAGGATTACGAGTTGCAGTGCCAGGATATCTTTGGGCCACGTAAGGAAAATGATGGTTTGAGTCAAAACGGCCAGAACATTTTGGCATTCGGTTTGCTCCTGTTTGGGGCATTGGAGGGTAAAGGGGGAGTGGCAAGGTGAGCTTTGGATTGCTCACCTTGCTTCCAAAATGTATCTTTTACAGAAGCCAAGGTTGCCCCGAAAATTTGTTTCTCGGATGTGAACTCCAAAGGGGATCGGTTTGGAAACTGTGGATATCAGAACCGTGAATACAGGAAATGTTCAAGCTGGTAAGAAGGCAGGTTGGGGAACGTTTATCGAGACCCGATGGAGCTGTTTCCTAGAAGGGAAAGTCCAGGGTAGTGGTTGTGGCAAGGTGGAAGGGTCTATGACAATTCGCCATGGCCAACTTGCCATGGCCAGCTCACCATGGCCAACCTGTCAAGGCCAACTTGCATGGCCAACTCGCCATGGCCAACTTGTCAAGGCCAACTCGCCATGGCCAACTTGTCAAGGCCAACTTGCCATGGCCAACTCCCCATGGCCAACTTGCACAGCCAACTTGCTATGGCCAGCTCACCATGGCCAACTCACCATAGCCAACTTGCCGTGGTGAATTGGCTGTGGCAAGGTGTCCCATTCTGAGGTGGGATGAAGGAACAAGGTGCTCTGCCCCAGTCCAAGCTCTTGCAGGATCTAATCTGGGTCGGTTACCGGGACCAGAGATTTTGTCTTCAGACTCATGCAGCAGCCCAACTTCAGAGAACGTCTCTCTGTAGCAGAGTGTATGCTTTGGACTATTCTATTTGTGGTATTTATACAATGCCTGTTGTGTGCGGCTCTTTATATGTAGATTGGGGTGTTGATGGCCGTGGTTTCCTTCTGCTGCCAAGCCCTCACCTCCTACGTACTTGATATGCTGGGTGTAAATCAGCATTCCTGTTGATTGACAAGGGGCCGTTCACCAGGCTTCAATCACTTCCCTGGCTGCTTTTGTGCCTGCTCGTTCAACAATCCTATCACACAGAGAATAGCTCAAAGCACACACTCTGCTGGAGAGACATTCCCGGAGGATGGGCTTCAGTTATGAGTCTGTAACCTGGGAAGACTAAACCTCGGGTCCCGGTGAGCAAGCCAGATTACATCCTGCAACTTTATCCTGGGACACGTATATTTGCCTTCAATCCTCAATAGTTCCCTATGTGTTAGGCGGTCCTTGGATTCCCACCAGCCCATCTCCTTACGTTAGGTCTTGCTTTTGAGTCTGTCTGCCTGGGAGCATCAGTATTGTTTTTACTTGACTGCGATTAGAAAGCCAAGCTCTGAGCAAAACAGAAGGGATGGGGGTGCCGGCCATTTCACTGAGATCAGTTGCCTTGCCAGGAATGCCTTGTGCGGAAAACTGCAGTGTGAGAATGTGGAAACTTTGCCGGTCTTTCGGATCAAGCCTGCCATTATCCGAACTCCCATCAAAGACACGACCTGTTGGGGTGTGGACTTCCAGCTAGGATCAGATGTGCCGGATCCCGGGATGGTGAACGAAGGCACCAAGTGTGCACCTGGAAAGGTATGTTAAGCTGGCCTGGGCCAGTGCAAAGCCTCCAGGGTGAGTTGGTTTCTTGTCCACTAGAGAAGGGGTGGGGAATGTGGCCGGCTCAGGAATTCTGGGAGTTGAAGTTCACAGATCATAAAAGGGCCATAGTTCCCCACCCCTGCTCTAGAGCGTTACTGAGCAGCATGCTGGCTGGGGAATTCTGGGAATTGAAGTCCAGACCTTTTAGGACTTGCCAAGGTTCAAAAACTAGGCTAGGTGTGTCCACACCTTTGGTTTGCCCGAGCTACATTGAGCGAAGACCAATTGTCTTGGGCCACATATGATATATATATAATATACAGGTAGTCCTTGACTTACCACCATAATCCACCACAATCCAGTTCCGCTAAGCTAGGCTGTCGTTAAGTGAGTTTTATCTCATTTTATGACCGTTTTTGACACCTGTTCAGCAAATCACTGCTGTTAAGGAATATTTAAGTGAATCCGGCTTCCCCCATTCGTTTCGTCAGAAGCCAGCGGGGAAGGTCACAAATGGCGATCATATGACCCCGGGACAGTGCAACTGTTGCAGGTACATGCCAGTTGCCAAGTGTTTGAATCCCGACCATGTGACCCTGGGGATAATGCAACGGTTGTAAGTCTGAAAACTGGTCCTAAGTGACTTTTTTTTTAGTGCTATTGTAACTTTGATCACTAAACGAATGCTCGTCAATCGAACACTACCTGTAGTAACTATTGCTAAAAAATCACATCATAATGTTAAATGTTTATGATCTTGTGGGCCGCATTACTAGCTGTCTATGGCCACATGCAACTTGCGGTTAGCAGGTTGGACATACCTGCTCTGGACCGATGGAAAGTCCTTCAAAAGAGGTCTTCCAGAATGGGGAGGGGGGCCCTGCAAAGTCCCTCTTGGAACCATTCCAGCAGCAGCCTCTTTCCAAGTTCACACAGCTCTTTTGGGAGCTGTCTTTGGCTCTCTCAGAATGCATGGACTCCTTTGCTTTGCTTTACATTTACCTGAAAATTTCGGTAGCTGGAGAAGACTCCTGCGAGTCCCTTGGACTGCAAGGCGTTCAAACCGGTCAGTCTTAAAAGAGATCAACCCCAACTGCTCTTTAGAAGGCCAGATCTTGAAGTTGAAACTCGAGTACTTTGTCTACCTAATGAGAAGGAAGGACTCACTGGAGAAGAGCCTGGTTCTGGGAAAGATGGAGGGCAAGAGAAGAAGGGGATGACAGAGAATGAGGTGGCTGGATGGAGTCCCTGAAGCAGGAGGCGTGAGCTTCAATGGACTCCAGAAGATGGTAGAGGACAGGAAGGCCTGGAGGAACGTTGCCCATAGGGTCGCGATGGGTCGGACACGACTTCGCAACTAACAACAATAACAACAACATCTCAATACATTTGAACAGGGCCAGGATGGGGAGGGGATGTCTCAGATAACCAGCATTTAATAGCTTGCATGCAAATGAACCATTCAGATGTTGCTCTGTTTCAGGTCTGCAAACACTACCAGTGTGTTAATGCATCTGTCTTAGATTATGACTGTGATACAAAGAATAAATGCAACGGGCACGGGGTAAGTTCCAAATGAAAAGCAGCTTGATTCTATAGACCTTCGTGTTGGTTCCTGGGTTTGGTTTCTGGATCTAACTGAGTTCACCTAAATATTATTCTTCCCACCCTCAAACAGGTATGCAACAGCAATAAAAACTGCCATTGTAATTCAGAGTGGGCACCTCCCTACTGTGATTCCCCCGGATATGGGGGCAGTATAGACAGTGGACCTACTTACAATGGTAAGTCTTCAAAGTGGGAAACCTATCCTTCAGAAAAATGAAGGAGGCTGACACAGAAGCTTGCTTCTTTCTTTCTTTCTTTCTTTCTTTCTTTCTTTCTTTCTTTCTTTCTTTCTTTCTTTCTTTCTTTCTTCCTTCCTTCCTTCCTTCCTTCCTTCCTTCCTTCCTCCCTCCCTCCCTCCCTCCCTCCCTCCCTCTCTCTCTCTATCTCTCTCTTTCTTTCTTTCTTTCCAGACAGGGATGTTGCAACACGAAACTGGATACTGGCGTTTGCATTTATAGTTCTTCCCATCGTGATAGCGGTACTCATTCTTTATCGTACAAGAAGTAAAATAACTTCTTCCTGGTTGCCATTCACGGACACCTGTTGCAGGTAAGTTTCCCCCCCCCCTCTATTTTGCTCTGAAAATATCTCTCCAGAAAAGCCAAGCTTTTGGTTTTGAAAAAGAACAAAATATATCTTTTGTATATAAGGTGCTTTCGCAGATCGGATATCCATAGGCAGCAGGCTGTTCGAACTGAATGTCCACGCAACTTTCCATATTCTTCCAGAAGTGCATCATCGTCAGTGGTAAGACCAGCGTTATTTCCACTATTTACCAATCTGGATGGTTTTTAAGGAAAAACAAGAGGAGGAACTCCAATTAGAAGGAATAGGAGCTATAAAAAGCTAGCACTCCTATTCCTTCTGACAGACAGACAGACTGATAGATAACCTTCATTGTCATGTTTTACTGTGGGCACAGTGGCTCACATTAAAAATGAAATTTAGTTGCTTGCTCTCAAAGTGTATGCATACATAACACACATTTAAAACTGGAGTTCCTCCTGCCGTTTTCCCTTAAAAACTCAGTGCAGGTGAGCAGGAAAAGAGCTGGACAACACATTTCCATGGTTCCTCATGTCTACAATGCTAATCCAACTTATCACACAAAGGACAGGCCAAGAGGCATTGCACAATTGTCAACCGATTAATCGACTATCTCTTGTAAAGCCTAATTTGACTCCTCCTCTATTTCCTTCTCCCACACAGGTGGTGTCGTCCATGGACCAGCAGCGTGTCCCACCAAGGTCAGTATGGAGAGGATGGAGAAGAAGGCAAGCTGAGGGTTCCAACACTACCTCCAACTTGGTGTTGGGAAGGTTTTCGTAGAAGGGCTCAATCGGAGGTCTCCTGCTGGAGCAGGAGGTTGGACTAGATGACCTCCAAGGTCCTTTCTGATTGTCTCATTCTATGTTCTAAGTTGTAGGTGTTCAGTGTCCAGCATGTCCCCACAAACCATTGGCCATGCACATTGCTGCAGCCAACCACTTTTGGAGGCTGCTAATTCCCAGCTTTGCTAATGACCAGGAATGACGAATTCTTGACCCACAGGCTGATGCTTGACCCTGTCTTCCCTTTACAGGCCTCCACCCCCAGTGATGAAAACGTCAAAAGCATCGGATCAGATTTTTCCCTCTCGACCAGCACCTTTGCCCCCGATATAAGAAATGCCTCATTTGCCTTTTGCAAGCCTGCATCCCACCTTCTGAGGGCTGAGCTGCCTCCACCTTCCATCCAGCGATTCTTGACACTGTCTTTTCTTCCTTGGCACTGGATTAAGAGGAAAGAAAAAAACAGTGGTGAATACAAAATGCAAAACTAAGGAATGTAAACTCTTATCAGAATACCTCTCCGGGAACTTAAATCGCTGAGTTCTGTCAAAATTGCCCGTGTGTCCACGGCATTTGGGCTGCACTGCTGGACGATATCAGCTTGAACTGGAACGATGTTTTGGGATGCAAGGGCATCTGCCTTCTTTTTATGATTAGATTTAATCGTACGATACTTGACACAAGCAATTCCCCCCACCCACTTGCTAGACCCTGAGGGATTTTTTTTTTTCAGAAAATGAAATAAGTCGAGGCAAGAGGGGCCTAACTGTTTTTAAGGACCAGTAAGCTGATCAAGAAGGCCAGTCCCATTTCACTAAAACCTTTACGGTACGGAAAAGCGTGATTATCAAAAAAAAAAAAAATGTAGTTCTGTGTGATTGGGAGAAAAATCAGAAGTGGACAGCACTGGTTGCGGGGTGCTGTTCTTTCACCAGGACATCCTGTGCCTTGGGGGATATTGTGGCTATTCTTGAATTTTAAAAATTCTAAAAATAATGCAAGCAACGGATATGTATAAAAGTGTGTGTGGCACTTTAAATCAGAGGTCCCCAATCTTTTGGGCATCAGGGACCTGTTCCGTGGAGAGGGGTTTTTCCATAGACTGGAGAGTGCATGGATTTGTGTGTTGCCTGCATCTCGCGGATGGGGCTTTACTTGTTTCTGTGGCCCGGTTGCTGGCATGCCGCAGCTTGGTACTAGTCCACGGACCGGGGGTTGGTGACCCCTGCTTTAAATGATAGACAGCCTAAAATATGACACAAAGTTTGAGGGTTGCGTGTCATATGTTTGAGGGTGCAGCTGTTTCTCAAAATTCAGAGCTAAGAGGGCAAGTTATTTCTGTGGCTGGGAGGATATATTTTGACAGCTCCACTTTTCCTACAAAGTTACACCTGTCTTCACCTGTAGTTGCAGTAAGGTAGATTCAAGCTTCAGTCGAAGGTCTAACCCAGGAACAGAAGCAACATTAAATTGCTGTGCGTGGATTGGAATTGCTTATTTGGAAATCCACGAAGCTATTCATATCCAAGAAAATGTGAAGAATGCTGGCTATGCAATTTTATTCTTCTCCACCGAGAAGCCAGACCCACTAAAGTCATTGGGACTTTTGATTTAGTGGGTATATTATTGCAAGCTTATACATGCAGGGCTGCCAGCTCAAGGGCTCTGACTGTTCATCGTTCACCCTGACGTTGTTTTGTATTGAAAAGAGATAGAAGAATTAGTAGGAAGACAGGAGGAGATTATAAATGGAAGATGAGCCATCTTCCTACTCAGGTGTGTGTATATGTACAGGATGTGGTCAAAAAGTCCAAAGTGCTGGCCCTGATATTGTGATCAAAGGTCTTCTCCTTTGAGTGCACCTGCAATAAATTGGGCGGATCTTCAGTCACATTACAGGTAGTCCTCCTTTAGCGACCATGCTTGGGATCAGCAACTCAGTCATTAAATGAAGTAGTTGCCAGTTGAAACCGCAACTATGTTATGGTCTTCATTCAGCTTTCCTTTGCTCTACATCAGGGGGTCTTCAAACTTGGCCCTTTGATGACTTGTGGACTTCACCTCCCAGAATTCCTCAGCCAGGCACGTGTGCCTGGCTGAGGAATTCTGGGAGTTGAAGTCCACAAGTCATCAAAGGGCCAGGTTTGAAGACCCCTGCTCTACAGACCTGCAAGGATCATCAGTGGTTGTACTTTTTCATCCTCTTTGTAAGTGTGCATGATTGCTAAATGAGACGGTCGCTAAATGAGGACCGCCTATATTATGACGAGCAACTTGAGTTTTTTTTTTTTTACCATGCCTTGCGGACACCCCTGCTTCTGCCAGAATTGAGGCAGGGCAATTGCACAACAAACCTCTGGGTTCCTCCTTCTTCCTCAAAGCTAATACATTGTTAGCATGTACATAATTTTTAACACTGTGTGTAACTGTGAACACATATTAAACAGCTAATTCTCTCTCTGCTGGCTGATCTTACAAGTGTGTTTAATAAATTTTTTTAGGGAAGTTTAATCAGTTTCAGCTAACAAGAACTAACCCAGGACATTTGACTTAATAACCATGATTGGTTCCTTGAAATGATGGTACAGGAATTGCGCCTTGGTGCCCCCCCAAAATTGGTGGAAACTTAACCAAAGGTGGCATTTCAACTGTACACTTTTCCCCAAAGGCTTCTACAATTTTGGCCACTACTGTAGTTCACAGTGGACTGCGGATTCTTGCAAATCAGTGTATTAAAGACTGAAATAATGATGAATAATTATGTTGGCTTATTCCTAAGTGGCATTAGCTGTTCAATATTCAGATAGTCCTCGACAACCACAATTTGGGGCCAGAATGTCCATTGCTGAACAAGGCTGTTTTGAAGTGAATTGTGCCAGTTTTACAACCTTTATTGCTATTGGTAAGCAATCACTGCAGTTGTGAAGCAAATCATATGATAAGCGAATCTGGCTTCCCCCCCCCCATAGACTTTGCTTGTCAGAAGCTGGCTAGAAAGGTCCCAAATGACAATCACACCCAGGGATGCTGCAACTGTTATAAAGACGTGCTGTGGCCAAGCACCTGAATTTTGATTACATGATCGTGGGGATGCACCATCAGTTGTGAATGCAAAGATTATTATTTTTTTCTTTTTTTGACACGTTACTTTTTACATAAGTTCCTGCGGTCACTAAATGAATGGTTGTGAGGAGTATCTGGACTCTTGTTTGGTAAATGTACACATCATTCTTGCCAAAAGAGAGTTTTTAACAGCGTTTGTATATATTTATTTGTGTTAATAAAATGTTTGAATGATTTAGTCTCAAAAGTATGACCAAATATTCACTCCTGTGTATCGCAAAGTTAAGAGTCCTGCAGCTGAATGAGCAGTGAATGGAATAGCTGCTGCTCAGGTTTTCTTCTCCGCCCTAGTCCCCAAATAGGCTATGATTCAACCATGGTTTATTGAATAACCATAATTGGCTGTGTGGTGCTAGCTAGGGCAATATTCTGTGTTTTGGAAGAGGCAGTAAATGGACTCAAAACAGGCAGATCCAGATTTGAACCTCCACCCCACCCCGCAAGGTTACATAAACTCACTGGGTGAACCTGGGTTGGTTCCACACTCCCAACCTAGCTTATCTCACGGGCTGGTTGTTGGGAATAGCTGGAGGAGGGAGTACTGGTTAAGTCCCCTTGAATTTTCCTGAATGAAAGGCAGAAAGAAGCCCATATAGGTAGTCCTCAATTTACGACCACAATTGTTAAGTGAATCACTGCACTTGTTAAATTAGCAACACAGTTGTTAACTGAACCTGGCTTCCCCATTGACTTTGCTTGTCAGAACGTGGCAAAAGGCGATCACACAATCCTGGGACACTGCAACCGTCATAAATATGAGCCAGTTGCCAAGCATCTGAATTTTGATCATGTGGTTGTTAAGTGTGAAAAATAGCCGTAAGTCACTTTGACCAGTGCTGTTGTAACTTTGAACGGTCACTAAGTGAACTGTTGTAAATAGAGGACAGCCTGTACTTTGCTTGTGGCAGGGAGGGGGCGAGGAAATCATGATCACATTGTGAGGTTATCCACTTAGCCTCACAATTGTTCCAGCTTTACTTAGGAATTTAAAAAAGCCAAAAGAAACTCCTGATCTGAGGTTTCAGCAAGCAAACAACTTTTATTTGGATCAAAATGATTTGAGGGGACATTTTGAGGGGCTGAAATTCCGAGCCCTGGTCACGCCGTGCCATTGTTAAGCCAGAATGGTTGCTGAACGAGTGGTCATTAAACGAGGACCCCCCCGTACGCTGAAAAATCGGCTTCATGTCCTTAGAAGCCACGATTCATTTCATCAATGACACAATTTCACGCCGGCCCAAAATATCAAGGCTTCATAATCAAGGAGCAACTGAGACCCTTCACAAGACCAGCAGGCCAAGGCCGTATAAGGCGTGAATCCCCCACCGGCCAGGGGTCGCCGGCCTTCCGCCAGCAGCGGGACGAGACGCGGCGCTCCGGAGCGTCCTCGCCAGGGAGGCCCGCCGTTTCTCCGGCGGGGCCGAAGCCCATTTCGCTCCGAAGCGCCGCTTCCCGCCCGGCCGCCCCGCCCGGCTGTCCGCCCGTTCCAGGCTGGAGCGCCGACCGTTGAGCCGGCGGGTGGTCCGGCAGCGCCATGGGGCTGGGGCGGGAGGCCGCGTCGCCGCTCCACCTTCTCGCCTTGGCGAGCCTCCTGGCCAGCCTGGGTGAGCAGAAGGCCGGAGTCCCCGTCCTCCTCGTCCGGGGCCAGTCCTTCCACCCGAAGGCTCGCCCCGAAGCCCCCCTTGCCATCCCCGCGACCCCCGGCCTCGCCCGCCTCAAATTAAATGTTCATTGCCTTTCTCCCGTTTTTTTCTTTTCTAGAGTGTCAAACATTTCTGCATATCACTTATCCCCTGAAGATATCGGCCAACTCGTCTGAAGATTGTATAGGTGGTGCTCCTGATGAGGTACTTGAGATTTTAAGAGGCAAATATTTGAATATTTAGAATGAACCTGTATCTCGAAATTTGAACTGAAGCGGATGTCATTCCAAAGGAAAAATAGAGGGACAACAACAAAAATAGATGGAAGTTTGAGCATGGTAGGGGGGGTCATAGATAAGGGGCAGAGAATGAAACAGGTACGCTGCAAATATACGTACTTGTGTCAGTCACATTTTAAAATCTGGAAAAGGGGCATTTACAGCCACTGTTCCAGATTTGAAGAAAATGTATTCTTAAAATACGGACGTTTTGGTGTCAGCGTAGTTTGCTGTGGACTTTGCTGATAATAGGAAGTAAAACAGTCTTTATTATGCTCCTCCTTCAACTTTTCTCCTTAAGCGTTGAATGAAAAAACATTATTCGTGGTGTAAAATGGAACTGGATAGAATCCAAAGTCTTTTGCAATGCTTGAATTCAGGTGTCAAAAACCTTTTGTGGAATCCATCCATTTGAAGATATTTTATGAACTTTCAATGGGTGAAGAACAAAATAAATAATTTGATTTGTTGTTGCAAAAAGCAACTTGTAGAGTTAACTTGTACTATACTAACTATGGTATCTGTGCTCTGTGAATGGAAGAATTCTGCTGGCGCTCTTGCAAATTTATTTTTGTCAATTTAGCTTAATCAGTCTGCAAATCTGTGATGAGAAGATTGCTAAATTGCATGGTAAACAAACAGCGTTTTTTCACTTATTCACCTAAGATGTTAAAAGCATCTCATTAGCAGTACACATAAAAATTTATAAACAAATACATTAGGTGTTAACGTCACTGACATGTTTAATGACCTTTTTAAACATTGAACTGATTTTTTTAAATAAATGTTTTTTGCGTATTTCAATTTTGAATCCCTCTTGGTTAAAGCAGGGGTGACCAACCTTTAAAGTCTTTCAGCTGAATGCACGTTTGCCTTTTTTCAGATTTCCCCAATTTCTTTAAAACTACAGATCTTTCTTTCAGATTCTTCTCCTATTTTGGTTTAATTGACTGTGTTTAAAATTTGCACTATGCTGCAATTTGTTTAATGCTGGCTGGGGAATTCTGGGGGTTGTAGTCCACACATCTTAAAGCTGCCAAGATTGAAAAACACTGATTTAAGTCATTCCCTTTTCCTTAATCTTTTCTGCCTTCACTTTCAGCATCAAATGCTTGTTTAAAATGGATCTATTCCATAATGGTTACTTTTATGACATGTGATTGTGATAACACAAGACAACTGAGTGGTTTATTTAACTGTTTCTAACAAATTGTTTTTTGCTTTGTTTTGTTCTAAATGAGCAGAGTGTTCAGGCTTATACCCTTACCATAAATCAGAAGCTCTACACAGTCCGCCTGAAACAACAGTGAGTTATTTTCTGTTTTCCAATCTTAGCCTTTGGGGAAGGGATTGGACAGTCATTTGTCTGAGGTGGATAGAGTTAGATTAGAAGACCTCCAAGGTCTATTCTATTCTATTCTATTCTATTCTATTCTATTCTATTCTATTCTATTCTATTCTATTCTATTCTATTCTATTCCATTCCATTCCACTCCATTCCACTCCACTCCACTCCACTCCACATGCAACTTTTCCCAGCAGCTTCCCACAAGCAAAGCCCACGGGAGAAGCCAGATTTGCTAAATGATCACACGATTTGCTTAATGACTGCAGGGATTCGCTGAACAACTGTGGCCCAAAAGATTGTGAAATCCAGCGCAACTCACTTAACACCCAACTTGCTTAGCCAGAAAAATTCTGGGCCCAATGATGGTTGTAAGTCGAGGGTTACTTGTACGTATCCATTTTGTGATACCAGTTTGCCTTTTGTTTCATTGCGTTCATCACAGATCCTATTTGCCAAACGATTTTGTGATTTATACATACAACCGTGGAGGCTTTGTGCAGCCCACTATCCCAGAAATTCAGGTAAAGATGTTTTAATTGCATTTTGTCCTACACCTGATTCAAACTACAATTTAAATGACATTAAACCATTAAATACTTGGGGTTGTTTTTTTTTCTTCCAAATCATGTATTCCAATGCAATAAATAACATTTTGGTAATAGCAACAAATTTAATATTATACAGCTGAGAGATACTATAGAAATTCAGAGAAGAACATCTGAAGGAGATCCTGATTTCCAGGCAAGCTTGTGTGCTACAAAGTGATCCTAGAATTAATTAATTATAAAAGAACAGATCTTCTAGTCCAACCCCTTGCTTAAGACCCTGTACTATTCTGAACAAATGGCTGTCTAGTGTCTGCTTAAAAACCTTAAAAACGTCTGGAGGCAAGCCATTTTACTGGTTGTTCTCACTGCCAGGAAATTTCTCCTTAATTCTAGGTTAATAATTTTCTGCTGTTACTTCTTGTCTTTCCCTCTGGTGCTTTGGAGAATACGTTAACCCCCTCTTCTCTGCGACAGACCCTCAAATATTTGAAGACACCTATCGTATTACTCCTAATCTTTCTCTTCATTAGCCTAGATCAGGGATAGGCAACCTTGGCTCTTTTAGGACTTGTGGACTTCAACTCCCAGAATTCCTGAGCCAGCCATGCTGAAGGGAAAAGGAGAGGTTTCCAAGCTGAGCCATGCTGGCTCAGGAATTCTGGGAGTTGAAGTCCATGAGTCATAAAAGAGCCAAGGTTGCCTATCTCTGGCGTAGATATACACAGTTTTCACAACTGTTCATTGTATGCTTTAGCCTCCTGTCGCCTAATAATCTTTGTTGCTCTTCTGTAAATAGTTAGGGCTTTTAAAAGTAAAATTCACACCTTGAGATAGCAATAGTGGCTCAGAACCCCAGAACACTCTTAAGATTGGTGAGAAATGGTCTTTCTGTCCAGTGAAGCCATGTAATTAATCACCAGTCCAGATCAGCTACAAAAATCCAAAAGGCATATTAATTGTCCCAATAACTAGGGCCAAATTTTTCCTATTTAGAAAAGGTAAATACTGTAGTGTAGTTAATGAATGGTTATATTCATTAATTGATTCTTTAAAAATACATATCTTTAGAATGAATGCTTCTATCAAGGTCATATCCAAGGATTCCCCAATTCTGTGGCAATACTCAGCACCTGCTCTGGGCTCAGGTAAGAGACTTACTCTTGAAAATTAGCTACAGGCTTAAAAATAAGTCCCTGCACTTCTTCCCGTGTAGCTCAGAGTTGCTTCGGAAGTGGGAAAAATGGTCTGGGATGCCAGATTAGCCATGGTCCCAATCCAATCTTTTGATGCAAAAGGTTTTTCAGAAAGTAAACTATATTGGGAGTTCCAGGTAAAAAATTCCAATGCAATATGTAGTTCTAGCTTTGCTTTCTGTCAACCATCCCTTTGGGTTAGACAGCAAACAAAAAACAAAACAAAACAAAAAAACTCCTGGGACAATTTCTTTAGCAAGAATAAATAACTTTAGTGAAGATTCCATATCGGTGCAGAAGTATAAAAGCCAATTCTAATGATTTTACGTGAAAACAGCATAGGAAAACTTTCCCTTTTCCCCCTGGACCTCCCATCTGCCGTAGGGTCCCCTGCTTGAGCAGGGGCTGGACTAGAGGACCTCTAAGGTCTCTTCCACCTCTGTTCTGATTCATTTGCACTCTCTTTGTTTTGAGAACGGTCTGTCTGCCTTGGACTTCCCCAGCTGGCGACCTTGGTGTTGGGTCTGTCTCAGGCTTCCAATCAGCACCCTTGCATTCCAAAGTTCCCTCCCAAACCTCTGTTACATTCCAATGCTTTTCCTCTCCCCCCCCCATTACAGCTGTGTGGTTGCAAGCAGGGCTGGGTAGTGAGTCAACCATGACACTTTCTGTCAACATCCAGCTCGAGAATCCAAATAAAACTCCAGGTTCATTCTGAAAAGCTTACTGTTTATTGAATACACTGCATGGTTTTGTCGAAGCAAAACTAACTCTGAGGTTCCAACACCAGTTCGTAGACTGAAACAATAATTTTACCAGCCAAACCCCCAATGTCTTATGTAATGCATTTCGACAAGTTCACTTTATTATGGGAACATCTGCTTCAAATCCACACCTGTGCAACGGGTGGAAACTAATCAAGGAGAGAAGCAACCTAGAACTAAGGAGAAACTTCCTGACAGTGAGAACAATTAATCAGTGGAACAGCCTGCCTCCAGAAGCAGTAAATGCTCCAACACTGGAAGTTTTTAAGAAGAGACTGGACAGCCATTTGTCCGAAATGGTGTAGGGTTTCCTGCCTGAGGAGGGTTTGGACTAGATGACCTCCAAGGTCCCTTCCAACTTTACTACTATTACTATTACTGTTCTGGTGTCCTTGACAAGGCTTCAGGCTCTCATGGTCTTCAGCTGAATTGAATGGATAAGAAAAACTTGTGTCCTAACAATGTGGAAATTTTCAGGGGAGTGCTACAGTTTGAGAATGTCAGCTACGGCATTGAACACCTGGAATCTTCAACTACTTTTGAGCACCTAATTTACGAACTAAATAGCAAAGACGGCCAAAGCCCAATTTGGACAGAAAAAGTCACTCGTGTAGACAACCAAACGAACACTGGACGTGCATCTTATAAGTTGCTTTCAGATACTGTGGTTAGTACTGATCTCTTGCTTCGTTTCTTTTTAAAGCAGTGTTTAAAAGTGGTTATCATGTTTATGTGCTAGCATTATATCTTCTCTACGTGCTGAAGTTGTCAAGGTAGTTTCAGCATAGGTGTGTGTCTACACAATAGGGCTCTGCAAAAAGGTCCACTGCAAAAGCTACTGGCCAAAATGGAGGTTTCTCCTTGAAGTGTTAAAGCAGCCGTGTCCTCTGGAAATCTTGCTCGGTTCCTTTGAAGGTTGTTTTCAGATGTCGGTGGGAAGTAACGCATAACACAAAGAACGTTTTTGGACCAGTGAAGTGAAACAGCATAGACCGACAAGGAGGGACTTGTGAGTTTCCAAAGGATGTGGCTGCTTTAACACTTTGAGGAGAGATCTTCTACTTGTGCCAAAACCCTTTATAAAAGGCCCATTTTAAATGGCTGTAAGTTAAACAAAACCTGTTTTGTTTTGTTTTTTTTGTAAAACGGCATCACCAGGAGCAATTCTTCCCTCACTGTTGTTTCCTGCAAGTGGGATTTTGGAGATGGGCGGTTCAAGGTTAAAGAAGATTGTCTGCTTCCTATTTATCCCATTCCTTTTAGAATCAACTTAGCACTCTCATAACCTCTAGTGGCAATGAGTTCCAAAATTTAAATGATGTGCTTGGTGGTCTTGGATATGTCTGCCATCTCGAGTTATATGTAAAAAAAAAAGGTGGAATATAAATAAAATAATAATAAAATAAAATAATAAAATAAAATAATAATAACATAAAATAATAACATAAAATAATAACATAAAATAAAATAATAAAATAACATAAAATAATAAAATAAAATAAAATAATAAAATAAAATATAAAATAAAATAAATAAATGGAATATAATTCCTGTGAAGAATTGTGGGCAGTAAAGTGAGTGGAATGCAATATTGTTTTTTTCCAAAATACTTTATTGATTATAGTGTGTGTGTATGTGTGAATGTGTGTGTGCATGTGTCTGTGGTGTGTCTGTGTGTGACTCTGTGTGTGTGTGTATTCACGTGTATAGGTAATCCTCAACTTACAACAGTTCATTTAGTGACCAAAGTTACAACGGCACTGAAAAAAGTGACTTATGACCCTTTTCACACTTACGACCATTGCAGCATCCCCTCAGTCACGTGATCAAAATTCAGACGCTTGGCAACTGACTCATCTTTATGACGGTTGCAGTGTCCTGGGGTCATATGGCCCTCTTTTGTGACCTTCTGACAACCAAGGTCAAAGGGGAAGCCAGATCCACTTAACAACCGTGTCACTAACTTAACCACTGTAGTGATTCACTTAACAGCCATGACAAGGTCATAAAACGGGACAAAACTCACGTAACAATTGTCTCCCTTAGCAACATAAATTTGGGGCTCAGTTGTGGTCGTAATTGAGGACTATCTGTTTTCTGCTAAGGATAATACATTTTGCATAACTGCTAGCCTTGCATACTACCAGCCGGTGAAATGCAGAAGCGTTGCTAAAACAGAATTTATTTTGTCCCTCCGCAGCCGCTGCCAGATACCACTAAAACTCACAGGTACATAGAAGTCTATGCTGTTGTGGACAAGGTTTTGGTAAGTCTCTTAACCGTCCAAAATATTCCGCCTCAGGAATTTTAGGAAGGATGTTTCTTGCAACGTGGATGGTGCGGAGCAGAGGGCAAACCATTAGGCTACATGCCCTCTGAGATTATCTATTTATTAAGTTGATAGACTGCCTGTCTCTCTCTATCAAGCGACTTTGGACTGAGACAGGACGATGAAAAAAAGGGCAATGGCAGCATGGACATTTTGGTTGCTGTGGAAGGAGAGGAGATTGGAAACAAGGGTTTTGGGGAAGCAAACGTGAAAACTGGCCTAAAGTCCCATCCACAAACTCGGGGTTTGCAGTTTAAGGAAGTGGTCTCCTTTCCAGAGGCTCCCTGCTTCCATTCCTGCCCTGAAAAAAATTCCAAGTAAGGCTGTGAAGGCCGCTTCTCACCTCTTCTGATATTCTCTAATAGACTTCCAAAAACAGTTGGCGGCCTTCAAACATCTCCCAGCTTCTGTCATGGTACCGACAGAGGAAACTCTTCAAAGAACTTCAAGGCATTGTTTACCTTAAAGAATCTTTATTCAGGTAGTAAGGGCATGTAATAATTGTCTTTTTAAAATTGCTAACTGTGTTATCACCTCCTTGTTTTCTAGTTCAACTATTTGGGTGGAAACCCTGAATATGTAACCTCAAACATTGTGCAGATTATCGGCTTTGTTAATAGCGTAAGTTACGTTCTGGTTTTCTCTCAAATTAACTCCTGGTCTGGCTGCATTTTATTCTTAATCCTGGGAATTTTGATGTAGAACTGTTCACATTGCCAAAAATAATTACAAGTGTTAAATGCTAGATGTATGTATTCAATAAATATATATACAATACACACACGCCAAAACATGCATCCTCCCTTTAATGATGCAGATTTATATTTTATTCTGAATACAGTAGTCCTCGACTTACAGTAGTTCAGTTAGTGACTCTTCGACGTTACAACGCCAAGACGACCGTTTTTCCCACTTACAAATGTTGCAGCATCCCCACGGTCAAAATTCAGATGTTTGGCAACCAGTTCATATTTACGACGGTCGTAGTGTCCCGGGGTCATGTGGAACCCCTTGCGCGACCTTCTGACAAGCCAAGTCAATGCGGAAGCCAGATTCGCTTAATAACCGTGTCACTAATTTAACAACTGCAGTGATTCACTTACATCTGTGGCAAGAACAGTCGTAAAATGGGACAAAACTCATTTTACAAATGTCTCACTTAGCAATGGAAATTTTGGGTTCAATTGCAGTCGTTGAGTCGAGGACTACCTGTATAATGGTGTCCATGCAGGAGCTATGTAATAGATAAATAAATTGATCATGTAGCTATTTAACCAGTGGAACAGCTTGCCTCCAGAAGTTGTGGGTGCTCCAACACTGGAAGTTTTTTAATGAGTGGATAGCTATTTGTCTGAAATGGTATAAGGTCTCCTGCCTGAGCAGGGGGTTGGACTAGACAACCTCCAAGGTCCCTTTTAACTCTGTTATTCTGTTACTCTGATTAACTTAACTCCTGCTGCAGTCTGATTTCATCCCTGATTCTCTTCTTCAATATACAATTGAAACCTTTGCTTTTTTGGGGAACTGATGCTAAATCCAGTTTAGCCATGAGAAGGTCTGAACCTGTTTTTAATTAGCTAATTGTGGCGAATCGCCTTAGCGAAAAGAAGTTTTATTCTTTTCTTTTCAGATGTTTGCCGACATTAACGTAACAGTTGTACTTTCCTCTTTGGAGTTCTGGACAGATGGCAATAAAATCTCAACAGAAGGAGAAGCCGATGAAATTCTACGGAGGTTTTTGCAATGGAAAAATTCGTACCTTGTCCTGCGGCCTCACGACCTGGCTTTTCTGTTTGTGTAAGTGGAAAGAATTTAAAAGGCCAATCCTGTTTTTTTTTTCCTTTTAATGTCTTTGATATAAAAGTATTCAGGATATTTTAAGGAAAAAAAAGTAGTTGCCTGCAAATACGTACAGCAAAGAGCTTGTGAAATGTGCTTTTTAAAAAGAACATGCTTGTCTCTAAATCCAGGTTTGCAAGAAATAATAGCTGCACTTATAAAACATGATATGGCCAAACCAATGAAGGCCTAGTTCATATTTATTTAATTAACCCCTTCTCTCCCCTTTAAGATGAAGGCCTAGTTCAGGGGTAGGCATCCTTGGCTCTTTTATGACTCATGGACTTCAACTCCCAGAATTCCTGAGCCAGCATGGCTCAGCTTGGAAACCTCTCCCTTTCCCCTCAGCGTGGCTGGCTCAGGAATTCTGGGAGTTGAAGTCCACCAGTCATAAAAGAGCCAAGATTGCCTACTCTTGGCCTAGTTCATATTTATTTATTTAACCCTTTCTTTCCCCTTTAATATGAAGGCCTAGTTCATGTTTGTTTGTTTGTTTGTTTATTTAACCCCCTTCTCTCCCCTTGCGCTCTAGGTTCAGAGAGAAGCCAAATTACGTGGGAGCAGCTTTTACAGGGAAATTGTGTCTCCGAAATTTTGATGCATCAGTAGCTTTGGTACCGTACCACAGGTTTTTCTGTAGGGTTAAAAAATTTGATCTGGGGCTGGTTTGGGTTAAGGCCTCAGTAGCCGATAATAAGAGGTGTTAGATTTTTAGACACTCGCCCCCCCCCCCATAAAATAAGAATTCCCTTAAATCCATCCTTGTACAGGAAGTCCTTGGCTTACGTACACTCATTCAGCGACCGTTTCAAGTTACGCCAACACTGAATGCATGGATGTATAACCAATTCTTGAAGTACCAGCCAACGCAAGCACGTCTTGGGTTATTGTGATTGTGATCCGGGAGCTCTGGTGCCCACTTTGGGATTACAACATTACATGAGAATTGAAGAAGCTCCTTGGAGAAGAAGCAAAATGTTTTCAAAAGAAAAAGAACAAGAAAGTCCAGTTACGCTTTTGGGACTCACCAACGCGTAGGATGAATCCGTTGATGAAAAAAAGCAGAAATGGTTCAGGAGGAGAATGGTTTAAATCAATGGATCTCTACCTTTTCTTCACAACGGATCCCCTTTAAATATCTTTTGTGGCCATGGTGCATGGGCACGGACCCCAAGACGTAACTCAAGATTTAAATCGTAACACTTCCTCAAGCCTTTGCGGACCGCCTGTAACAACATTGTGCCCCCCCAGGGGTCCACATACCATAGGTTGAGAACCACTGGCATAATTCAGTATAGAATACGACTTTCAAGTCTACAAAACCAACCTAAAACTGAAGTGGGCTGTCACGGACGCACTTATATTTTGCTTATATATCTTTGTGAAATACTTTTGATTCCTTAGTTTGGTTTCTCTTCCTCCTTCTAGTATGAGAAGTCAATAACTTTGGAGACTTTTTCAGTCATTCTGGCTCAGCTGTTGGGTTTCAGCCTGGGGATGGAATACGAGGACGGCAAAGACTGCAAGTGCCCCGGACACATCTGCGTAATGCACACAAATGCAGTGCAAGTATTGCTATTATTCATTTCTGTTGTTCATAGCTGGAACAGAGCTAGGAAGCCCTGTGATGGACATTGCTCAAGGGGCTTCACTGGGCTGTGTTATGTTGAGACTCGATCACAGGCTGTTCACCTGCCCAGTTCAGATGCTTGGCGGTTAAGGTGAGGCTGATGGGCATGCATTTAGCGATGTCTTCAATAATCCAAAATGAGAAACTTCCCTCTTTTTATGGATTCTTCAAAGGCGACTAAGCTGGAAAGTGCTCATAATTGTTCCTAAGGGCTCAAAGTTAACAACTGTGGCAAGAAAGGTCATAAAATGGGGCAAAATTCACTTTAACAACTGTCTGGCTTAGCAGCAGAAATGTTGGGGTCAATTGCCGTAAGTTGAGGACTGCCTTTACCTCTACGTGAAATCTTTGTTACGTTCCCATTCGGTGGTTCTCCTCAAGTAGGAGAAACCTCTGCGCATCTGGTGATAAAGAAACATAGCAATGGGCCTCACTGGAAGGGAAGTACGTGCTCTTTTTAAGTTTTCTTCTGTGCCCAAAAGTTTGTGACGTGACACGTATATATTGGAAAGAGAGATGGCTAGATGCTAATGTCATACATATTTTTTTGCCTTTGTTCCCCCCCCCCACAGTAATTTCGGTGGAATTAAAAAATTCAGCAGCTGCAGCGTTGTGGACTTCCAAAATTTCATTAAGTTCAAAAGCGCCCCTTGCCTTTCGAATCGGCCAAATTTGAAATTGTACTCTCAGAAGAAATTGTCCAAAGGGAAACCGGCTTGTGGGAATGGTGTTTTGGAACCTGGAGAGAAATGCGATTGTGGCAGTGTTGAGGTGGGTATTTGAGAACTGTTTTCAGATGTGTTGATTTAAATATGTGAGCTGTCCTCTACCAGGGACTCCTGATGTTTGTCAGAAGGGAACATAAAATCATTAAGGTAGGATAATTCTCACCTAGGTAGAGATGCTTTCAAAAATCACCATTAAATTTGCGTTCACCCCCTAACTACTTCTTTCATGCCTCTCTGCCTGGGAATTTTAAAATTTATTAGCTACAATCATAACACCACTTGTAGTGAACTGTGGAATGCTCATAGGGTTAAGGAATATGGCTGTAAAGGAAAAAAAAAAAAAAAGCTGGATTAGATGTTGACTCCAACACATTTAATGTCTCATCCTTGTATCTCCGGAGACCCTTAGTAAAAATTAAATGTTCCTTTCAATACAATCTTTCTGCAGCCCAGATAAATTGAGACAGGCAAGATGAGATCTCCCACATGGTAGAGAACTAGCTAATATTTCAGCCATGATGTGTTTAATGTTTAATGATTTTGTTTTCAGCATTGTAAAAGGAGTAAATGTTGTACTAGCAGTTGCACGTTTCAGCGGGGAGCCTTGTGCAGTAATGAATTATGCTGTGAAAATTGCAAGGTAAGGCATCGTAAGGTATCAAATGTGGGAGATGGGAAGCTGTGTGGTTTAGGCCTGATAGAACTATTGGGTGAATATCAAGCAGCTGCTTTCCAATCTTGAGGACTAGAGGAGAATGGCCAAATATCCAGAGACTCAAAAATGTAGGAATAAGAGGGCAGGAAATATATGACGTTGTCCTTAAACATCACCTGGAAATTTAAGCTATAAGAAATGAAGCTTCATGTATGTTTATAGATATTATTAGTCCACAAGTCTTAAAGTTGCCAAGTTTGAAGACCCCTGGTCTTAGCTGATGCATCATGATACTAAGTGGGTAAGACCATCTGACTCATGGTGACAAGGCTCATCTTTTTTGGCTTGCAGCTTGATTTTTTGCTTGGTTTTTATGGTTTCTTCCCTTTAGATCATAGTACACCATTCACCGCTCACGTGTCATAATATGTGAGAACCCAGTGGCACCCTAGTCATCAGCTGGACTCTTTGTAATATAACAGATGTTCCTTGTCCATTTTGTTCTTTATCTCCTTGCCTAGTTTAAGCCAAGAAACACAATATGTAGACGAGCATTAGACAAGCATTGCGACTTTCCTGAATACTGCAATGGGAGTTCGGCTAGTTGCCCGGCCAATGTTTACCTTCAAAACGGTGTCGGTTGTGCCTCTAATACCGGCTTCTGTTATGGTGGATCCTGTCAATCAGCTGACTTGCATTGCCAGCAGTTCTTTGGATCACGTATGTTGAAACAACTAACTTTGATTCTTTTCTGTCCCCTTAATGCAAGGAAGACTTTTCCTCACTGCGGCTTAACCCCATCAACCCCCACCGCCTTTTCCCCTGGGATCGCTTTTTGTCTGCTGCAGAAAAATGGCCCTTTTGTATCACCAGCTTTGAATCAGATTTCTTTATCCTAATTCTTGGCCAGGATCAACTGCCACTTCTCAACTTGTAGATTGTCCCAAATAATGGATCCCAGCATGCCTTAGGGAGAAAGAACGTCTCAAATGCCCATTTCCGTTTGTAGCCTGAAACAAAACGGATTGGAGACGTCTCACATTCTTCACAACCTTGTTTATATCTGAAAAGGGCAGAGAAATTATTTTTGTTGCAAACTATTTGGAGAGGCAGTGATGTGGGAAGTAGTGTAGAAATTGAGGACCACCTGCGTATGAAATGAATAAAGTCAGTAAATGGGGTATTGATACCGACTTCTGGTTGTAACGCAACTCCTCCTCGTCCCTCAAAAGAGAACTCTCTCATCCTCCTTTTCCTTTTAAAATAAATATGCATTTGGGGAAGTTGGCCACCATGTTTCCCTGCCCCCTGTCCTTTCCACAGTCTCTGCGGAAGCAACTCAGCAATGGCATCTGGCAGCGGATGCTTTTTTTGCAAAGTGGTTTGTAATCAAAGGCCATTTTCTCCTGCCTTCGTCTTTTGTTCTCTTTTTCCCTTCTCTCCCTGTCCTTCAAAAAAGGGGTTCACCAGAAAAACTATTTTTGTTCCAATGCTAACACACTCTCTCTGGCCGATATGTCCCCACCTAGGGGTAGGCAACCTTGGCTCTTTTATGACTCGTGGACTTCAACTCCCAGAATTCCTGAACCAGCATGGCTCAGCTTGAAAACCTCTCCCTTTCCCCTCAGCGTGGCTGGCTCAGGAATTCTGGGAGTTGAAGTCCACGAGTCATAAAAGAGCCTATCCCTGGTCTAGTGCAGTGTTTCTCAACCTTGGCCGCTTGAAGATGTGTGGACCAACTCCCAGAATTCCTGAGCCAGCATGGGGGAACTGTGGCCCTTTATGACTCATGGACTTCCAACACCCAGAATTCCTGAGCCAGCATGGCTCAGTTTGGAAACCTCTCCCTTTCCCCTCAGCATGGCTGGCTCAGGAATTCTGGGAGTTGAAGTCCATGAGTCATAAAAGAACCGAGGTTGCCTACCCCTGTATAACAGCTTATTTGATAGTGAATGCGAACCGACTGAAATAAAAACAAAGAAAACCAAATGGTCATATCCTGATATAAGTTATTTTTGCTCTTCTACCATATGTCTAGGGTCAAGAAACGCTCCGCAAGTGTGTTACGAAGCAGTGAACAGCCAGGCTGATAGATTTGGGCACTGCGGCTTTGATCTCAAAAGGAAATTTAAGACTTGCTCTTTTCGGTATGCGATTAGGCCATAAAGAATAAGTTGAAATGTTTTGTTTTGGGGAGAGGTGCTATTGGAGGGAATAAGATTTGATCCCTGGCCTGAGTTTTAGATAGATAACCTTTTATTGTCATTTTTTTTCCCCTGTGGTCATCATAGCACACATTAAAAATGTGCTGGATAAGTGAATGATTCTTTCTGAAGCTGCAGTTGTGTAGAAACAGAAGGGAGCAGTATTAACTGTACAGAATAAAGCTAGAGAGAATTGTTGAGTTGCCGTAGGTCAGACGATCCTCAGAGAAGAGTCCAAAACAGTCAAGAGAGCTAGAATTGTCACCTCCAACACCCACCTTTGCCACCAAGGCTATCAGGAAACCTTTTATATATCCATTTTCCTGGAAAGGTGGAAGGAAAAAATTAGGAATGAAAGTCTGGAATATAGACCTACATAAATAGGCCTTGGTTTCAACGGACTGCAGTATACAAATCTCTCTATGTGGGACTTCATTCTTCTCTGCAGTAACCAAACAAGGAAATACAGTTTTTGAGTCTTGTGCTAAGTAAGCCCGGGCCTGTATAAAGGATTAAATTGGGAGAGGCCAACTTAGTTCAAAGCCAGGCCTAAAATGAACAGAGGTATTTGCTATAAATGGTGGGGATGGGGGGAAAAAAGGACCAAACTTGCCTTGTGATGTGACAAGTCAAAGCCTGCCTTTTATACGTGTGCCTTGACTTTGGACACAAATGCGTAAATTGTGGGGTTTTCATTGTGTCACAATGCATGTCTTCTCATTTGCTCCCCTGTAGATGGTTGAGGATGTTTGGGCTAGGAAATCAAGAGCAGAACAGTGCTGGTCTGGTGGGTTGGAGAGATTTTAATGCACACTGTGTGATTTCTCTTCTCTTCTCTCCTCTCCTCTCCTCTCCTCTCCTCTCCTCTTCTCTTCTCTTCTCTTCTCTCCTCCCTTCCCTCTTCTCCCTTCCTCCCCTCTGCTCCCCTCCCTTTCCTTCACTCTACTCTACTCTACTCTACTCTACTCTACTCTACTCTACTCTACTCTGTACTCTCTTCATCTTCACCTCACCTCAATTTTTACAGGGATATCAGATGTGGAAAGTTAATTTGCACATATCCCTACGACGCTCCTTTTACTAAAATTAATGTTCCCGTCTTGTATATACCGGTGAAGAATGTTGTCTGTGTGTCATTGGACCTTAAAAATCGAGAAGGTACACCTGACCCCATGCTGGTGAAAGAGGGTACAAAATGTGGATTTGGTAAGGTAAGAAAAACAACCGGGAACGGTGATGCTCTATATAGGACATGCAGTCCTCGACTTACGACCTCAGCTGAGCCCAAAAGTTATGTTGCTAAGCGAGACATTTTTTAAACTGAATTTTGCCCCCATTTACGACCTTTCTTGCCATAGGTGTTAAGTGAGCCACTGCAGTTGTTAACTTAATAGCACGGTTGTTAAGTGAATCTGGTTTCCCTGTTGGCTTTGCTCAACAGAAGGTCGCAAAAGGGGATCACCTGACCCTGGGACACTGCGACTGTCATAAATATGAATCACCTGAATTTGACCCTGGGGATGCTGCAGTGGTCTTAAGTGTGAAAAGCTGTGCCGTTTTGACTTCAAATGGTCACTAAACAAACGGTTGTAAGTTGAGGACTGCCTGTATGGTGGGTCTCTACAGAGATCCAGTTTTAAAGTTCACGCTAAGGCACGGATGTTGTCATGGTGAGTTTCGATCAAGTCGCCCTCTCTCAGCTGTACCTCACAGTGTGGTAACGGTGGAGAAAAATGAGGGCCGGGAAGGTTTTATACAACGCGTTGAGCTCCTGGAAGACAAGCAGCGTGTCAGTCTAACAAGCCAATAAATGAAGCCTTTTGAAAAAAAGCATTTCTTGCTTTAAAACCTGGAAAAAATATATTGTTCCTTGTAGATTTGCCTCAGACAAAAATGCGAAAGCTATGACATTCTGAGTTATGACTGTGATTCTGCAAAAAAATGCTCAGGACATGGGGTAAGTAAAAAAAAATTGATTTCCGATGAAAGTTAAAAAAAAAAAAAAAAGGAATTTCTTTCTTGGGCCAAAACAGGAGAGAAGGCATCTTGATTGTGATAAAGTCAGTTTGGAATTAGAGACCAAGTTGGTCTAGTGCAGGGGTAGGCCACCTTGGCTCTTTTATGACTCATGGACTTCAACTCCCAGAATTCCTGAGCCAGCCATGCTGAGGGGAAAAGGAGAGGTTTCCAAGCTGAACCATGCCGGCTCAGGAATTCTGGGAGTTGAAGTCCACAAGTCAAAAGAGCCAAGGTTGCCTACCCCTGGTCTAGTGCAGTGTTTCTCAACCTTGACTTCTTGAAGATGTGTGGACTTCAACTCCCAGAATTCTTTGCTGGCCAGGGAATTCTGGGAGTTGAAATCCACACATCTCCAAGCGGCCATGGTTGAGAAACACCGTTCTGGTTGTTAAGACATCCGGCTGGAAAATTGGAGACTGTGAGTTCAAGTCCTGCCTTAGTCATGAAAGTTGGCCAAGTGATTTGGAACCAGTCCCTTTTTCTCGGCCTAACCCACCTCACAGGGTTGTTGTGAACAAAATAAGATGAGAAAGTGTGTGTTAGCCATCTTGAGCTATTTGTAATATGATAAAGGCAGGGTGCAAATAAATAAATAAAAAGGGAATTGCAATGCTGATTAAAAAAGGATAGTGCTTTGATTGTCCAGTTGCAGTTATGACCTTGGTTTTTTGACCCTGCCACCTCTATGAACACCTGCAGGTGGGGCACCCAGTGCTTTAAATGGATGCGCTACGCCCACGTTCCCCAGGCAGTTGTCCTCAAGATGTAGACATAGCTCAGTATGCAAGGTGGCTTTTTTGCAGGACAAAGTCCTTATCTGGGCTACGGCACAGTCTCCAAGTAATGGATTTGATTAAAATCAAAATTCTATCTGTGAATAGAGAGAATGATATTATACTCAAATAATGTTTGTTTATTTGTTTATTAAATTTATAGGCCACCCATCTTGTGGTTTGAGGTGGCTTACAATGTAATCCTTGCTCTGCCATCATTAGTCTTGCTCTTTGGTTAATCAACTGGCTATTTTTTTATCTACTTGTATGTTTGTATTACTTTTATACTTTTGATATGGTCAAATCGCTAATTCTATAAACCTCTCCCCCTCCCCTTCTCTCCCTTTCCCTTTCCTCCTCTTCTCTCCTCTCTTCTCTTCTCCTCTCCTCCTCCTATCTCTTCTCTTCTCTTCTCCTCTCCTCTCCTGCTCTGCCTTCCTCTCCTTCTCTCCTCTTTTCCTTCCCTTCTCCCTTTCCTCTTTCTATCCCCTTTCCCCTCCTCTCTCTGCTTCTAGCCCCTTTCCGTTCCCCCCTCCTTTCCCTTCCATACATTCTGTTCTGTTCTGATCTGTTCTGTTCCCATTCCAATTCCATTGATCACTTTTCCACTTGTCAAAAGCATCCTCCTGTTTGGAACTGAAAGACCCGACTGCAAGATTGAAATCCATTCAGATTTTCTCTTACTGGGTTTTTCAGGTATGTAACAACAAAAGAAATTGCCACTGCGACCCAGGCTGGGCTCCTCCAGACTGCAGAATAAAAGGAAGTCCTATGGGAGGAAGTATTGACAGCGGGCTTCGCTATCTGGATTTAGGTCAGTCAGTTGTATCTTACCCGGACATTCTCCAGTCAAACCAATCAGTTCAGCCATTTGATTGATCTGAGACCTACTTTCTCTCACATTCCCATGTTCCAGTCTTTCTGTAGGCATTCCCCCCCCCACTAGCCATGATGAGAGGACATGGATGACAAACACCTGATGATGTCATAATGCAAAACCTATCCCCTTGTACTTGAATCATGGCATTGGACACCTTACCTAAGTTATGGGTTTGTAGTCTGACCTCAGAATGCCCCTTTCTCCACTTGCCCGACAGACACCTATAATGATTTCTCCAGACACTCTGCTTACCTCTGTCTGTTGTTGTTAGTTGCGAAGTCGTGTCCGACCCATCGCGACCCCATGGACAACGTTCCTCCAGGCCTTCCTGTCCTCTACCATCTTCTGGAGTCCATTTAAGCTCATGCCTATTGCTTCAGTGACTCCATCCAGCCACATTGTTCTCTGTCGTCCCCTTCTTCTATTGCCCTCAATCTTCCCCAGGCTCTTCTCTAGTGAGCCCTTCTTTCTCATTAGGTGGCCAAAGTGCTTGAGTTTCAACTTCAGGATCTGGCCTTCTAAGGAGTAGTCAGGGTTGATCTCCTCTAGGACTGACCAGTTGGATCCTCTTGCAGTCCAAGGGACTCTATCTGTATTTGGTTACATTTCCTTGCATTGGCATGGTTGTCCAGCCTTCATAACTGGAGAACCCATCCAGGTTTACAGACTTATGTGAACTCTGTTTCTGCCTAGATGTCGCAAAAAAGGCCAGGGAAGACAGTATGCGGACATGGATTTTGCTAAGCATTTTCCTTTTTCTGCCCATTATTATCGGAAGCAGCCTTTTGGCTGTCAAATGGAAACGTATCAAAAAATCTTGCTTCGAAGACGATGAACTGGACGATGATTCTGAGTAAGTGTGCTTTGAACGGGGTGGCCTCGCAGCCTTCTCATTGCAGAGAAGGAAGGTTTGCAACCAAGGAACGTACCGGTGGCAGAGGCATCTGCTAGGAGGGTCAAAAGAGTCAAGATGGCAGCCGCAATGCACATAAAAAGGGTGGCCTTGCTTGGTGCAGTTTTTCCCAATATCATGCAATTTATATATTACTTTTACAAGTATTTCTTTTCTTCTAAATCTACATTGCGATGTTAACAAAATTACACATCGCATTTTAGGTTGTATAATAGGTTCAAAATGCAAAAGTAGCTTCAGGTGCATTGAAATCATGTCCTGCTTTTTCTTTAGCTGAATGGAACTTCGTAGCAAATCTGGCATACGTGTGTTTTTAATTATCAGATTTTGGGGGGGGGGCAATATTTCTACCGATTTGGGCTAAAACCCAAAGACTGATGAAGTAGAATAACCAGAAATGGCATGTGAGCAGCCAGACTGATGTTTAGAATTACAGAATAATGTTTCTGAAGATATATTCAGCCCATGAATGGATTTTTAGACCCAGAACTGAACTTACAGTTTTTTTTCATCCACAGACGTCCTTCTGCTCCCTTCCCTGCATTCTTTGTGGTCCAATCTAATGTAGAGCTTTTAATATTTACTACCAGATTGGTGTAGTGCAGGGGTAGGCAACCTTGGCTCTTTTACGACTCGTGGACTTCAACTCCCAGAATTCCTGAGCCAGCCACGCTGAGGGGAAAGGGAGAGGTTTCCAAGCTGAGCCAAGCTGGCTCAGAAATTCTGGGAGTTGAAGTCCACGAGTCATGAAGGGGCCAAAGTTTCCCTCATGCTGGCTCAGGAATTCTGGGAGTTGAAGTCCATAAGTCATAAAAGAGCCCAGGTTGTCCACCCCTGAACTATACCAACGGTGTAAAACTCTCTTAAATCATCTTAACTACTGTTGCTTTCTAGGTCTTATTCTAGATCAGAAGAGAGTAGCACATCGGAAAAAACAAGGTAAGCCTCTAGAAAGCTGATCTGGGCAACAACCTGCAATCTAGAAACACCTTTTGCCTTTGGAAAAGGTGAGTTTCTTTCGTAAGAGCAGCAGCTGCTCAAGGCAAAGCCTTGTTCTGTTCCATTTTAATTCTAAATAGACAGAAATGAAGGACTGCCAAATCCAGATGCTTGGATGGCAAATATTCCTGGACCTTCTCCGTCCCCTCTGATAGAATTGGTATCTAAGGGGGGGGGGGCTTTTATTTATCAGCCTCAGAAAGGGATGTGTGTTTTCTTCCCTTCTCCTTATTTTCAAAGCAACAAAGCAAACAGTTGTTGGATGGGTAATTCTCGTAATGTTCTTTAACTAAGACTTATCTCTTCCTTTAAATTTCAGCTAAACCAGACCTGATGTGAACGGAGGAAAATTACACCGCTGCTTTCCATGGAAGAAAAGAGAAAGCAAGATCACTGCACATTGATGTACACATGCCATCTAATAAATCACTGTTTAAAGCACGAATGGATTGACTTTCTAGGTTCCACTTTAGTTTGGATGTGGGTCACACACACCTCAATTATTTTGGGGCTCAACTTTTTAATCAACTCTTAACAGGGTACAGTGCCGAGAGTCTGCAAGCCTATTGCATGTGGGGTTTTTTGCAGTTAGAGTTGTCCTTTTGCTATCTCCAAGTAAGTATCCTGTGTGCCTCACAAGCCTCTTTTTGCATCAGTAAAGGACCTGAAAATACAAGTAGCCCTTGACTTACAGCACTTCATTTAGTGACTGTTCAAAAGTACAACGGCACTGGAAAAAGTGGCTTATGCCTCTTTTCAACACTTGTAACAGTTGAAGCATCCCCATGGTCACGTGATCAAGGGGCCTGAATTTCTGCGCAATAATTCAAAAGGAGGCAAAATGGGCTTCCAAAAACATTTTCAGCCTAGCAAGTAAAAATACCCCCATTTTGTTTCTCTTCTCATCTTGCTCTTCTGACAATGGAGATACTGCAGATGAACGAATTGGATCCTCACGGCTCTAAGGCTTAGTCATGCGAGATCTGGGGCCCGTGCAGGAGTGCTGCCAAGTTTAAAAAGAGAATTTCTGTTTGCAAGAAAAAAAGGACAACTCAGACCTTTGGCATTGTGCAATGCAACAGAAGCCCCCAGTGGCTCCGGAAGACGGAGCTTCTTGCCTTTAAGCAGCTTGAGCAGGACTCCAAAGCTCCTAGTTTCACCAGGTCTGGAGCAATAGCACTTCCCTCAGGGCTCGGGAATGATGGGGTATGTAGTCTCACACGTTCACAGAGGGCCAGTGGCATCTGGGTGCTGGGATCCCACCATTGGTTTTCTGTCTCCCCAAGGTGCTCGTTCCACATTGAAAGCCACTCCGGCGCACATGGAGCGATCCTCCTGGGCAGAGCGAAAAAGTCTCCATCATCATCACCATCATCTCTGGATCCTGAGCGCGCCTTTCCTTACTGGATGCTTCTTCCCACGCGGAGCAGCAAGGACGCGCCGGCCGTCGAATGCCCAGGCGCAGACAGAAGCGTCCGGCGGCTACCGCGGGGTTCGGGCGCGTGGAAGCGCCGCGCCGCCGGGGCGTTCTCATTCCTCCGCGCCCGTTAGCGGTCGCCTGTGGCCGCCGGTGCCGCCTGCCCTGGGCGCCCGCGATGGCCCTGCTGGCGCTGCCCTTGGCCCTGGTCGCCCTCTCCTTCGTGGCCCCGCAGGGTGAGTCCGCTGCGGCCCCCGGGATGGCGCCTTTGGCGCCGCGGAAGAGCCCCGGTGCGCCCTGAGCGGCGGAGCTCGGCCTCCCCAGGGGCAGGGCTCGGCTGGCTGATGGCTCCTTTGGGACCCTAGGAACAACCAGGGCTTATTGTGGTGGGGGTGGGGGTGGGGGGGTCATCATCTTCTTCGCAGGGGTAGGCAACCTTGGCTCTTTTGTGACTTGTGGACTTCAACTCCCAGAATGTTGGGCTCAGTTGTGGTGGTAAATCAAGGATTGCCTGTATAAAGTATTACCTTTATAAATCATTTTATATCCCTGTCAACCTTATTAGCTAGACCAGATGGGAACCGTAACCAGATTTGCTAGTTCTAATTTATAACAATAACAATAAGTTAAATAAGTTAAAAGTTGCAAATCTGAACGTGCAATTTCCCTCTTCTCTTTTTCATTCTAGTCCCTTCTGAGCCTCTTCCCGTCCTATTATCCAGCTGAGGGCTGTTCTGTCCCTTCACTGATTGTTGCTTCGACAACATCTCCTCCCCCATCCTTCCAATGTTTCCCCCACATATTATTACACTCCCCTTCCCGAAGACAAATATTATATAGCATATATGACGTTAGGTTCACAAGGTAGATATGCAAATACAATGGAAAAAGCAGGCACATGAGCTATGTGCATTCTTATGGAAAGATAACCAAAAGAAAAATAGAATATAGAATGACAAGAGTTGGAAGGGACCTTGGAGATCTTCTAGTCCAACCCCCTGCTCAGGAAGGAAACCCTATGCGACTCAGGAATTCTGGGAGTTGAAGTGTACAAGTCATAAAAGAGCCAAGGTTGCCTACCCCTGCCCTGTACCATTTCAGGCAAATAGAATTGTCCAACGAATGAAAGCAAACGTCCAACTTCACCTTCAGAGTTTAAAAGCCTGAGTTAATTGGAAAAAGGTTTGCTTGATTAGCAGTGGAAATTTTGGGCTCAGTTGTAGCCGTAAGTCAAGAACTACCTGTACATGATTATAAGAGTCTTTCTCCTGCCTAGGGTCTCAGCGGTCATTTCTGCAGGTGATTGTTCCTCAGAGGAACCCAGCTCACGCCACTGGAAATAAGGTATTTCTTGGTTTTTGCCTAGTCTGTTGTCAGTGTTGCTAAACTCACCTTTTAACCTAATCAGGAGTATCCAACCTTGCAAGACTTGGAAATAGTGGACTGAGGAATACTGGGAGTCGCAGTCCACAAGTCTTCAAATTGCTGAGGCTGGACATCCCAGATCTAGGCCATCCTCCACAATTGCCTTCATGAAAAGTTTACTTGACTAATGTAATTGGCTTTTTGTGGGCCTCTTTTTGAAGATGACTTGAAGCTATTGTGTGTTCAGAGCACAGTACTCAATAACAGTAATGACAATACATATTGATTAGTTCTCCGACCATATGAAAAGGATACAAAAATAATACAGTGTGAACAGTAGGATGTACAGTATTCACAATACATCGTTACCTCTGCAAACAACCCCAGTCTGTGTAAGTCAGTGTTTCTCAACCTTGACAATTTTAAGGCATGTGGACTTCAACTCCCAGAATTCCATAGCCAGCATTGCTGGCTGTGGAATTCTGGGAGTTGAAGTCCACATGCCTTAAAATTGTCAAGGTTGAGAAACACTGGTGTAAGTAGTCTATCCTCTTCAAAATGGTCTTTGATACGAGAAGGGCAGTCTTGTTAGTGATGGGCAGGTTTGTTCTCTGCAAGAAATAAGATTCTCTTTGATAAAGTGAAGAAGCAGCTCTATTCTTGATAAAACCTTTTGCATCACAGCAAAAGCCTGTGATGGGATGGTCTGCATTCAGCTGAAAATCATTTCCAGCCAGCGGTAAAATTTACTTTCAGCTGTACATTCTTTATAGACCTGAATGGTTCGTGCTGCTTGGATTTTTGCAATATGAATAAAACAACAGCAATAACATAACAAACCCTTTGGCTGTTTCAGGAGAGGATGGCATTTGATATGAACATAGAAGGGGAATCCTTTTCAATTTATCTGAAGCAACAGTGAGTAAAGGAAATAATTGGGAATTACTGCCTGCTTTGTAGCTAATTTGTATGTTTGCATGAATGCATGAAGTAAATTTTCCCGGCCCTGGTTGAAAAAAACATCTCATTTTAAAAGATAATTACAGAGGAAGAGGATAAAATATTAATACAGCTTGGCTTATGTATCTTGAAATAGCTGATAAGGGGTAGTTCAAAACAAGATGGAGTGACTCTCTCCCTTTTAGTTTATGCTGAAACATAAACTTCTTCTTCTTCTTCTTCTTCTTCTTCTTCTTCTTCTTCTTCTTCTTCTTCTTCTTCTTCTTCTTCTTCTTCTTCTTCTTCTTCTTCTTCTTCTTCTTCTTCTTCTTCTTCTTCTTCTTCTTCTTCTTCTTCTTCTTCTTCTTCTTCTTCGTCTTCTTCTTCTTCTTCTTCTTCTTCTTCTTCTTCTTCTTCTTCTTCTTCTTCTTCTTCTTCTTCTTCTTCTTCTTCTTCTTCTTCTTCTTCTTCTTCTTCTTCTCTGATGTTGGTACCTAGCTGGGTCATGAAATGTCTGCAAGAAAACATTCAAGCCCAGAGAGCACCAAGGACCCCTCATAATTTTCTTTGTTTCTCCTTTTCAGTCCGGTCTTATAAATTTGATGTATTTGTTTTCTGTCGATTGAGGTATATCATGTAATGTGTCCTTTCTCTCTCCTCTCCCTCCCTCCTTTCTCCTGGATCTGGTGTTTGTCTGTTTTTTTGTAGAGCCTTTATATCTAATTATTTTAGAGTTTATACGTACAACAAAGATGATACCCCAGTGTCATTTGTCCCTCCCAATCAGGTAAGATTCCTTTGAGACGGGAAGTAAGTATTTTTATCTGACTGTTGTTTGATTCCGCTAATCCAGTGATTCAGAAAAATAGTCCCTCCATGATTTGAGTTTTAATTAATTGGCTGATCGCTACCAGGTATGTCGCTACCAGGTCTATTTTTTATGGCGACAATATTTTTAAAAAAGGAAAGAACTTTTAGGATACAACACAGAACAAAAAGTAAGAAAAAAACTCTCCAACAGACAACAAAATAATACACCAAGGTAAATATGTGCCGTACAGAAAGTCCTCAACTTTCAACAGTTCATTCTGTGACTGTTCAAAGTTACAACACCACTGAAAAAAGTGACTTATGACCGTTTTTCACACTTATGACTGTTGCAGCCTCCCCACGGTCACATGACCAAAATTCAAACACTTGGCCTTTGATTCATATGTATGACGGTCACAGTGTCCCAGGGTGTCACGAGGTCCCCTTTTGCGACCTTCTCACGAGCAAAGTCAATGGAGAAGCCAGATTCACTTAACAACCATGTTACTAACTTAACAATTGCAAGGATTCACTTAACAACGGAGGCAAAAAAGGTCGTATAATGGGGCAAAATTCACTTAACAATTGTCTTGCTTAGCAACAGAAACTTTGGGCTCGTCGCAAGCTCAAAAGGCCACCCAATGAACAATTGAAAGTTTTTGATGTGGCAAATAATTTTGTGGTAAAATGAGGCCTCAGAAGTCACTGAGGTGCCGCAAAAATGTCCATCTTCATTAGATGTGTTGGAGATATCCTGTCTTTTTTTTCCTTGCCTTCCTCTGGTGCTTAGACGCCCCTCGTGAAACATAAATCCTCTCGTTCATTCTTTTTAGCGGGATTGCTATTATCAAGGCTACGTAGATGGTTACACAGATTCGATTGTGATGATCAGTTCCTGCTCTGGGCTCAGGTGAGGTCAGGTAATTCCTCTTGAGCAAAGCATTCATGTTCCTCAGCCCAACTGCATTTTGTCCCTTCCAGAATAACAGAGTTATTGGCAATCCTTAAAATGGATATAATTTGCTTTTCAGACAGGGGAATAGCTATACTTATTTCATTGTTCCAGCTTCAGGTTATTGATTATTTACCTTGGGGACCTCATGAGGAGCATCTACTTTATTTTTTTTAATGTTTCTATGAAGTACTCAGATGCTGGGGCCCACTACTATGGCTGTTGAGGGAGGCTATTATAGAACAGAACAGAACAGAAATGTTTATTGGCCAAGTGTGAACAGATACACAAGGAATTTGTCTCTGATGCCGAAGCTCTCAGTGTAACAGATCATAAATCATAAGAAGAGAATTCAATTAGATCAGGGGTCCTCAAACATGGCCAATTTAAGACTTGTGGACTTCAACTCCCAGAATTCCCCAGCCAGCCATGGCTGGCTGGGGAATTCTGGGAGTTGAAGTCCACAAGTCTTAAAGTGGCCAAGTTTGAGGACCCCTGTGCTAAAGACTCGCCTTTTCAAATGTATTTCCCCTTCTTAAAAAACAATAAGCTCAGTAATGGTACTTTATTTCTTTAATTAATTTATTTAAATTTATTTATGCTTTTTCTGCCCGCCAGTGGGCTGATACAGATTCAGAACATCAGCTATGGAATTGAGCCCATCGAGTCGGCCTCTGGGTTTCACCATCTCGTTTTTCGGATAGATTACAATGATACAGACCTTCAGTTTTCGAAGCAGAATTATTCCATTAAATGGAGTACCACAATAACTTCAAAGAAAGATCCAGCAGAACCAGTGAGCACCCCTGCCTTTGTTGCTTTTTAAATCATAATTAGTTGTTCAGTTGGGTCATGGGCAAGACCAGAGGTAGGCAACCTTGGCTCTTTTATGACTCGTGGACTTCAACTCCCAGAATTCCCCCTCAGCCAGCCACGCTGAGGGGAAAGGGAGAGGTTTCCAAGCTGAGCCTTGCTGGCTCAGGAATTCTGGGAGTTGAAGTCCACCAGTCATAAAGCGGCCTAGGCCTAGGCCAGAGGTAGGCAACCTTGGCTCTTTTATGACTTGTGGACTTCAACTCCCAGAATTCCCCCTCAGCCAGCCACGCTGAGGGGAAAGGGAGAGGTTTCCAAGCTGAGCCATGCTGGCTCAGGAATTCTGGGAGTTGAAGTTCCCGAGTCATAAAAGAGCCAAGGTTGCCCACCCCTGGGCAAGACCAAGATGTCTTGCATAACCCAGTTTGTATAATGGAATAGAGTGGGTTAATTCTCTAGGCAGACCTTAATTATCCCTGTCTTCCGAAAGACAGTGGGTCCAACTTGGTGAAATCCTGAGTGTGTAAAAGAGCTAGTCATGAAATCCGCCACTAATAACAAAACTTAATCTTTGTTTCTTCCTTGAATAAAAAACAGATTAACTTTGCCATCCTCAGATATGTGGAAATGCACGTGGTTGTGGCCAAATCTCTGGTAAGTGTATTTTGTTGGCTCTGCCCACTAGGGATCATTGTCTAAAATGCTTCCAAGCCTAGAACGGAAGAAGGATAAAGATAGAGTCTATAATTCCACTTCATCTTCTTGATAAACACTTGTTACAATTCATTTAAAAAACTGGAAAATTCATCTTCCTGATTAGTCCACAACTTAATAAAAGTTTTCTATCCTTTTTTCCATTAATTCTTCTAAGCATATTTATCTTTAAGAAATATTCCTTTGAAACACATCTGTCTCAATGCACATTTCTGGGGAGAAACAACAGTCCTTAATAGTTATTCCCAGTCCATCCTGGGAAATATTCTGGTGGATTCACTTGATTTTATACTCAGTGAAACCCACAATAGATTTCTTTCTGTCCATGCCTCAGTCCATAATTTAAGGATCTCTTCAATAATATTCTTCAGTCAGTCATTCCAGCTACTGCTGGCCGGAATAAAAAATGTTTTGTTTTTGATTGTACCTTACTTAGAAGAGGTGTTTCAGCGTGGTATGTGTGTTTGCAGACTTATTGTTTCAGATGCACACTTTGCAAAGTCAAACCTAATCTGTCTTCAGCAGGCTTTTTAAACCAGTGTAAAGCTGATACTACTGATTAATGAAGAAGTGGTTTGTTTTTTTTTGGCAGTATGATTATATGGGTTCCAACGAAGATGTTGTCACGGGGAAGATCATGCAGCTTATGAACTTTATCAACACTGTAAGTTGTGCCTATTTATGTGCTTGTAATGACTGATTTTGGCCCCAAAATTCTGTTCTTCTCTTAAATAATAACTTTGGCCATCTAATTGCATCCTGACTTCAGTCAGCATCAGAAAAACAGGGAGGAGGGACTCTTAGACCCTCTTCCCCTTCTTCCTTCCTTCCTTCCTTCCTTCCTTCCTTCCTTCCTTCCTTCCTTCCTTCCTTCCTTCCTTCCTTCCTTCCTTCCTCCCTTCCTTCCTCCCTCCCTCCCTCCCTCCCCCCATTTTATTATTTTTATAAATAACTCAAGGTGCCAAACACACACAATTCTTCTTCCTCCTTTTTTCCCCACAACAACAACAACAAAAAAACCTGTTAGGTAGATTGGGCTGAGAATGGCTGGTGCAGCCATCCAGCTAGTTTTCATCCCTAAGGCTGGACTACAACTCACCATCTCCTGATGATTGGCCCAGAGTCGTCCAGCCGGCTTTCATGTCTAAGGCGGGATGAGAACTTAGTGTCTCCTGGTGATCACCCAAAGTCATCCAGCTAGCTTTCATGCCTAAGGCAAGACTAGAACTCACAGTCTCCCGGTGATCGGCCCAAAGTCACCCAATTGGCTTTCATGCATAAGGTGGGACTCAGTCTTCTGGCTTCTAACCACGTCTAGTCCAAACTGGCTATCCAGTTTGTCTGACTTTGGTATATGTTTTGAATCTGGGCATGTGCCTCTCCTTGACTGATTCTTGCTCCTATTTTCAGATGTTTTACAAACTGAACATGAAGATTATCTTGTCCTCATTAGAATTATGGATAAACAAAGATAAAATCTCCATCGTTGGAACCGCTGATCAGCTGCTGGAGCAGTTTCTGAACTGGAAAAATGAACACCTCACTCTGCGACCTCACGATGCAGCTTTCTTATTTGTGTAAGAAAACAGTTCTCCCTGATCGTGAAAGAATGGTATGGTATTGGGCATGGTCCTACTACAGATAACCCAGAAGATGATCCTGACCAAGCAAATGAAAGCAGTTGGGGGGAATTCTGCTCGTGAGGTGGAGCAGTGGATTGCAAGAAAGGAGAGTGGGCTGGTGGGTCAGGAACATTGGTGAGCATTAAGCGAAGGAAGCAAATACAGGCAGTCCTCAACTTACAACCACAGTTGGGACCAGAATTTGATGTAGGAGATGACTAGGCTGAGCCCAAGGGAGGGGTCAAATGTGTCATCAGTCACAAGTTGCTTTACTTCCACAAGGGATCTAAATCCAGCTTGCCTTGAATTCTGTTGACTCTTATCTAGTGCCAATTTGCCTTGACTCTTAGTAGTTCAGATTCTTATAGAGTAGCGTTCTCCAACCTTTCTGGTTTCCACAGACTGGCAGCGACTCAGGAGGGGATGGTTGCATGTGCACAACCTACTCCCACACATGTGCAAATGAAGCTTTGCACGCGTGCCTACCACTTGTGTGGCCTGATTCTCAGTGGGCTGTGGACTGGAGTGTTGGGGACCCCTGTTGTAGAGAACATAAGCTTGCAATAAACCTGCAATAAACCTTTCTATTCATTTGAACTGCCTGAACTAGCTGATTTTCTCATGCTTGAATTTCCATTGCTAAGCAAGCCGCTTGTTGTGTGTGTTGCACCCAGTTTTGTGGGGTTTTTTTTGTCACAGCTGTTAAATGAATCATTGCTGTTGTTTAGCGAATCCTGCAGTTGTTGGGCAAACCCAGCTTCCCCCATTGACTTTGCTCATCGCAAGCTGGTTCTCACAACGCACCCATTGTGAATACAGTATAGTTCAAAGCAATTTTTATTCTTCCTTCAGTTACAGGAACAAGGCTGATTCGGTGGGGTCAACATTTGCCAAAAAGATGTGCTCTAAACCCAGTTCTGGTGGAATTGCTATGGTAAGCTAGAAAAAAATGCCCCATGCTGATACGCCTCGTTATTATTATTATTATTATTATTCATCACTTCTTGATTCTGTTTGCATGCCCACTGTCAGATCTGCCACAGCTTACACTCCAAAATAGAAGCGATCCTTGGCTCCATTTTTTTTTGAGAAAGGTATGGTTTATTTAGAAGTCAAGTGTATTGCAGTAATGCTAAGCCAGAACTGAGAACCGCACACCAAAATCCCTAAATTCAATTCCACCCCCTCCCCAGCTACCTCCCATCACCTTCTGTTGGGCAACCAGTGAGATTCAAGATATTTTCATAATTCCAGTCCAGCCACAGTTTGGTATGTAGCTGGTATGTCGGGTGACCTTGAAGCAGCATCTCAAGGAGATACAGCACTTACTTTCATTTCCCCCCCCCCAAGCCTTTTGTTTTCTCCCAAGCCTCTCCTGTTACATTTCCCTCCTCCCCATAGTTCATGGCAGTCTGTCACCTAATAGTAGCAAAGCACAAGCAAGCATAAGGTGACAGCTGACCCCCCACTTCATCAGATCCGTTCATAAATTTGCAGCTGCATTCACACAATATCCTAAACTTGATGGATGTTAGCCTTGGTACTTCGGTGGCTGAGTGCATGGTGTAAACCAAGCCTGTTTGATTGCTTTGTAGTTAAGGAGGCTGTCTATGCCCAGAAAATGACTAAATTAAGTCCCTAATTTAACCTTTTGTGCAACATAGCCCTGAAATTGTGTGGTTTTTTTTTTACAGTATAGGATAAATTGAGGGTGGGGTGCAATGTTAATTGAGAGGTGGGGTAGAGCATTAACACAAATAAATACTTTGTTATATAAATGTCGGCATCTTAGCATAATGAAAGGAAGGTGGAAGGAGCAAAATTATTTTTCTCTCTTCTGACCACCCATTTGTTTTTTAAAAAATACCTGTGAATATTGAACTCACCAGAGTTTGGTGGAAGAAGGAGTGCAATGCAACACCTCTCTGTGGTTCATTAAAGCAGCTGCCTCTTTATTGAGACTCACCCGACTGCAGAAAGAGTTGCTTTAAGGAGTTGCAGATAAAGGTTGCATTCATGGAGATAAAGAACAACGCTGAAGCACTTAGAACTGTCTGAAAAGACAGTGGTCAAAACAGGACCAAGGTCTCTCTCCTGCGCAGATACATTTCTGATAAAATCTTTGCAGGTTACAAAATCCAAGATATTTCCAAGATCTTTAAGATTCATCAGAACCAGAATGTGGACCCTTCATAGTTAGCAGTTACTACTTTTGATGGATTTCTGCTTTCTCTTAGTTTCAAAATGGGATGACCCTGGAAGCCTTCTCAGTTATAGTGGCGCAGTTGCTGGGCTTTAGTGTCGGACTGTATTTTGATGACACCAGAGCATGTCACTGTTCAGGGACTGTCTGCTTGATGAACACCAGAGCAGCGTAAGCCTTAAATCATTTATTGCTTTACCATTAACCTGGGGTCAAGGTTCAAGTGTGAGGTTTTGGCCGATTTCATCATACGGAAGCCGCGCCCACCCCATTGCTGGCAATGGGGAAAAAGTCGCGATATGTCGCAACGCGTCACGTGACATTGCGAGCTTAACACCCCTGATGTATAAGGGGAGCAGCGCTTTCCACACAAAACCACTTCCATTATCTTGCTCGTGAGAACAATTCATCGGTGGAATAGCTTGCCTCTGGGATTGTAGGTGCTCCATAGCTGGAAGTTTTCAAAAGGAGGCTGGGCAACCATTTGACTGGGATGGTGTGAGCGTCCAGTCTTGAGCAGGGGGTTGGACTAGAAGACCTCCGAGCTGTGTTTTTTCCCTTCCAGACAGTCCAGTGGCATTAAATCCTTCAGCAGCTGCAGCGTCAAAGATTTTCAGAATTTCCTCCACTCTGCATTGTCGCAGTGTCTGCAGAACAAGCCACAGTTTGATATCTCCTACCGAGCCCCCCTCTGCGGCAACCACGTGCTCGAAGATGGGGAGCAGTGCGATTGTGGCACAGTGAAGGTTTGGAAGAAGAAAGAAAAAAAAGGGGGGGGGGAAATCAGAGGAAAGAAAGAAAGATCTCTTTAAAATAACTAAAGATAACGAGGATGATAAATAATTCAGTCCTGTTCTGGTAGTTCTCAACTTACAACCGTCGCACCGACAGAAGTGACTTACAGGCCTTTTTCACACTTACGACCGTTGCAGCATCCCCATGGTCACATGATCCAAATTCGGATGCTTGGCAACTGACTCACATTTATGATGGTTGCAGCGTTCTGGGCTCACGTGATCCCCTTTTGGCGACTTCTGACAAGCCAAATCAGTGCCAGATTCACTTAACGGCCGTTTTACTAACTTAACAGCTGAAGCGATTGACTTAACAACTGTGGCAAGAAAGATCATAAAAGAGGGGCAAAACCCGCTTAACAAATATCTTATTTAACAATAAAAGTTTTGGGGCTCCGTTGTGGTCATAAGTTGAGGACTACCTGTAACCAAGGCAGACATTTGAGTTATTTTACACAAGATGTGATATTGTTGTTGTTGTTGTTTTTTAAAAAAACGTGTTTATCCCAGGATTATAGAATGTAAGATCTGGAAGTGCTTCTGAAGACAATTTAGTCTTTCCATCCAATTTTTTTCTGGCCTGTTCCATTCATGCCAGGTTATATACAGTTAATACATACACGTCTGTCTGTCTGTCTGACTGACTGACTGACTGTCTGTTTGTCCCTATGTCATCTATCTCCAAAACGGCTAACTCGGCCCTTGTGTGTGAGTGTCCATGCACATCTGAGCATGTGCCTACAGAAATCCAAGGGTGCCATCTAGCGGTGTCAGGATCCTGATTTGTTGGCTTCCAGTTCAATGGATTCGTTATGATGAAAATTTACTTTCGTTTAGACTATGTGACAATTTCTTGTGCACCTCTAGAAAAAAGCCTGTTACTGATTCCTGGCTGGCTCAGGAATTCTGGGAGTTGAAGTCCACCAGTCATAAAAGAGCCAAGGTGGCTTACCCCTGGCCTAGGGCAAAGGGTTGAATTAAAAAACCTCCCAGGTCCCTTCCAGCATATATGATTCTATGCTCTATGATGCTCAGCTCTCCCGTATGTTCCTTTTGTTTGCAGGAATGTGAAAACCATCCTTGCTGTGAATCGGATTGCACTTTGAAAGCAGGAATGCAGTGTGCCCAAGGAGACTGTTGTTTGCTGGGAAGCTGCAGGGTAAGTGCCAGCCAAGTTGGAACGGAATGAAAAGCATCCTTCTTTTTCACCGGCATCCCACGGCCTCCGCTGCACAAGCACGGCTGCCATCTTGACTTTTTTTGACCCCTCTACTGTATATAGAATAACAGAGTTGGAATGGATTAATTGTTCAGGAAATTTCTCCTTAGTTCTAGACTGGATCTCTCCTTGATATGTTTCCATCTGTTACTTCTTGTCCTGTCTTCAGATGCTGTTTGGAGAATTGGTTGAATCTTCTCCTCTTTGTGGCAATTCCTCAAATACTCTGGAAGGCAGCAACCATCACACACACACACACACACACCAGTCCTTCTCTTCATTAGATTAGACATACCCAGTTCACATACCCAATTTGTGGCAGAGCAAAACTTCTCTTTTCTGTCCACCTTTCCTATTTCACACAGTTTTATATTGTGGAAGTGTCTAGACCAGCCACAATGACCTCACGGATATCAGGAAGTTGTTGAATAAATTATGTTTATTGCATCATGTAACTAGGGTGAAATACATAACCGATGTCACTCTCATGATAATTCCCATGATATTACTTGTCCTCTTGCTCCTCTGTAAACTAGTGCTTATTTTTTTTCCCTTTTAAAACCCTTTTTATGATCTCAAATGTATTGTTTTTATAAACAACTCAAGGTGGTGAACATTTTATTTATTTATTATTTATTCAACAAATAAATACTTCTTGGTGACTTACAAGTTTAAACATAGCTAATACTCCTTCTTCCTCTTATTTTCCCCACCACAAAAACCCCATGAGAGACCAGCAATTTCTGGAGGCAAGCTGTTCCACCGGTTGATTGTCTTCACTGTCAGGAAGTTTCTCCTTAATTCCAGGTTGCTTCTCTCTTTGATCAGCTTCCAACCATTGTTTCTCATCTTGCCCTCTGGTGCCTTGGTGAATAATGTGACCCCCTCTTCTTTGTGGTGGCCCCTCAGATACTGGAATACTGCTATCATGTCACCCCTATTTCTTCTTTTCTTTAGACTAGCCAAACCCAAGTCCCGCAGCTGTTCTTCGTTTGTTTTAGTCTCCAGGCCTTGGATCATCTTAGTTGCTCTTCTCTGAATTTTTCCCAAACTCTCAACATCTTTTTTGTGATATGGTGACCAAAATTGGATGCAGTATTCCAGGTGTGGTTTTATAAAGCGGTAATTCCTGGTTGTAGTTAATGACAGGAAATTGGCTGCAGTCTTTGCTTTGTTCTTTCGGTCTTGCAGTTGAAGGCAAAAGGAACCTTATGCAGAGAACTGGAGGACTCGGAATGTGATCTCAAAGAGTTTTGCAATGGTACCTCTGCAGAATGCTCAGAAAACCATTACGTCGAGGATGGACACTGGTGTGAACACCAAACTGGAGTTTGCATGAAAGGAAGGTGCCAAAGTGCGGATCGATGGTGCCGAAAAATATTCGGAGCACGTAATAAATGTTTCTCTCCATTTAAACCTCTTTGCTTTCCATCTTTGTTCTTTTCCACTGGAAAATTAATGGATGGGACATTGATCAGAATTTATCCTGCGGAAGAAGAAATTTCCTCAAGCATTTACTTCTTAGAAAAAAATATTAGCAGCAACTCCATAGAGGGCACTCCTCCTCCATCAGCTGGAGCTAAAGCCTTGCTGAATTTAATCAGCTTTCAGTTGTTTATGGAAGGCCCACACGGCAGGGGCTGCCCCTACGTGGGGCGGAGTAGCAGAGCGCTACAAACATTGTGACATTGTGCTATCAAATCCACCCCCATTTATTTCTTGGGGGGGGGGGAAGTACTCTCAGCAGATCCCTGCCCTCAAAATAGCCCGAATGGGTTATTGAAGGAAAAAAATCTTCATCAGCATCCAGTCCAAACTGGGAATAAACTAGAATAAACAACATGGCGACTGCTTTAGAAAGAAGGTTTTGGCTTATTCCCGGCTGGGACTGGACCCTGATGAAGATTTTTCCTTCTTCTTCTTAGGCTTATTTTGAACTCTCTAGTAAGTCTTGGACCTGTACTGTGTTTTGCAGAATCCAAAAGTGGATCTCTTCAATGCTACGAGGAAATTAACAGTCAAAAGGACAGGATGGGTCACTGTGGTTCGACCGCAAAAGGATACCAGGACTGTCAGTGGCAGTACGTCGCAACGCAAGCACAACTCACTACAGGCCAAGGCGCTGCTCTGTGGCTGCTGTCGTTCCCTCAAAGTCTCCCCAGGGTTACGCTGTGGATAGTTGCACAGTAGTGAAATCAAGGCTGCTGTGTTGCCAAGGGTGGAGAATGTATTTGTTAGGAGTCAGAATTCGTTCAATACCAAAATAATGCTAATAATACTGGTAGCTTTCAACTCATGACTACAACATTTCTGTTGCTAAACGAGATGTTACGTGAGTTTTGCCACATTTTATGACCTTTCTCGCCACAGCTGTTAAGTGAACATGGCTTCCCCGTTGACTTTGCTAGTCAGAAAGTCTTAAAAGGGGATCCTGTGATCCCAGGACATTGCCGAGGTCATAAATATGAGTCAGTTGCCAAATGTCTGAATTTTGATCACGTGACCCTGGGATGTCGCAACAGTCATAAGTGTGGAAAGTGGTCACCAGTCACTTTTTTCACTGATGTTGTGATTTTGAAGAGCCACGATGGTGCAGTGGTTAGAGTGCAATACTGCAGGCTAATTCTGCTAACTGCCGACTCTCTAAACCGCTTAGAGAGGGCTGTAAAGCACTGTGAAGCGGTACACAAGTCTAAGTCCTATTGCTATTGCTACTGAATGGTCACTAAATGAACTGCTGTAAGTTGAAGACTACCTGTATTTCAGGAGCCCTTGAGGCACAGAACTCCATAGAATATACAACATAAGAGTTGAAAGGGACCTTGGAGGTCTTCTAGTCCAACCCCCTGCTCGAGCAGGAGACCCTATACCAGGGGTAGGCAATCTCGGCTCCTTTAGGACTCGTGGACTTCAACTCCCAGAATTCCTGAGCCAGCCATGCTGAGGGGAAAGGGAAAGTTTCCATGCTGAGCCATGCTGGCTCAGGAATTCTGGGAGTTGAAGTCCACGAGTCATAAAAGAGCCAAGTTTGAAGATCCCTGGTTTAAATATTTAAATATTTTTCCTCACGGTCAGGTGATCAAAATTCAGGCCTTTGGGCAGGAGTAGGCAACCTTGGCTCTTTTATGACTCGTGGATTTCAACTCCTAGAATTCCTGAGACAGCCATGCTGAGGAGAAAGGGAAAGTTTCCAAGCTGAGCTGTGCTGGCTCAGGAATTGTGGGAGTTGAAGTCCATGAGTCATGAAGGGGCTAAAGTTTCCCTCATGCTGGCTCAGGAATTCTGAGAGTTGAAGTCCACGAGTCATAAAAGAGCCAAGGTTGCCTATCCCTGCCCTAGACCATTTCAGACAAATGGCTGTCCAGTCTCTTCTTAAAAGCCTCCAGAGATGGGAGAACCCACAACTTCTGAAGGCAACCCATTCCACTGGTTAATTGTTCTTACTGTCAGGAAATGTTCTCCTTGCTTCTAGGTTGGATCCCTCTTTAACGATCTTCCACCCATTGCTTCTTGTCCTGCTCTTGGGTGCTTTGGAGAATTGATTGACACCCCCTCTTCTTTCTGGTAGCCCCTCAAATATTAGAACACTACTGTCATGTCACCCCCGGTCCTTGATAGCAGTTATCAAGCAGAGTCCCCTAGTCCTTGATAGCAGCTCCCACAGCCCTCAGAACAGGGGTCTTCAAACGTGGTCCCTGCTCCACTCTCTGTGTCTTTATATTCCATTTGTAGGGACTTGAGGTGTGGCAAGCTGGTCTGTGACTATCCGAATAGAGTTCCTTTCTTTCTGGAAAACGCCGCCATCATTTACGCCAAAGTGCAGAATCGCTTATGTGTCACTCTAGATTATTTGAAGGGGCCAGGAATAAAAGATCCATTTCTGATTCACGATGGTACCGTCTGTGGAGATAACAAGGTAAACCTTTGCATTTGGGTTACAAGAGCCATCTGATGTCTGATATCGGGTCTGGCCTAGGGGCCCGTCACAATGGGTCAACTAGCTAGCTAGAGCAGGGGTCTTCAGACTTGGCCCTTTGACGACTTGTGGACTCCAACTCCCAGAATTCTGGGAGTTGAAGTCCACAAGTCATCAAAGGGCCAGGTTTTAAGACCCCTGAGCTAGTGGGTCGATGATTATTTTTCTTCCAATATTTCTCCTCTATCCCAAGGGGATCCAAAAAGTCAAAATAGAGCTGGGCCTTGGTTGAGCAAAGGAAAAAATAAATTTGGCCTCTCCCCCACCCTCATCTCTTTCCCTGTCTCCCTCCCTCCCTCTCTTTCTCACACACGCAAAGACACTACTTCCCTTGCCATTGGTGTTGAATGATATTCTAGTTCCGATTGTGTAGATTTTATTTAGCGAAATACTTTATGTAGAGTCCTTGGTGCTCTCTGAGCTTGATTGTTTTCTTGCAGTTGGCCCTGGAGAATTGTCCCATTCTGAGCTTAAATATGCTTTGAATGAGCATATATCTATCATCGGAGAAAAATTAAACAAATAAATCAACAACAACAACAAATTAAAATCAAAAAAATAAATATAAAAACTATATCCGAAACACTGGCAAACATCCATATCTGCCTATATCAGGTCCTTGATAGGCAGACAAAGCGCTAAATCCATTCTTGAACATCTGGCTGACTGTGGAACAGACCAAAAATAATAAAGTAATGAATGAATGAAAAAGAAAAAGAAAAAAAAACACAAACAAAACCTCAAAGGGCAGACTTGATGCCCACCTGGGTCTTTGCTGCCATCAGTTTTCTATGTTTCCAAGAGCCAGGTCATCCAAAAATGGTTCTGAATTCAACCATTTCATCCTACTCATTCCTTCAACATAAGCTTCAGTCTCTAATTTTGTCAAATAATGGCTGTTTATTTATTTTTTTAAATTTGAACCCCCCCCCTTTTTTCCCTCTTTTAAGGTTTGCATGAATCAAAAGTGTGTAGAGCGAGCAGTAATAAGAATGACCTGTGATGCAGAAACAAAGTGTCACGGGAAAGGAGTGAGTTAATAATAAAATCTGTAGTGTCAAAGGGATTGTTGCACACATTTAACCATCACTCGTACTCCTGGGGGAATGACCATTCCTTTGGGGTGGAGGGTAAAGCCATTTTAGCTGGGTGACATGATAGCAGTGCTCCCATATTTGAGGGGCTACCACAGAGAGGAGGGGGGACAATCTGTTTCCCAAAGCACCCGAAGACCAGACAAGGAACAACGGACAGAAACTGATCAAGGAGAGATTCAGCCTAGAACAGTGATGGCAAACCTTTTAGAGACCGAGTGCCCAAACTGCAACTCAAAACCCACTTATGCATCGTCGGGTGCTGGGTGGGTGTGGCCCATTGGCTGGGTGTGGCCCGTTGGGTGGGTGTGGCTGCGGTGGTAACGGAAGACTGGGTGGGACTAAAAAGTTCAATCAATTCCAACTTTGCAAGATCTTTTTTTTTCCTGCGAGAAGTTGAAATTGACTGATTGAACCTTTTTTTTTTGCACACGGCGGCAGAGGCCTGAAGTGAAAAGGTTTTATAAAACCCAGCTGAAGGCCTAGGACTGGGGCAACAGCACGCGTGCCCACAGAGAGGGTTCTGAGTGCTGCCTCTGGCACCCGTGCCATAGGTTTGCCACCACTGGCCTAGAAATAAGGAGAAATTTTCTGACAGTGAAACCATCAGCCAGTGGAACGACTTACCTCCATAATTTGGGAACGTTCAAACACCACAGGTCTGGACATTCAATTATCAGATCTCTTTCTTGAGCAGGGGGCGGGGGTGGACTAGAAGATCTGCAAGGTCCCTCCCAACTGTGCTATTTTGTATTATGTAATTAAACAGAAATTGGATAAAAACCAGTACAAACACGTCCTGTAAATGTTCAGTGGGCAGGATTTTTTTCATTCAGTGAAAATACCCCAGACCACTTTTTTGGAATTTGAGCAAGATGGATGAAAATGCTGTTCCTAGAAGAAGAAGAAGAAAAAAAAAAAGGGGGGGGGGCAGAATTGGTCCTCCCCCTTCCATCAAAATAGTCAATTTTGACTCCTTTGAGTGTGTAGACTTTAACCCCCAAAGTTCTCAGCAGTAGAAAAAGTAGCTGTGGGGATGTGGGAGTTGAAGTCCACAGATCTGGAAAGCTCTCAAGAAAATGGTACTTGATAGATTCCTAACAAGACCAAAGCAGATAACCAAATTTATGTTCTAGTCTTGAGGTGGGACTGGATGATACAGAACTGAATCTTTGTTGCATGGCAGTTTATGCAGAAAGCTACTTAAGAATATAATAGCAATATAATAGGTTTAGCTGCTTGGCATATAAGTATGCCAAGCAGCTAAACCTCTTTCCAATCCCAGTTATACCATTCAGAACCCCCTACATGAGCAGGAGACCCTATATCATTCCAGACAAGTAGATGCCCAATGTCTTCTGAAAAACTTCCAGTAATGGAGCACCCACAACTTCTGGAAGCAGGCTGTTCCACTGATTAATTGTTCTCACTGTCAGGAAATTTTTCCTTAGTTCCAGGTTGGTTCCTTCTTTCATGAGCTTCCACCCGTTACTTCTTGGGGAAGTTCTAGATGGAATGCTGGAAAAAAAATCTATAAGGCAACAGTTGAATCATTTTCACGAAGCTACTAAAAATGTACATGGCTTTGTTCCTGAAGACAAGGGAGACCAACGTGGCCTAAGGGGACCTCAGGTGCATTTTCATCACATACCCAGAGGCATTCTTAGGAGATGATCATCATGGGGGACATGTAAATGTGCTTTCATTGCAAATGTGCAAAGGAATATCCCAAAGGAATCAAAACCCTGCAAAACAGAAGTCAGCAGAGAGAATCCTGGGAAGCTTAAAGGGATGATGGTACTAGGAAATTGACAGCCGTTTTGTGAGGGTGCCACAGCCGGCACTCAAAAGTTTCCGTGGGACCTCCGATGCAAAACTATCAAGGGTTCCTGGGTTCCCCAGGACTGGAAGAGTGGGTGGGAAATGCTGGAGGGGAAGACTAATCCGGGAAATAATGAGGTTTTTCTTCCCTTCCTCCTCTTTGGATACAATTCAGAAGTGCAACAACAAAGGCAACTGTCACTGCAACGTAGGCTGGGCTCCCCCTGACTGTAACGTAGCGGATGAAGGAGGCTTAGGCGGAAGCATCGATAGCACTTTCCGAAGCGGTGGGTTTTTTTCACTTCTACATATTTTAAACCAGGCTGGTTAAGAAGTTGTGCTAAACACACATGTCACTGCACATGCACAGATACCGTGAAAGCACAGCTTTTTCCTAACGTTGGCAAAAAACAGGCCAGCCAGACCATCCACCTTGTTTTCTGCCAGTATTTGCCATTTATCAGCTGAGCAGCAGAACAGCTACAAAACCCTTGCTTGGTTGCTTGTTTGTTTCTACTGTTCCCTGTTCTGCTATAATGCAGATGACACCATCACAGCTGGAGGAGGATTTTTGTCACACATTCCTCCCTCCCTCCTTCCCTCCCTCTCTCCCTCCCTCTTCTCTCTTTTCTTTTTCTTCCCTTCCCTTCCCTCCCCTCCCCTTCCCTTCCTCCCTTTCCTTTTCCATTTTCCAAGGGTTTTTTTTTAAAAGGGCTTACGCTTCAAGTAGAAGTATTGATAGTATAATTTTATTATGATGCTTGAAGTTCCACTTTCGGCCTGAGTGTTTTACCAAGCGCAGCTCTTGCCCGATTCAAGAGTTCAAGACATTGTCTCAATGTTTCCACAGAGGTGGCAAGATTTATCCCCAAGTCAGCCGTTGCTGTCACAGTTCCCATACAGCTGTGCGTGACTTTAGGAGTTTTGTCCGTAAATGTAGGGTTTTCCTGTAAAACTGTAGTCACAACTGATCTTGGTTTGGAAAGTTTGGTTCGAAGTTGTATCATATTGGCTATCGAAAGATGTACAGAAAGGATGTTAATCGCCTTCTGGAGTCAGTTGAAACAGTCTTTCCTTTTAGGTGCTTGATAAGACTTGATTATCTGAAAGAATAAGGAATTTTAGGGATAAGTTATGTATTTTCCTTAGAAGAATTTTACATTGTAGTTCTTCCCTTGCTAGGTGTAGTCCGGAACGATCATCAGCCCAAAAAGTTTTCAACAAGAAACTGGCTTCTTGTGGGTTTCTTTGTCTTTCTGCCTGTTGTGATTGGCGCCATCCTTTTGGCCATCAAACTGAGACAAGCGTTGTTGCATCCAAGCATGGAGGAGGAAAAAGATGAGGAGGAAGAATATGATACCGAAGGGTAAACAACGAGACTAGAATCTTCAGTGCAACCTTCTCAGAATAGCAGAAGGACAGAGTTGGAAGGGACTGTGGAGATCTTCTCTCCAACTCCCTGCTTAACAGTCTTCTTTTGGGGGAGGGGAGATGAAATTGGAGGAATATTTTGCTTTTGCAAGGCCATAAGAAGAGGCAAAGCTCACTTAACAAATGTCTCACCTAGCCACAGAAATTTGGGGCTCACTTGTGGTCCTACCTTGAGGATTCCCTGTACTGGAAATTTTCTCCTTGCTTCTAAGTTGGATCTCCCTTCCATCCCATACTTCTTGTCCTGCCCTCTGGTACTTTGTAAAATAAATCTATCCCCTCTTTTCTGTGACAGCCTCTCAAATGCTGGAGGACAGTTATTATGTCCCCCCCCACCCAATCCTAGAGGGATTAGAGCTAGACATAACTAGCTCCCTCAACCATCCATCATACATCTATCACCACACTACTTCCACCATCTTGCCTTTCTTGTCCTCCCATGTCATAGTGTCCCAAAAGGATTATAGTTTGGAAAACAGGAAGAATATTTTCTCCCTAGGGAGTAAATTTTGCCTCCCACCCCCTCAAAGGTTAAAATGGCTTGAAGTTCTTCAGCCTGAATTTTCTGCCATAGTTGGACCGGAGAAGCGGGCAATGCCCAGCTTAGAATGTTTCACATGTTTCCCAAAGGATTATTTTAAAAATGTGTATCTTTTCTCCCTTTTTCAGGTCTAAATTGCAGGAAGTCCACCAGTCACAGAGTGCAAGGTAGATTTCTGATCCTTCATTCTACACCTGCCCCTCTTTTCTTTTGGCTTGGATAAAAGGGAAGGCCGTGGTTCAGTCCATTCACACGGCCAGGGATTCCAGGTGCCTCTGGCAAAAGCCTCCTCTGAAACTTAAGAAAACCATCTCTCAGGGCCCACTTCAAAACCTCATCCCAAGAAAGCAGAACTCGAGGAAGCGGTTTCTTCCAAAAGGAACTTTTATTAGGAGAAGCTGATAGCAGGCATAATAGACAGGATCTGAGGGTCTCCCACCCCCTCAGATCAATAGGTTAAAAGAGTCCCAAGCAAACCTGTATGTTGGAAAAAAGGAACAGCAACCACTTTGCACAACTTTTCCACTCAGTGTCTATTTCCACTAACTCTCTCCTCTGTTTATATTCTTCCTTATAGTGTATAGGCAGTGACCACAGATGTTGCCAGAAGCTGACCCAATTTCCAAAGGGCTGCAAAAGATCACCTCATCAGGAAATGCAAAGCAATTTATTTCCCTTCTGTCTGAGCCCTTCGCTCCATCTCTTTCTTTAACCTGTAATATAATTATTCAAACATTTCAGTATCTACAATAAAATGCTTTTATGCTACACTACTTTGACGTTTGCGGAACACGTGGGCCAGAGGAAAGATGGAGCGAGTTACGAGTGGAGTGAACCTGGCCCCCAAAAGGTGTGCTTCTGACTGGCGGAGTTTGAAAATAATTTTAACATGGATTTTATTTAGCCCACCAGCATGGACTTGAGACCCGGCCTAATTTAAAATCCCAGCACCCTGCCAGTGCCTGGAAGTGCGTGCCGCAGTATTTAAAGATCGGAGAACAACTAGACTAGAGAAATTATCAGTGAAATGCCACAACTGGGAGGAGGGAATGAGATTACAGGGTATCCTCTGTTTACAACTCTTCGTTTAGTGACTGTTTGAAATTGCAACAGCAAAGTGGCGTAGGCGGTCCTGGGGTCATGTGACTTTCTTGACAGGCAAAATCAATGGGGAAGCCAGATTCGCTGAACAGCTGTGTTGTTAACCTAAGAAGTGTTGTGATTCACGTTAACAACAGTGGCAAGCAAAGTCGTAAAATGAGATAAAACCCACTTAACAGTGTTGGGCTCAATTGTGGTAAATCAAGGATTGCCTGTATAAAGTATTACCTTTATAAATCATTTTTTTTAGGATAGTGCATCTCCCTGTCAACCTTATTAGCTAGACCAGATGGGAAACGTAAGCAGATTTGCTAATTCTAATTTATAACAATTAGAATAAGTTAAATAAGTTAAAAGTGGCAAATCTGAACGTGCAATTTCCCTCTTTTTCATCCTAGTCCCTTCTGAGCCTCTTCCCGTCCTATTATCCAGCTGAGGGCTGTTCTGTCTCTTCGCTGATTGTTGCTTCGACAACATCTCCTCCCCCATCCTTCCAATGTTTCCCCCACATAGTATTACACTGCCCTTCCCGAAGACAAATATTATATAGCAGATATAACGTTAGGTTCACAAGGTAGATATGCAAATACAATGGAAAAAGCAGGCACATGAGCTATGTGCATTCTTATGGAAAGATAACCAAAAGAAAAATAGAATATAGAATAACAAGAGTTGGAAAGGACCTTGGAGATCTTCTAGTCCAACTCCCTGCTCAGGGAGGAAACCCTATGCTGGCTCAGGAATTCTGGGAGTTGTAGTCCACAAGTCATAAAAGAGCCAAGGTTGCCTACCCCTGCCCTGTACCATTTCAGGCAAATAGAATCATCCAACGAATGAAAGCAAACGTCCAACTTCACCTTCAGAGTTTAAAAGCCTGAGTTAATTGGAAAAAGGTTCTCTAAATGCAAGCCTCAGCAAAGAAATCCTGTTTGTCATGTTGACCAAACCCCATCAACAGACCAGAAAAGGTGCACGTGGAGAACTAAGATCAACAAATCAACCTATAAAATCTAAGCTTAAATTTACATGTGAGAAACTTAGTCACACTAGCAAGAATTGTCCAGGAAGAAGAACCAGAAGACCTCCCTGGGACGGCCCTAGGATTCTATGACATACATGTAGACATCTCTTTGGCTTTTGCTGTCGTTTGCACACGTTCTTTTGCAAGCTGCATGTAGAAGGCCTGTGACTCTCCCTCGTGAATTTTTAACTTCTCCATAGGAAAGAATTTGAAAAAGCAGCAACTTATCTAGCAGGAGAGTAGCTGCAAACAGGTTCCTATCTACACAGGAAGAGCAGAGTCCATTTTGACTTTTCTGTTCTGAACCATAACCTTAGTAATGGCCAGGACCCCCCGTCAGTTCTGAGCAGTAAGAAAAAACTTCTTGTTGTGGAAACATAGAAGATGCAATAGGACGAATTCATGAAAACCTCAAAGAATGTGACTATTTCAATGAGTCTGTTCCTTAGAACATAGAACAAAGAACTTCGGAGTTGGAAGTGACCTTGGGGGTCTTTTAGTCCAACTCTCTGCTTGAGCAGGAGACCCTATACCATTTCAGAGAACTGTCTATCCTTAAAAGACTCCAGTGATAGAGCACCCATGAGTTTTGAAGGCAAGTTGTTCCACTGTTTGATTGTTCTCACCGTCAGGAAATTTCTCCGTAATTCCAGGTTGCTTCTCTCCTTGGTTAGTTTCCATTCATTGCTTCTTGTTTTGCCTTCTAGTGCTTTGGAAATAACTTGACCTCCCCCTCTTCTTTGTGGCTGTTCCACAAATATTGGAACAGTACTATCATGTGACCCTTAGTCCTCCTTTTTATTAGAGTAGACATACCCACTTAGTGCAACTATTCATCATATTTTGAGCCTCCAGCCTCCTAATCCAGGGGGCTTCAAACTTGACCCCTTTATGACTTGTGGACTACAAACACTGCACTACTTATTTAGAATACTGAATAAAGAAAAGTGGAGTTGGAAGGGACCTTGGAGGTCTTCTGATATACTCTCTGCTCAACCTCTTTTTTTTTTTTTTTTTGCATCGTGGTGACAAAACTGGATGCAATATTCCAAATGTGGTCTTACTGGTGCAGTCCAAAGCGGTACCAACACTTCACATGTTCTTTGAACACATCTTGCATTAGAAAAAAGACTTGAAGAGAGAGAGAGTCAGAATCCTAAAATGGTACAACATTTTGAGATTTCAGTGTTTCCCATGTACAGCTACAATCTGAGTGGCTGAGGATAACAGTTTACTGATCATTCTCTTCCTGATTATTGAGAAGGACATCTAGTTAAACACTAGCAAAATGTTCTTGGATCAGCCCCTTCAGCAATATACAAACAACCACCCTAGATTAAATGTCCAGCAAGTCACAAAGATCTCCTGATGGGAGCAATAGAATTCCAAAGTCTCAAGAAGGGATTATTTCCCATCATCTCTTTCTACCGGAAGCAACCAGGCACTGAACTTTGGACATCCCTATGCAAATTCTAGGCTCTGCTGCTGTGTTTTGGCTCACCTTGGCCTACCAACAACCTTCTTTGAAATTTGGGCGTCTTGCAGAAGAAGAAGAAGAAGAACACGAGTGTTGGAGAAAGAGTGTTTCTGCAATTCAGACTAACAAATGTTTAATCCAGCAGTCACAGCCCTCTCTAAGCGGTCTACAGAGTCAGCCTATTGCCCCCAACAGTCTGGGTCCTCATTTCACTGACCTCGCAAGGATGGAAGGCTGAATCAATCTTGAGCCAGTCAGGATCGAATGCCCGGCAGTCAGCAGAATTAGTCTGCAATACTGCATTCATTTGAGGCCTTTGAACTCTGGTGCTGTAGAAGACTCCTGCGAGTCCCCTGGACTGCAAGGCGTTCCAACCAGTCAGTCCTAGAAGAGATCAACCTCAACTGCTCTTTAGAAGGCCAGATCCTGAACTTGAAACTCAAGTACTTTGGCCACCTAATGAGAAGGAAGGACTCACTGGAGAAGAGCCTAATGCTGAGAAAGATGGAGGGCAATAGAAGAAGGGGACGACAGAGAATGAGATGGCTGGATGGAGTCACTGAAGCAATAGGCATGAGCATAAATAGATTCCAGAAAATGGTAGAGCACAGGAAGGCCTGGAGGAACGTTGTCCATGGGGTTGCGATGGGTCAGACACAATTTCGCAATTAACAACAACAACACTGCATTCTAAACCCCATTGAACTCAGCAGGGCTCTATTCCCCAGTTTCTGCAACTATCGTTCAGGGCAAGGATATGTGACCCATGGAAAAGATCTGTGATTATGCCAAATGGCGGCCAAAGTATGATGAGATCATCACACCAAGACCATATTCAAATGCAGGTTGACTTATTCAGGTTTATAAGTTACAATGATGAGGATGACATGCCTGCTTTGTCATTTAACACCTGCTTGTCCCCTGCAGTTACCATGGAAGCAGCTGCTTTAATGAGTTACAAAATCTGTCACATGAGCATCCCAGCCTGCTCAGAGACTCTTTCTATTTTTGTATCCAATTGCTGCACTGCCCTAATGTGATACCTTTCTTAAGTACACATTAAGAAAAGCAAAGATGTCCACCATAGCTCCAGATGGCATTCCAGAATTTAGCATTAATTCCAAATAATGATTTTTGAAATGTTGACATAGTGCCTGGAAAAGCTGCTAACTTTTGTTCTAATCTTTTTTTGGGGAGCCATAACAGCATCTCTAAATGCTCCCAACAAAGATGATTAGTGCAGGAGACCCCAATCTTTTGAGCACCAGGGACTGGAACCGTGGAGAGAGGTTTTCCTATGAACTGGAGAGGGTGTGATTTCCTGTGCTGCCTGCATTCCATGGATGGAGCTTCGCTTGTTTGCACTGCCCGGTTTCTGGCATGCCATGGCCTGGTGCCGGATTAGGGGACTGGAAGATAAAACATACGATAAACAATAGATGTAACTAGATATGTGTAGTTTAACCACAAAAAAAGAGGACACGATATCAGTCTTCCAATATTTATGGGCTGTCATAGAGAAGAGGGGGTCGACCTAGTCTCCAAAGCACCTGAGGGCAGGACAAGAAGTGACAAGATCGTTAAAGAGGGACCCAACCCCAAATTAAGGAGAAATTTCCTGACAGTGGGAACTATTAATCATTGGAACAACTTTGCCTCCAGAGGTTGTGGGTGCTCCATCATTGGATGTTTTTAAGAAAAGATTGGACAGCCATTTGTCCTGAATGCTATAGAGCAGGGGTAGTCAACCTTGGCTCTTTTATGACTCGTGGACTTCAACTCCCAGAATTCCTGAGCCAGCATGGCTCAGCTTGGAAACCTCTCCCTTTCCCCTCAGCATGGCTGGCTCAGGAATTCTGAGAGTTGAAGTCCACGAGTCATTAAAGAGCCGAGGTTGACTACCCCTACCATAGAGTTTTCTGCCTGGGCAGGGAATTGGACTAGAAAACCGACTACGTCTCTTCCAACTCTATTATTCTGCATTCTGTATTCCTTTTGTTTTTCATTCTTATCAAGCGAGCAGGCAGTTGTGCCTTTAATGATTCACTTGTAGATCTTCCCATCCCTTCTGAACTCTTTTCTGTTTCTGAATTTGGTCTCTTGAGGGTATTATCAATATACCTCCCTGATGTTTATCCAGCTCCACTGATCATTGG